GCTGGACAGAAGTGGAGGCAGGCCGAGGTCGCGTAGGGGTAGAAAGTCGATATCACGGTGGCAACACCGGTCGATTGTAAGTCCAAGATGGAGGAGTCTCGAATCCATTGCGTAGCCAGCCACAGACACTGTGCTGCATATTCATGGTCGGTCTTGTCTCCGAAGAGTGTCGTGTAGTAGTGGGGGATTAGCAGCGTTGGGTGCGAGCTGTATCGCAATTTTGGAGCAACGGCACGTCCGTCGATATTCTCGCGCTCTGGCGTTCTAGAGCGTGGGTTCAGAAGATGTTGTGGGATGAGCGGCGAACCGAGAGAGGGATGAGCGGGCCAGATTCCACGAGTGTGGTGTGCAAGATTGAGGTGCAGCCGGTGCAATTTCAGTTCTTCATCAGAGGCGCTGAGAGACAGGCGGGAGTTCGGATATCTGGGAGGCTCGCACAACTAACTGCAGGTCATCCGTACAAAGTGTGGGCGTACCTGGCAGAGTATTGGAGTGGAGACCGAGCTTGCAAGACGCTCTGGCAAAGGCGGCTGTCAATGTTCCATCGAGCTGGGTGGGGAGAATGATGAACCCTTGGAGGATTGCCAATTGATCGGGGAAAGTGTTAGGAACGGGACAGACCAGGCCAGAAAAGGCCGTGCCTTCCCCTGTCGGCCAGGTGGGAGCAAGGGGAAGGCTGGCTGGAAGCGGCCAGGGATGTGATCAGGGGTTTTTCGGAGGGGACGCACCTTACTTACGGATACCCTAGGGAAGGAAAGGAAGGGGAGGGGCTTTCGGTGCAGAGCAGGTATTGAGCAAGAATGCCCGTACCTGACAAGGCAATATCGGCAAGCTGGCTGTGCACGCAGACAGGGCCATGCAGCGCCAGCAGAGCACAACCACTATTCACCCCGTCACCCAGTAGGGCAGCTAGTAGGAAGTAATGCTTATTTGCTTGACTCTGTCTGTCAGCTCACCTCTGGCCACGTCGCTGTGCACTTGCACTGCACTTCAGTGTTGTCTTGGAGATGGAGAATCGCGTTCGTAGATGGCTAGCGTCGACCAGATCCCCTGGATGTCTGCCCAGCTGCCGCCACTCAACAAAGTCCACGATGGTCGACGGGGGCTAAAAGTCGAGGTGGCACTTGACCAGCCGACAAATCAGGAGAAACGAGGCTCAAGCTCCGAGTCTTCGCAATTGGAGATGGAGGTCCAAGGCCAGCCAGGGCCCAGGGGAGAGGGGTTTAAAGGGGGCCAAAAAAGGGGACCAGGCCAGGGGCCGCGAAGGCTGTAGATGTGGATATTCGACACTAACAAGTCATGGACGGAGGGCAGAAAATGGCTTTAGCCGACCGAGTCTGGAGGTAAGTAAGGTAGAGGGAGCAATTGCAAGAGTGAAGATGCGAGCCTGGTGTATCCGTACGGCGGTAGGCAAGTAGGACCTCTAGGCACTGGCTGAGTGGTTAGGTTGGTTGGTTGGCGGGTTGTGGAGATGGCGGCTCACCCGCATCCGCATCCAGGGCGAGGAGGCTGTCCGATTATCGTACCTTACCTAGAGGTGCAGGTGCAATGTGCATGACTGGGACAGAGCAACAAGCAGTTTCCCGTAATTGCAAGCCTTGCCAAGTAGTATCAACTCGACGAGGCAGGCTAGTCGGAGCAGCAAATGCATCTCATCTCACCTAGAGTTGTGGAATTTCCACTGCTTACGGGCAAGAGGCCCAGGGGACGAAAACTTTCAAGTAGAACCTGTCGTCTAGAGTAGGTGACCGACTAAGTAGTGCTTTACGTACCGACCTTAGTCAGGGGACTCGACAGAGAAGTACGAATGCAGTACGTATGGGCCGGCCCATTGCGCGAACCCCGTCCGACTAAAGACAAACCAGTGGTGGTCCGTAGATGGCGGCGTGATGACGCTAAAGAACCACCATGGCGGTAGATGTTCAAGTCTCGTGGCTGTGGCTAATGAGAAATGACGGCTGGCTGGCCCTACCCGCCGCGAACTTTTTGGGGTTTGCATTTGAGCTTGGGGGGAATGTGAGAGTCGATGATGGGCGCGGGTCCTGTTGGCCGTATCCGTATTGCAAGTCGCCGTTGATGCACGTCCCATCATGTAGGTGCTTCAGCATGCTGATGACAATAGAGTGGTTCCCGTCACATCACAATGAGCATCATCATCGACGATGCTCTCTGACCGTCTGACACTTTTATCCAATGTTCATCACCGTTGGTAAAGTCAGTGCCAGAGACCCCGGTCAGGGAGTTGTGCCACGGATGTACCTTGCGTTGGCTCCTGATTATTTGTGCAGATCGGCCTGAAATGCCAGGAACATGCTGTGTTCGGTACGTACCCCGTGCGATACAAGGTTAGTCCAATGTTCCGTCGCCCGTTGGGGACTCGAGAGCTCATCCTCGTCCCCCACTGCGTCCACCGTCCACCGCCCACTGTCAGTCGCCAGCACTGTGAGAGCGGTGCCTGCCTGACCTAAGAAGGCTCGTCTGATTGGTCACCCGCCTGGCAACCCCTTTCCACGTCTCTTTCTCCTCCCCACCTTCCCCCCTAACTGCAACCGTGCAGCACGCCCAGAAGGGGCCATCACGCCGTTGAAAGTATCTTTGACGTGTAATTTCTAACGCAGAATACTCACCAAGGGGGGCGACCTCATGCAAAGGCCCCAGGGGGGCCGCCGTTGGCACCGACTGACAAGACGAGATGGACTGACGGACGGATGGATGGGCACGCGGACAATCAACCAGTTGGGCCGGTCTGGTCTACGGCCTACCAAAAGTCTAGGTCCAGGTCCGTCCAGGTCCAACGAAACAGAGAGTTAGTTAACTGCCTTTGGGACTTGGACCTGGATACAACGAACGACCGTCCTACCGTCATACCGTCAGGGCGAGATGGCTCAACTCAGACCGTGGGTGTCAGGTTCCTGTCAGGGTGGGTGGTGATGGATGTGCGTGGGCCGCACGTAAGGTAGTGTACGCATACCGCGTGCCAGCCATCCTGATCAGTGACCAGCGCCGAGGAGAAGGCAGAGCCAAGCAATGGAGAGCGAGGCAGACGGACGAGCCGTGCAGTCAAACCCGTCCAGTGATGCTGAGTACCTAAGCACCGTCGGTCGTCTGTACTTTCCAGCCGCTGGAAAATGGACAAAAACATTTGAACATTGGCGGCGGCGGAGAATTAAGGTACTGGACATGGACGTGAGGTGTAGAAAGACACGCAACAACTATTACCTACCTATCCGTACACGCACACGCACGCATACACACACACATACCTTACATACCCACACACCCAAAAGCAAAATACCAAGTCTTCATATCGCGGCTGTCAATGGTCTTGGCCACGAATAAGTGCAGAACTCTCTCGCCCTCTTCCCTTTTACTTTTCTGCCCCGCCGGCATTGCGTGCTCTTTCTTTCTCTTGTTTCCTCTCTCCTCTCTCCCTCTTCACCTACCCTACCTAGCACGGGAATATCTCAAGGTGGTTGCCGGTCTGCCATCTGCCCCGTGTACGTGTGTGTGTGTGTGTTCTTGGGGAAGAGAGGTTTGTGAGGATATCTCACAGATATTCGTACCTACCTTACCTACCATTGTGGCGGGAAAAGACAGACAGGCGGTGTACCTTGCTGCCATTCGTCGAATCGTACCAACACCAGCCGACCCTCGCTGCAGTCTGCAGTCTGCAGTCTGCAGTCTGCTTGCTGCTGCTGCTGCTGCTGCTGCACTGCTGCACCGTCAACCGCACCGCGCTGCTCCAATCCCCCGGGCTCTGCTAGCCTCCTGTGGGCAAGGCACTGTGGGTTCTCCTCCCCTAATCCTGGTCAACCTCATCAAACTTAGCGCAGCCAATTCTAGTTGCACCCTTTTGGGTAATCAAAAGCCCACACGAACCCCCCGGAACGCAGCGCGTGTACCCTCACTACCCTTACCTCTCGACTCCGTCCTGGGCCTGCCACCTTACTGCATACTCCTCCCTCTCCGCTCTCCTGCTTTTTTGCTCACCTCTTTTTTTTTACGCCCTCCCTCTCACGCGCACACACACACACGCTCTCTCGCTTCTCACTCTCGCTTCCTGGCATCTTCCTCCCCTTCCTTCTTTCTTCCCTCCTTTTGCTGCTTCATAACCCTGCTCTCCTCTTCTGGTTACCTTCTCCTACCTTACCCTACTTCTCTCTCCACCCGCCACCCCCTTCTCAACTTCACCTCCTCTCCTCCAACCCTCACCACCTTATACCTTCCCCAATCCTCCTCTTCACCCCCGTCCTCCCTTTTTCTTCTCCATCCGCCCGCCCTCATCCTTAACCTTCCCACCTTCTATTCTTTATTCTTTCCAGCCAATCCGCGAGTCGCCGCTGACGACCTCACTGGCTCATGCGATCGTTACGGCTTCTGCCATCTTGACCAATCTTTTACCTTGGCTTCCACATTCGTTGCCCGTATAACCTTCGTCTATAATTCTTTGACCACCGCTAGCTCGACCTGCAAGGAGCCATTCACCAAGTCGTACGACTCGATCCGAATCGCATACACGACCTTCACTCAGCAGACGGTACCTCAGAATCGACCTCGCCAGCGAATCGCAACTATTGCTTCCAACATTTGCTACACAGCTTAACAACCTGTTCAACTTCTTGCTCCAGCAGAGAAAGAGACAATCCGTCACCGGACTGCTCCGTGCCCAGTCAACCCGGCGAGATACCAACGCCAGTTCGATCCCTTTCGACAGTCCCGCTGCCTGAAGCGCCCACACGCGAACTTTGGGTTTCGTTGTTTCGATTTGTATAATTCACTGTATTCGACTTGGACACCAAAGCCTACTCCGTAAACCCTCCAGGCCAGATTTGAGACACGACCACTTAAACGTCGACGTTACGGTTCTCATCGAGTCTCGTAGCTTGCGAACGCGCCAGTCTCCAACTTTCCGTGCCTGCTCGGGGCACGTTTAATCTGTCAAAACGGCGGTTCTATCCCAAATCGGTCGGGACAACCTTGTCCCTCCGCATCTACTCGGGATGCAGGAAATCCAAGGACCGGTCGGCCAGGGCGGCCCCAGTGCGCCTGGCAACCGCTTCCCCGGACATGCTTCCAAGCCTTCCAACAGCGACACCGGCTTCTCTCATGGAGCTTTCACTTCCAACATCTCTGGCTTTGCCGACAGGCACCCTCGCCGCGGCAACATTCCCACCATCAACACCCAGCCCTTGACCCAGCACCAGCAGGCTCCTCCGTCCGCCGCCGATATGGCCACTCCCGGCACCGCTTTCGACATGCAATTCACCCCTCTGCTGCCTTCTCAGCTGCTCCTCGGAAGCCCCTTCCAGCCCGGTACCCCTGCGGCCTTTGCCAGCCCCCAGTTCCAGAACCTCCAGAGCTTCCAGCAGGCTCAGCAGCAGGCTCAGCAGCACCAGCACCAGAACGGCCCTATGAGCCCCGTCCAGCAGAGCATGTCTCCTCAGCAGTACCAGGCCATGGTCTCTCCTTCGACTTACGGCGCTCCCCAGTTCTTCCAGCCTCAGTCCCCCACGAGCGGTGGGTTCAGCAACATGCAGATTCCCATGCAGCCCAGCTCCCCTGTCTCCATGGGACCTGGCATGGTAACCGGCACCAGCCGCACCGTCTACCTTGGCAACATTCCCCCTGACACTTCGGCTGAGGAGATCCTGGGTCACGTCCGCAGCGGACAAATCGAGTCCGTCCGTCTTCTGCCCGACAAGAACTGCGCCTTCATTTCTTTCTTGGACGCTAGCTCTGCCACCCATTTCCACTCTGATGCCATCTTGAAAAAGCTCTGCATCAAGGGCCAGGACATCAAGGTTGGTTGGGGCAAGCCATCCCAGGTTCCCACCTCGGTGGCTTTGGCTGTCCAACAGTCGGGTGCTTCTCGCAATGTCTACCTGGGTAACCTGCCAGAGGACATTACCGAGGAGGAGTTGCGCGAGGATCTTGGCAAGTTTGGTGCCGTTGACACGATCAAAATCGTCCGCGAAAAGAGCATCGCCTTCATTCATTTCTTGTCCATCGCCAACGCGATCAAGGCAGTCTCTCAACTTCCTCAGGAGCCCAAGTGGCAGGCCCCTCGTCGCGTTTACTATGGTAAGGACCGTTGCGCTTACGTTTCTAAGACGCAGCAGCAGAACGCTGCTCAGTACCTTGGAATCGCGCCTGGCTACGCGCACATGCTCACTGGTGCCGACCGCGACTTGATCTCCAACGCTCTGGCTCAGCAGTCGGTGGCTGCAGCTGCTGTTGCGACGACCGCCGGTGGTATCAACAACCTCGGTAACCGTACCATCTACCTGGGCAACATCCACCCCGAGACGACGATCGAGGAGATTTGCAACGTCGTTCGCGGTGGTCTCCTTCACCACATCCGTTACATCCCTGACAAGCACATCTGCTTCGTCACGTTCATTGACCCTACAGCGGCCGCTTCCTTTTATGCTCTGAGCAACCTCCAGGGCTTGATGATCCACAACCGCAGACTGAAGATCGGGTGGGGCAAGCACTCCGGTGCTTTGCCTCCTGCCATCGCCCTTGCTGTCAGCGGAGGGGCCTCGCGTAACGTGTACATTGGCAACTTGGACGAGACCTGGACTGAGGAGCGCTTGAGACAAGACTTTTCCGAGTATGGCGAAATCGAACTGGTCAATGCCCTGAGGGAGAAGAGCTGTGCTTTCGTCAACTTCACCAACATCGCAAACGCCATCAAGGCTATCGAGGCCGTACGCAGCAAGGACGAATACAAGAAGTTTAAGGTCAACTTCGGCAAGGACCGATGCGGCAACCCCCCTCGTCAGCTGTCTCAGCAGCAGGCCCAATCCCCTCGTACTGAAGGTGTCTCTTCGCCGCCGCCCACTGGCTCCCAGAACTCGGGTTCTCCCACCAACGGCAACACCCCTCAGCAGTCCGCCACCCTGTTCAATGGAAACAACAACCCCTTGACCCTGTACTTGAACCAGGTCTCTCAGCAGGCTCAGCATCAACAACAAGCCCACCAGCAGCAGCTATACGGTCAACAACAGGCTCTGTTTGGCACCGCTCAGTCCTCCCCCAGCGAGCTTTCCATTGACGTCCAGTCGCAGGGTCCCATCTCGGGCCACCAGCAGTCGGCCAGCATCTCCAATGGCTACCCTCAGAGTGCCTCCGGCCCTGGCCCTACCACGATCGGTGGCCTCTTGGCCCCTGGCAACGGTCGCGGCCAGCACAACCGTGCTGTCAGCTTGCCTGCCCTGAACCCCGGCTTCGAGAACGGCGGTGTTCCCTCGCACGAGGGCCCTGAGCGCCGTGGCCACCAGTACCAGGCCAGCTTCGGCGGTATGGGTGCTGGGTACGGACTCGCCATTCAGGGTGGCCTGAACGGCTGGGTTGAGGAGGAGGTTGCCAACTAAGTCAGCCGGTTGCCTTCCCTCCCCCCAACATGATGCTTTAGGAACATAGCGGAAAGATTGGTTAATTGTTGTAATTGCATCTCGCGTCTTCTCACTTCTCCTTCATTTCTTGATTCTTGATTCAATTTCATCTTTTTTTGTTCTTCTCATCTATAATTTTGGCCGGTTTGGCAAAGTGGTCTTGGGCTGTTTTCCCGATCCCAGGGCACGGGGAGGAGACTACCACACAAAATCTTTTGGCACACCCCTTTCATGCATATGATTGTGGTTGAACATAGCAGCAGACACCAGATTATGATATGCCTGGAACATGGCTTCATGATCCGTAGCCAACGTGGAATGGAATGGAAAAATGAGCCCACGGCGGGCTAGAGGAACGCTGAGAGAGGATCTAGAGAGCGGAAGCGATGCTGGCTTTGCGAAGCAGCAGCATCGCCAGCATGTACGTGTATTAGAGCGTCGTTCAGGAAAGGTACAGGTTTCCCTGAACAAAATGCAAGCGATCTCCGTTTGTAAAAATCTCGTGTCAATGTGCCGCTGTGAATCAGTTTGTTTGCTCGTCCTTGGCTACAGTAGTCAATGGGATGTGTCTTTGCAGGATGTTCTTGAAGATCTCGCTCACTTCAACGTGACTGCATTTGGGTCCATGTGTCACTCCCCCTCCAGCCCTCCAGGAACCGGCGATCTCCATGATGCGGCGCCAGGCATCGATACCCAACCTGTACAACATCCGCACTCAAAGTACGCTCTTGTGACCGGTTGAAGTGAAGAAGGACCGGTTTGATCGCCACCAATGCTTTTTTTTCCCCAAGTAAACGTCACGTGTGTTGTATTCTACTCATTTCCCGAAGGCGCGCCTACAGCGGTTGTGATGTATGGGCCTCCGCCAACGCGCCTTCATGTAGAATCCCGACCTGGAATTTCTACATTTCAAAGCGTTGGAGGATGATTATTGGACTAGCGGTTGGAAAGCCAGATCGTTCTCTTCACCGTGGGCACTGCGGTATTATTGACATGGTCGTGTACAGTGGTCGTGTACAGGCTCGGTTGAGTTTGAGAGGTATGGAGGTCACGTATATGCATGAATACTCATTCAAGCATGGTACGTACGCAGGCCATGGCGAAAGAGGGAGACAGACTCTCTAGGTTTCTTTCTATCGATGCTGTGGTCACCCAGCAGGTCTTCGAGAAGCCAGGGCGTCCGGATCTTCAGTTCACGATTGTCTCGACGAGAGTGTCCAGGGACCAGCTTTTCTATGAGACGTGGTTCAATTAGTGGCAGAAGGGATATGCTGACGGTTAAAGGGACTCATATTGCTCCTGCGTTAAATCCACCGTAAAGCCCGAACACCTTGATGTAACACCGTGCTCAGCTCCGGCATGGTTCAGTTTGTTCACTTGGATACATGTGATTCTTGTAGTCTCTGCTCTGTATTTCTCCAGACTGAAACCCCTGCACAAGTTTGGCGGTGCTTTTGTAAAAGCCCACTACATCATCGGAAGGGATGAAACGTAACCAATCGGGTATTTTTCTGTGCAATATGATGAACGACTAAGTATGCGGCCCTGTAGTCCCTGTAAATGTGGCACATCTCTCAGTTCTATCCTGTAAAAAGCCCGCTCGTCAAAAAAACATGCTGTCTCTTTTGGAACCTTAACTGCCAAAACATTACTCCGTCATCTCAAGTAGAGTCATTAGTATCCAGCCGGCTCTGGGCTGGCCGGGATAGCCGAGGCGTCGAGGTTCGTGCGGCACTGTTGCTTCCAGTTCTTGGGGGTGTACTTGTCGACGATCGACTTGAAGGCGGCCTGCGTGACATGTCAGAATTGCGCATGTTGGGGCCGTTAGGGTCTGATCGGCAATGCTTACCAAGGTGCAAAACGACTCGTCGCCTTCAAGATGGCTTCCAGCAGGCTTGCAGCCGGGGATGGTGACGGGCTCATCGTTGTATCTCAGTCTCACGTAGTATCCGTCCAGCTGGTTCTTCTCAGCTTCAATGAGGTCGGAGGTGGGCTTACGACCGATCCCCGACGGCGCGGTGCCGGGAGACGGAGTGCTGGAGCGGCCAAACGAGAACCATGAGTTGAACCAGCTGGCTGTCTGAGGGGTGGCAGCAGCTGGCACAGTGGTGGAAGTCTCTACGGCCGGGACCTTTGAGTCACGGAACAGTTCAATGGCGATGTGGCTGGTGAAGGGGGGCCACTTGTCATTGCCGAAAGCACCCAGACTGGACAACACACCTGCCAAGGTGGTATCATGGCAACCACTCATGCCAAATCTTACGGGATGGGGAGCGGCGCCGGGATTCTTGATTTCGTAGTCACCGTCGGCCGGAGTGTGCTCCACGCTGCCGACCATGCGAGCCACAACATCGCCCATCAAACCACCGATGCCCAGGGTACGGTACTCCTGACTCTCCTTATATCCGCTATACCACTCCTCGACACCAATCTTCTCTATGATTGAAATGGCTCTGGCATCGTAGAACTCGGAGGGAAGCTTCGTCTGTGGGCCATGGGCACGCGTGGCATTGATACTGTCCATGACACCACTCAATCGAGGACGGGAGTCGACGGCAACTCGCGAGCCTGGGGGCATCCACTTGCCGAGTTTCTTGTTCAGGTATTCCATCTCTGGCGTGTCGTTCCACCGCTCGGCAGTACGCTGGGCAAACGCGCGGGAAAGGACGGCAAAACGACGGCACATGCCATCGTTGGGGAAGAGAGTTTCGTCTGGCTGTAATCGGGTGATGATGGCGAGGGTCGGCAGGTCGGGGGCTCGGTTCTGAGTTGGGTAGAGGCCGGTAAGAGCCTGTTGCAGCGATTCCAGAGCTCTGGGGACAGGAGTCGAGCGCAGGTAGAGGGAGTCTGCGTTGGTGAGGTCCGCGGGAAGGAAGCCAAGGCGATCGATGTAGAGGTTGCGGAAACGACGGCCTAAGTTGCGAGTGGTCTCCCGACCGCGGTCGGTAAGCATGCCATGGTCACATATATCGTCGAGCTCGGCGTTGGGGCCGGCGGCGATGATGGGGCTGTCATCTGCAGGGTTGAAGGTCTCGAGGCGGCGCTTCCAGTCAAGATAAGAATACTCTCCCGTGTCAGGATCCAGGACGGCGGAGCGGAGGTGGCGGACGACACGGCAGTAGGGCCAGTACGGAGGCAGGCCGGTTTCCTGGAAGCGTGGGGTGACAGGCGTGCGCTCACCGTGGCGCAGGAGGATCTGCACGAGCTGGAGCTTGAGCTGCGGAGGGTACAGCTGGCGCAGCTCGGCATCAGTGTAGGGTTTGCGAGGCTCAAGGGTCGTCATAGTTTCGGAGCTAAAGAGACAACGCGAGAGAATGAGTGTTTGGAGAGGAATGCTTGTGACACTGACGCTCGCACGGGGGAGGTCGGGGGGGGGGGGGAGGAGGAAAAGGGAAGGGCAAAGGTAAAGGTGGTGAAAGATACAACTCAGCCCAGCTTAGCAAACAGAGTAATTCATGGGATGAGACGACGGAAGTGGAAAGAAGCCGGCGAAGCTCAGAACGCGCAGTCGCTAGAAGCAGATGTGTTTCCTTTGTTCCGCGAGGCAATCGGTTGGACCAGCCCCCTCGTGTGGCTCTGAGGTGGTATCTTGCGTGTGAGAAACAATAGAAGGCCGTAGACTGTAGGTGGGACGGAGGATGGAGGATGGGGATATGCGGGGCAGGGATTCTGACGTTGGGAGCAAAGCCAAGCTACCTTACCTACGTAACCTACCTACCCAAGTGTTGTGGTTGCGGGTGAGGCTTTTGGCCCGCGGCTATGCTAGCAGCAGGCACCTTGGCGTACCTACCTTACCTACGCAGTACCTCACCTGCCTTACCTAGGTAGGTACGTGTAGGGAAGCTAGTGAGACGATAAGCTCCTTATCGGAAGAGCCATTCCACCACTTAAGGTAGGTAAAATGGGAAGGCACTTTACTAGGTAGGTAGTATGTGGCCCAGTACCGAGGCACCTCACCGCCGCACTGCTGCTTGCTCATCGGGCAAGTATCGTCCATCCTGCGCCGCACATCGGCCTAAATCGCAATCTGGAATCACGGTAGAACGCCCAAGCAAACTCATCTGAAGTTGGAGGCAGGTTGCGAGTTTGGGCTTTTGTCAGGCCATAGCCTGAGCTTACCTTTTGACGGCGGCACCTAATACTTGCTTCTACCCACCACACGTCTCGAGCAATCGGGTCCGACCCGCGAGATTGCGTTCCCGACTGCAGAATTCCCTGTTATGCATTTGTCTTTACCCATGTGAAAGTCCATCCACAGCCTTGTATTCTGTCGATATGTATTTCGCATTGCTGCGTCTGTATGTTATTTCCTCGTTCATATACCCTCTCTTGCCGTAAGCATCGCCTGCATCCAGTCAGATCGACCAAGCTGCCTGATCGAAGCCGATCGACAGTCAGGAATACCGGGTCGTCGGGTGCCGCAATCGCCGTCGATGCCGGCCGAGGAGGGGGAAAATGGACCAATGACGTCTTCGCTAATTGGCGTCCGGGTCTACTATGTACTCGAGCATGCCTAGCGCGTGTGTAGCATGTGCCACCCACTGACATAATCAGACCGAGAGAGAAGTAACGAGGACTTGGAGCAATGCCACTGACTACACGCAAACAAACACGAGTCGCTTCACCGCGAGACACGATCCCATGCGATTGGAGCGGCCGCCGCAGCAAAGGTGCAACGGTAGAGAATTCGACTCGAAACAAAACGCAAAAGATGGATTCTCTTCAAGAGGAAAGAAAAAGACCGGGCGACAAGACAGGATCCATCCGTGCTGGGCAAGGCGGAGTCTTCCATGCCCATTATAGGCGGTGGACACTTGGCGGAGCACACAGAGGGTGACTCGGTGAGCAAAGGGACAGAGACGGAGACGCAGACGCAGACGCAGACGCACACAGAGAGAAACATCAGTGAGATGAACGCACAGCGATCCCTGGCCTAGCCGCATTTGAATCTGGCAGCCTGAGCCTGAGCCCCCAAAGAGCCCCCTCGGACCGGAGATCGTTACGATGTACGACCGACGAAGGATCCCCCTGCCCTCGGGCGAGTGAGGCGCAGCTCTGTGCATATCAGACTTTGGCTCTTCGCTGCCGTAGTCCCTACACGGCGGGACGACATCAGCAAGCTTCCCTTCCATGCTCAAGGGCCGCCTTAGCTACGCGCTACCGCCGAGTACGTAGCCCGTCAACTCTTCGCGCTGCAAGGTACATTTCTTGGTGCTGCTACCACGCTGTACGTCAAAGTAACCGTCTGTCTTCTCGTCCTGCCCTCGTTCAAGGAACATACCTGCTATGCAGTAAAGCAATACCGATTCGGGGGATAGCTGGCAGCCACACACGTGGATTGCCTTTGCTGGGCAGTCTGCTGTTCTGCTCCAGCTCCAGTCGTGCGCTTGTGCCAGTGCCGGTGCCAGATAGTAGACGGTGAGTTACCTTAGGGTGTGGTAGGCGCGATTCAAGGCCATTCCTTGTATAATTAAACTTGGTCCTTCCCTGCCCCCAGGGTCGCAGTCGTCATTGCCAAATCAATTGTTCAGATCCAGATTTCAAAGGGGGGTTGCATTGAACCGCCTTCTTTCAACCCCAAAACATCTTCACCAACTTTACCCAACCTACGAACCCAACACGAACCTCAGCTGGGGATTCCTCCCGTGGCGACCACTTTTCCTTTTCTTTCGGGCCGCCTCAAATCGTTCTCTAACCCAACTTCTCCCCCAGCTCTTGTACTTTCTTTCCATCTGACATTTTCGGTTTTCGAGCATTCTTTTGGGTATTCATCCGCATCTGCCTCGGTGCTGCGTTGGCTGGTGTCCACTCTTGCTCCCCCAAAAAGGACACTGAGCATGTGCTTGAACTAACCCCGGAACGCCCGGCTCTACAAATCTGCGACTTATATAAACAACCCTGCGACCCGACGATTCTCGTACTCTTTCCGCGTATTGCAGGAATCTCACGATGGTTGCCATGTCGCAGAAGGAGAACCTCACCTTAAGGATCAATTCGCCTCCAGGCCCCATAGAAAGGGTCCCGTCTGAGGATCCTGTCTATGGCGAAGACGATCAAGATGGCGCCCAGTCTGTCATGCAGCCCGCCTTGAACGCCGTCGCCACTCGCCTCACTCTACCAAAAACATCTGCTGCTGAAAAGGCTGCGGCTATGGAAACCAGGCAAAGTCGCCGAGCTTTTGATTCTGGTCTTCCTAGTAGTGAAGATTCTTCGAGCTCTCCAGAATTGACGCCTTTCCCGGACGAGATACCCACCAATTTCGAACCCGAATCCGACCTGCAAATCTCTCCGTCATCACCAGTTCGACGACAAACGCCCAAACTTCAAAAACCTAGGCCTGCTCCGAGAGAGAGGGATCTGCCCTCACCATGGCAATCGAGTCCTCGAAATGCCTTTTTTGGCGGTGGAGACGGCGCGGGTCATAAGAGTGCCCTGGAGTCGATATCCTTCGGCCAAACAAGACATAAACGCTCATCGTCTACCGGAGCCGACGCGTTGAAACGTTTCTCAAAAGCACTGCCCTCATTTCCAGCGCCGTCGTCGATCTTTAATTCCTTCTCGTTCTTCACGGCCGCTGCGGAGAAAGTGGAGCCAAAAGCCACATCAACTCCACGCAAATCAACTTTTCCTCAATCGAGTAGACCTCATAGTAACACGAGTCCTGAATCTCATCTGGCCGGTCGCCCTCGCCAGGCTGAAGCCTCAAGGGATGCTGCCAATGTCAGCCGGGCTTCTGTCTCATCGTCTCGACCGCCTACAGCTCGACCTCGTGCCCTTCGAAGGGTCACCTCCGATGATTCGCTCTTGTATCACTCTCTATCTCGCACATCCTCCATCGGTGACGACGACGGAAGATTCGAACACGTACGAGAGATGGCCAACGTAAGGATGAAGGCGATCAAAGACAGTTTACCCGAAAGACCGACCTTCAAAATGCTTAGTCTGCCCAAACTCCCGTCATCCCTCAGGCTGAACGAAGACGCGGTGAATAGTACAACATCGATCCCGAAGCTTCAACCGGACGATCCTGCAATTTTGGACAAAGTACTAGAGAAGCTCACAGGCGATATCGTGATTCTAGGCGGCTACCGTGGCTCAATCTTGCGGTCAGCTGAGCCACCGCACCAGCAGCTCTGGGCTCCCGTCAAAATTGGGCTGAACATGAGAAAAGTTGACCTTGAGGTTGGCCTCGACCACGAAGATGAGGAGAATATGGAGGAGCGTATTATTCCCTCGGGAATGCTTCAGAATATTGGCCCGATCGATATCTCGCGGAAACTATTCAGGAAAGTTGCGGCCTGCGAGAACGTCCGTAAAGGAAAGCTGAGACTGTGGGACTACGGTTACGATTGGAGACTCAGCCCTCATCTACTATCACGAAAGATGATCGAATTCCTGGAAAAGCTTCCGTCCAACCAGCCGGACTCACAAGAACCAAGGGGCGCGCTTGTTTTGGCACATAGTCTCGGCGGCCTCATCACACGCCATGCTGTCAACCAGAGGCCAGAGCTTTTTTCGGGGGTCGTCTACGTCGGTACACCGCAAAGATGCATCAATGTCCTAGGGCCTCTTAGGGATGGCGATTCGGTTTTGCTGAACGAGAAGATTCTGACTGCACAGGTCAACTTTTCAATAAGGACTTCGTTTGTCTTCCTTCCCGAGGATGGCGCCTGTTTCGCCAACAAAGAAACTAAAGAGGAATATCGTGTCGACTTTCACGATGTCAACACTTGGATCAAGTACCGCCTCTCGCCATGTATAGAGGCAACATTACCACCGCTCAACCCGAAGGAGAGCCCATACAATTTCAGCTCCCTTCTTCCGCTTCGCAGTCGCGCCTCGAGCGAGAAAAAGAACAGCCACGTCCCACCATCTTCCTTGGCTGATGCTGCGCGTCGAGTCGAGCTTGCACGAGAAGGCATTCTCAACCCCCAGATTGACGGAAACGTTCATCACCAAGATTCTCATCAGAATACACCGTCGCCCTTCACCAAGGGTGTTCCAGGAACACCAACGCCGCCCAACCGTGCCAGAAATCTTGCTTACCTCGAGCGCACGCTTGCAGAGGTGAAAAGGTTCCGCGCCGAGACGCAGTACAAGCCGGCGCATACGGAAGCTAACGTCTACCCACCTCTCGGCGTTATCTACAGCAAGGAGATTCCGACCGTCTCTGCGGTGAACGTTAGTAGTCGCGAGGCTATTGCTCACGCCGACGCCTACGACAATCTCATCTTTGGTGCCGGAGACGGCGTCGTTCTAAGTCGTGAGGCTCAGCTGCCAGAGGGATACGAGCTGGTGAACAATGGTCTGGTACGCACCAGGCGCGGCCACTTGACCATGCTCGGCGACCTGCCAGCCGTGGGCAAGGCACTAGAGGCTGTAATTCGGGGCCGAAGGAAAGGTATCGGGATGGGCCATGCGGTTCAGAAGGCCAAGGCGAGCAGGAGTCACGTCGCCGAAGCTTAGCAAGCCATCGCTAGCCCCTTTAGACGATGCTTCGCATCTGATGGAACGGAGTCACAGATAGAAAATGAGTGACCAACCACCTTTGCACCTTCGCAGCTGTACCATAGGATAACTAACGACCAAAATATGCATACGAGTAATGTCTCTACGCTGAACGTACTCAATCCCTCAATCTGTACATCACCTACCATGCCCTTCCATCACTACTCTGGAGAGAGAGAGAGAGAGAGAGAGAGTAAATGAGCTGCCGTGTCAAGCACGATGACGAGCGAGCCCGCAGCAGCGACTACCAGACGTCCGACCCGGTGCTGCCTGGATGCATGCGCATGCTAGGTCAAAGTAAATCGAGACGGGATTTCCCACCGTGAGACATGCACCGAAGGAACGGAGATATTGGACGCACGCACGCAGATAAGGTGATGTCGGCATGAGCACAGAGAGCCGCAGCTAGCAGTGGCAGGAGTGCATGGCGTTTCTGGAGTGAAGCAGATTTAGACCCGTGTGGTGGTCGTGGTGTTTAGTCAGTACCCTCCCTTCCTTCTTTTTCTCTCTTACAAATACGCATTCCCTCAACTTTTCCCATCTTTCGGAAAAAAAGGCCAGTGCTAAAACGCCCCAAAAGGAAACATCCCATTCCTATTTCTCAACATGTCCAGAGCGCATAAGCCTCATACTCATTATTAATACTCGAAATCGTCATCCACAGCAGGCCCCTTGCTCTTAGTGACGCTCTCCTGCTTGCGGTACATCTCGGCCACCTGGCGACTGGAGGTAGCCTCGTCAGGCTTCTTGTCGTCGCGCACCTTGATGAATCGCGGGAAACGCAGTGAGATGCCCTTCTCGCCGGCCGGGTCCACGCCTTCCTTGCACCCGGCCTTATAGCGCGGGCTGAGCGTCAAGTCGGCCGTCTTGACCTCCCAGACGTAACGAGGCTCGAACCAGACGTCGGGCTGGTGCTGTCCGCCCGAGGAGTGCGCGTAGAATGGCTTCGGCCGGTCAATGACAATGTCTGAGAGCTGCTTGTGCAGCTCCTCGAGGACCGCTTCGGAGAATCCCGTGCCGATGTTGCACACGGTTTCATACGAATCGGACGATGGGTTGTAGCACGCGAGGAGGAACGCGCCGTAGACCGACGTGCGCTTGCCCTTTCCGTGATACGCGCCCAACACAACGAGATCGAGCGAGTCGCCGATGCCGCTGAGGTAATCCTTCTTGATCTAGAAAAGAAGAGCGGTCAGAATATCGGCGCAAATGGTAGCGAGAAAACGAGGGATCATAGCGGCACTCACCTTGAGCCAATTGCGACTTCTCTTGCTGGGCTCGTACCCACTCTCCGAACCGTCCAACATCTTGACCATGAGACCTTCACAGGACGCCTTGACACTCTCGTCAAGGAACTCTTGGATTTGCTCGAGCTCTTGTCCGTTCATGTGTGTTGCTAAAGCAAACTCACCCTCGACTGGCGCAAAGGCGTTCTCGAGAAGCTCACGGCGCTCGCGAAGGGGCTTCTCAACGATAGCTTCGCCATTGAGATAGAGCAAGTCGAAAGCAAACACACAAACCTTGACCTTGACGTCCTCGATCTTGACATCTTTTTTCTTGCGGGTCATTAGTTGTTGGAAAGGAAGAACCTTCTTCTCGTCAACATCCCAAGCAACAGTCTCGCAGTCCAGGACGAAGCTTTTGGTGTCGGGCTTGACCCAGGTGTGTAGCTTTGCCAGGATATCCGGGTACTTTTTGGAAAGATCCTCGGAGTTCCTCGAGAAGATCGAAGCGACACCGTCTGCCGCAGCTTGCGTAGCTCCCGGCAAGGACTGACTAAGTTCCTCATCCGCATTCTTCGCCACATAGTGTATCTGCGCTCTTTCACCGTCGTACTTGTATTCGCAAGTAAACGTTTGGTTCTCAAAGCGATCAAGTACCTCGGTAATTGCCTTTGTTGGTTTCGCCAACATGGGCTTCAGGGGCACGCCAGGCTTAAGCTTGCAATGCTCGCGGAGATTCATGATGCCATGCTCCACCATTGCTGGGATGATGACATCGTAGCTGGGAAGCTCGCTGCGCACAGTCAGTACCGTTTTGGCAAAAGAACCAGATCAAATATACCTGTAGACTTGCTTGAGGACAGCCTCCGCTTGCTCGACGTCTGTTGTCTTTGGGGACTGGCCTTTGGCGTCTGCTTCGTGGTACGTTACGGCTTGGGCCAGTGAGACCAAGACTGTCTTCTCTGCCAGACCCAGACGGAGCTTGCCCTCGAGGAAGCGAACGAGATACTTGGCTTCGCTGGGGCCTCCCTTGTCTTTAGTGATGTCCACCTTTCCGATGTTATGGGCGTCAGCTGCCGACAGCAGCTTCTTGATCGAATCCACCTTGTGGCCTTGAGCTCCGTTGCCAGAAACTGTGGCGATGCCCATCAAGCCCTTGTGAACTCCCCTGATCGTCAGAGCCTTAGGCTTGAACATGGTTGGCTGAGTTGATCTACTCTTGACCGCGACGAGGCCAAGATCTCCAATCTCCTTTTGATCTTGCTTGATGATAGCAAGACTGCGTCCTGTAGTCTCACCAATGGCCTTCATGATGAGCGACTCGCCGATGCCAAGCTCTATACCAGCATAGTCAGGGGCCAGCTTGTTGATCATGAGAAGAACAGTGGGTAGGAGATCATCGGGCGTCAGACGCATGACTTGGCGGAGAAAGAGCGAGCAATGAGCCATAATCTCAAGCCGCTTGGTTGTCATCTCAATGAGAGAGAAGGTCTTGCAGAGCGCCGCGTAGGGAACCGGTTCTCCTGGCTTCCAGTCGGGATAAGGGTCCTTGGTCGCTGTCTTGAGCTTCATCTGGACCTTCTCCAGGGTTTTCTTAGCCGTCTTGGACTTGACTTCCTCCTCTTCGTCCTCAATCTCTTCGGCCTCAGAGGCGGAAGCTGTTGACTCCTCATCTTCATCCTTGGTAGCGACCGCTGGAGAAGGAGACTTGGACTTTTTCGCAGGCGCCGTAGCCGTTGACTTTGTGGACTTGGCGTCCGCCGCTTTCTTCTCTACCTTCTTTGGGCCGTTGTTCTGTGCTTTTGTAGATTTAGGTGACTTGGCTGGAGCCTCGTCCATCACGTCATCTTCGTCCTCCTCGTCTACAACACGCTGACGGCCCCTTCGTGGCCTCTTAGAGACAGGCGCATCGTCTTCCTCTTCAACGTCTTCGTTCTTAACTTCAGGGCTCGACGGCTTGACTGTGGGACTCGGGCTTCGGGTACGTTTCCTCGCCTCTGTAGGTGATCTGTGAGCATTCCGTACAATGGAGCAGGCTGAGGCGGGCATACTAGATGCACCCTTCTTGTCCCTCGCATCATCAACGGTGGTGGCCTCCTCCTTGGCCTCCTTCTTTGGAGCTGCTTTGGTGGCAAAGCTCAGCTTGCTCTGCTGTGGCTCAGGCTTAGAGCCCTTCGCCCCGAAGAACTTGCTGTTGGAAAAGTCAGTACGGTGTCGTTTGAGCCATGCAAGGACCCCAAGACGCATCGGAGAAGCAGCCTGTGGTTTCCATAGTGATTCCGAGGACTTCGCCCTTGTACACACCCCAATGTCGTCTGCGAGGGCTTGACGTACCCCAGTGTGGCCTGCTTCGGCGCCATTGTACGAGTCGATCGACGGTAAACAGTGAAGGATCTGGTGTGGCAACTGAAGAGCGCTCTGGTCGTGGTCCTGTGAGGAATTGGACTTCTTAAAAGGCGGGCGCAGGCGAAGGCAGACATGAAGTTTGGCGTGCGACGATGGGGAAGCTCGACGCGCCGCTCCAGGCAGAAACGCGTTAATTAGCACAGAAGGTGCGCCGGCGTAGGGACCGGCCAGTGACGCGAAAAGGACTCGTTCAGTGCATGGACCCACTTTGAAGACTAGGCGGATTGCCGGATTGGGCAGTTGGCTTATGCACCAATTGAAGTTTCGGTCTCAACTTTCACTGAGGCCGAAAGCATGATATACGAGATCGCTGGCAAATATTATGGCGCTACAATTCACTAGACGTTGAATACATATTGTTTACGCGTCATAATGCATAACCGAACACTAGAGATGTCGAACCAGGTGGATATCTTCAGTCCCCGGCCGTGTTCAGATTGTGACCACTTCACCCTTTCTAGCTAGCAGGTATTGTACAATATGACAGGTTGGTTAGGAGACAATTATTCTTTCATGCGGGAAATTTAGTTGAAGTAGAAAGACTCCTCTGCGGTGCGTCCGCGGATGTACTTGGGCTCGGTGCCCTTGACGTAGATGTCCTCGTACAGGATCTGGGGAGTGGTCTGAGGGACGGCCATAGCCTCGGCGGCGGCAACCTCCTCGTTGACGAAGCTGCGGGCCTCCTTGTCAATGGCCTTGAGCTCATCCTCAGTGACAACCTCCCAGTCCATGATCTTCTGCTTCAGTCCGGCAATAGGGTCGTTGGTAGAGCGCATGCGCTGGATCTCCTCACGGGTGCGGTAGGTGGTTCCGGGGTCGGACATGGAGTGACCACCGTAGCGGTAGGTAACGTACTCCATGACGAGAGGTCCGTTCTCGGCGACAGCCCAGTCCTTTCCGTACTTAACGGCGGCCTTGACAGCGAGGACGTCCATGCCGTTGATCTTCAGACCAGGGATGTACTGACCACGCTTGTAGTAGTCGGTAAGGGCGGAAGAGCGAGCAGCAGCGGTACCCATGCCGTACTTGTTGTCTGATATACACGTCAGTCGGGCTGGTTCATCCTAGTGTTGGCGGAAAACTTACTCTCGCATCCAAAGAGGGCGGGCAGACCCCAAAGCTTGGCCATGTTGAAGGCCTCAAAGACCTGACCCTGGTTGCTAGCACCGTCACCGTACAGAATAACGGAGGCGTTCTTGCGGCCGGTGTACTTGTGGGCGAAGGCAAGACCAGCACCGACGGGAACCTGAGCACCGACGATACCGTTGCCACCGTAGAAGCCCTTGGCAAACATGTGCATGGAACCTCCCTTGCCGTAGGCGATACCCTCACGGCGACCCAGAAGCTCGCCGATAATGGAGCGGATAGTGCCGCCGCGCATGTAAGCGAAACCGTGGCAACGGTAAGAAGTGATAACATCGTCCTCGCGGGTCAGAGCGTGCTCAATACCAACAGCGACAGCCTCCTGACCGGTAGACAAGTGGCAGAAACCACGAATCTTCTTCTCCTTGTACAATCGGTCGGCAGCCATCTCCATTTGTCTGAACGTGGGGTTAGTTGAGGGGTCGGATGGGCGCAGATTTCGCACTTGGATAGATACCACCATACCTGACAACAACCATGTCCTTGTACATCTGCTTCAACTCGTTCTTGGTAACCTCGAGGGTGTATGGCGGGGGGTCGAGCTCATAGGTCTCGAAGCTCTCGTCGCTCAGGGTAACCTTGAAAGGCTCATCGTCGGACTAAAACAGGCAAAAATCAGCCATTTTGAACCACTGAGTGAGTCGTGATCGGTGCAGGCGGTGGTATTCCGAGAGTTCGTGACCGGATATGGCGGCGGGAAAAGAGCGCAAACTGACCTTGGGGAGGCTCTTCTCCAGGGTCGCAGAAGCGGCATTGGTGGTGACGGACCGGGACGCGGGAACGAAAGAGGCGGGAGCGCGAGTGCGCAGAGGCACCGCTCGGTTTAACCTGATCGCGCGGGAGAACATCGTGGGGGTTGAGATGATGGAGCCTCCGGTCGATGAGGATGTGAAGGGTTCGGGGGAAGGAGGGTGATAACAAATTATTTGGCCGCTGGAGCTCCGAAAAATCGCGGCGTTGGTTGGGAAGGGAGCTGCTGCTTGTTGAAAACTACTAGTCCCATATGGGCTTAGCTCCTAAACACGTGACCTTCAACGGGAGTTTTGCAAGTGCGCCTGCTCCAAAGACACCCTGCCACTTCGTTCCGAGCGGTGGCATTGTCCTCAATTTCTGGTGGGCCCGGCTTGCAACGGTCGGTCTTTTTTTCGTTCGGCGCTCATAGAGTTGAGCGACTATCGGAGATAGCAAGGGAATTGAGGGCATTCTTCCCCAATCGCCGCAGAAGCCCCGCGTCTAACCTGCTGAGGCGAGAACTCAATTCGTCCAGTTGGCGCTCCCGACGGACATCCCACCAGCGCGCTTGTTAATCCGTTGCTCGCCGAGCCGACGACAATACTCAGCCTGCACTCCGCTGTTTTGGGCACTTAGGTTGTGTTGAGGCTTACACGCATTCAATGCGCAGCATCGCCAGTCACGAGTTCTGATTGCGACTCCTGAACAGCCTACCGGATCTTTCAATAAGCGAACTCTTTCGCCTGACATTAACCACATGGCAACCTCGTTAAGAAGTTTCAGTCTGAGGCAGTATATAGCTCTACTATTACTCTACCATGGGGTATATTAAAAAAAGCAGCCGGCGTGGCCGCTGAGGCAATGCTGAGCAACTTCAGCGCCTCCCAATCGTGAGTCCCGCCCATCGTCCGTCCCTGAAGACCCCAAAGCGAAGGACCCCACCCCCAAAATGCTGTCAATGGCATGCTCGTCTCCCTTCCAAATGCATGAATGCTTCCTGACCAACGCCGAACGAAGCCATCCTTCTTAATATGGATGGCTATCACAGTCTATGCTGAGAAGCGCGTCATCAATAAAAAAAAAACCTGTTGAAAAAGCGGTACTGATGCTGTGGCATCATGGTCCACCGGCAAGTCGAAGATGCCCTGGTAGTAGACGCCGCCAATGCGTATGTACCAACTGTATCTTTGTGGTGCGATAATCATCGCTGCTTGTAGGAACCCTCGATCATGCTCCGTCCGCAGAAGGTTCCTCTAGTCGTCATGGAAAAACGTCTTGTTACCGCCTTGAAGAGGGGCCGTAGAAGGGCCGGCATCCCTCATATCTACATCCTGGCTTCCGGCGGCTTCGCGGCTTGGGCCGGCGACAGTCGGCTGCTGTTGTCTAAAATCGAGTTGCATGGCGCTCATTGGTCGATTCGGAGTTTCTTGCAAAACGCGTTGCTGAAGGGAGAGCGGACGGTCATACAACACGTCCTCGGGTGGAGAGAAAGACCACACCTAGCAGCATGTCAGTGCCATGAAAGCCGTGAGTTGGAGTTGTGGGATATCTTACCTCCATCACGGTTCGATTCTGTCTCAAAGCCAATGCAACACACTTTTCGTCTTCGAAAGCCACTCGCCAAACAGCCTCCCCTTGGGCGATGAGCTCTCTGACCAGGTGACCAGTCTTGAGGTCCCAAATCTTTACTCTGCCGTCACTGCCGCCACTGACAACGCGCGTATCATCGAACTGCAAGCTGGTCACGCTGTTATCGTGCGCAGCGAGTCGATGAATGGGGCACATCTTCTCCAAAGACCACACACGTACAGATCCGTCAGAGCCACCAGTTACCAAAGTGTCTCCGCGCATTTGCAACTGTCCGACGAGAGATGTGTGGCCCTGCAGAATGGCCAAGCATTCACTGCATCTGGTCAGTAAATCAGTCACCATGCCACAGATTCTGTGTACTTACGCAGTTCTAGGGTCCCAAATCCGAACGTTGGTGTCCAAGCTGCCGGTGACCACCCTCTTGCCGTCGAAGGCAATGGCATAGATCTGACTGAAGTGACCCTGAAGTGTTTGAATGCATCTGCCCTCCGATATGCTCCAGACCTTGGCCATGGTGTCGTAGCTGCCTGACACAACGATGTCTCCCTTGATCTCTAAGCATCGGACGCTGGCGCCGTGGCCAACGAGGACGTTTCTGCACAACCCGGTTCGAATATCCCACACTCGAAGCGTCGTATCGCGCGAGCCCGATATCGCCGTGTTAGCGTCAGACATTTTCAAACAGCGCACAGTTGATGTGTGACCCCGAAGAGTATGGAGGCAGGCGCTGCGTATGTTAGCGAGATGATCAATGTCGCGACTTGTAATTGCTTACCCAGTTGCCAAGTTCCATACGCGCACATCGCGGTCACATCCACCGCTAACCAGAATGTCCTCCCAGGGCACCATCGCCCATACGCCCATGACATGACCTTGCAGAGTACGCTGAGCATTGCCCTTTGTGTCAAAAACGTGAATCTTGGCGTTGTCAAGGGCCACGATGATGTACTTGGGCGTCAAGTGTAGGCTTGTCACAACACCCCCTTCTTGAGTAATGTTCCTGGTTGTGCTGGTGCCGCCAGATCTCCAGGCTGCCTCAACAAGGTATCGTTGCTTGAAGTGGGACTTGTATGATCTCATTTTGGGCCGTGTATTTGAGCCATCGAGACTGCGTGAGCCAGAGGCATGAGCAGTCATAGGCAGCGCACCCGGGAAGCTGCTGCTGGCATACTCGTTGTCACCCCAAAGAGGCTGAGCGCCAGGTCGCGATGCGCTGCCCATAGGAACAGAAACCTCCGAAAGACGTCTGCCGTAGTCATGCTTCACACATAGGTTCTTCCACGTCATGTCGTCGCTGAGCAAGTCGCGCCATCTCCTTGATACTTGCGACGCACGAGCCAAGACTTTCGGATCATCAATGAATGAGAGGATCTGTGAGGCACGAAATTAGCACAGAGCCCCTTAGAATTTTCACGTTGCCTTACGCGTAGACACAGCTCATCTGGGAGACTTGTGAAAGGATCCTTCTTGAGCAACGGGCTGACGAATTGGTGGACGAAGCTCAGCTGTTGGCTTGTGCAAAGATTTAGAAGATCTGCGAGAAGTCTGGTTCGGTGCGGACCACCAGAGTTCTTGAAGTGGTGGCGAACTTTAGCCAGGAAGAAATCCTCATCATCTGCAGCGTGACTCCAGTCAAGCTCGTGGTGGGACGGGCCTGGAGAAGCTGCCGGAGTCGGAGGTGGCGGCGGCGAAGCAGTCAATTGTTGGTCAAAGTCGGCAGCAGGCGTCGTCATGCTAGGCGTCGGAGGGCCTCGCATGTGGCCAGGCCGCGCGGGCATCTTCTCCAATCTCGTCGAACTGCTAGACATTCCTCCGGTGTTGAGCGTCATGTCGTCGCTAAGCATGCTGCCCCTCCGTTCGGAAAAACTCAACGGACGGTTGTTGTATCCGGCCATGTCGGTGTGCAAGATGAGCCAGTTGTCCCCCAAAGTGTCGAGACCCGGGTATTGTGCGAAATCAGAGCTCCAAGTAGCACAGCCCAGATAACCGAGAGGGCGTCGTACGGGGTTTAGGGGATCGAGGCAGCGTCGGAGTGTGGAATCGATGCGGAGTGCTCATTAAACAGTGTTAACAGAAGATTTCCAAGCGGCTTGGATTGTCGTCAAAGCGTCCAGGCGAGGGAGTGCGTCAGAGTTTGGCGAGTGGGCAATGCGGTATGCGTCCAAGACGTGCGGCGATACAGGAGGCAAGAGGAGAGGAGGGCGCAAGGTACGGGTAGTCGCACCTCGCGGCAGGAGCGTCACGGATCGACGTGGTCTGGGTTGGCGATGTCGGATTTGCGAAGATGCAGTGATGGTTAGAATGCGCGTATGATGGAGTATGTGAGGGTGTAATGCAGCGGCGGAATAAAGCGAGAATGACGGTATCGGCTGGAAACAAGAAGGTCGGGCTTGTTCCGGGAAATGGACGAGACGAGCGTCGGTTTGTCTAGACTGGGAGTGACACTGAGGGACTGAAGCTGAAGTGCGGTATGGGGCGCGGGAGACGAAAGCTTAACAATCGGAGTTGACAAGCGGAAAGCGTGGGTCGCTGGGCCTGGCGCTGGTGTAATGGAATGTACAGGGCGTCTCAGTGGAAAGTGGATTTTTCTGTGATTGCGGTGGTATCGCTGGTTGACGCCCAAATGCCTTCACACACCTCCCTGTGAAGGTGGCTGTCTCTGGATGGATTGTCGAAGGGCGGGAAGGAGAGGTGGGAGAGGAGGAGAAGGAGATGGGATTGGAGAGTCAAACCAACCGAGATGTGTTGGTTGGATTTGGGGATTTGGGGAGTGGGAGGGAGGAAGAAGCGGAGGAGGAGGAGGACGAGGACGAGGAGGACGAGGAGGAGGAGGATGGAAAGGAGATCAGATACTGGACGAGCACTGCGTAGCAAGTTGGGCAGATGAGGTAAGGAAAGGCCTGGGTGTGGTGCTAAGGTACGAACGGAGCAGGTAAGGGGAAGGGGACTCAGGACCAGCCAGTAATACGGATACCACCAAACGCAAGATCCAAGACCAGCGCGGGACTGGGGTGGAGGGACGCTTTTTTGCAACAAGTGAGATGGATGTCCAGGGCAAAGAGTCAAGGCTTGCTTGGTCGCTGAAGCACGAGGTACCCAATGTGCCAATGGAATGATGATGCCCTGGGGCCGGGCAGGTAACAAAGGCGGGTTTTAGGCGGGAGAAGGCGAGATCAGAGACCACACTGCACCAGCTACCACACCTCAGGCAGAAGGGGGAAACGGGTGTGAGTGGATGGGTGGGTGGATGGATGGGCGGATGAATGAATGACGGACGATGGAAGGGGGAACTAAGACGAAGAGCGCCGAAGAAGGCCTGGGCTTGCGGCTATGTGGGTGTGCCTGGAAGGGGCCTGGGTAATGGAGGTTTGCTAGGTACCTTACCTTCAGACAGGTTGGGAGTGGCAGAGACCAGAGGTATTGGTAGAGGTACGGCACTGTCGATAGAAAGGCAGAAGGTGCCACACGGGTCACAGTGCATTCGGCGGGGCCTGTTTCTCTTTGTGCTACCTACCTCCCGTCTTTCATCACTGGCATATTGAGGCCCGGGGGAGGCAAAGACGACGAGGAGGGGCGGAAGTGGAGGGACCGGGAGGCGAGAAATGCTTACTTGCAAATGCTTGGGATCCAGAGAGACTGAAGAGTTGCAGGCACATATCATGCGAACGGGAACAACGTCGAAGCCTGTGTCCGTACAGGCAGGCAGTGTTCTCTTACCTCGTGGCGGTTTACAACATGCAGCCATACCAAGGACATGGCGCTCGCCCGTGAATCCCAAACAAACAGATTTTTATTCTGGGGCTTCTCTAGCGCTGTTTCGTGCCTGTTACCCTCCACCACGGGACCGACATCTGACACTTCAGCTGACCTGGCAATCTCGCTCTGAGCTGAACGAATGCAAGCCTACAAGCCAGGTGCCATCGAAACCATTCTGCGTGTCCGCCTAGAAGATGAGAACCTCTCCAAAGAACATGAGAAAGAACATCGATCGGGACTGCTCAGGTATTCCGGGGTGCGGACACCGCAGGATGGGAGCAATGGCGGCGGCAGCCAAGCGCGGCCTGCAAACGGCCGGTCCCGACTCGCTTCGCCAATCACCTGCCTTTCCTGCAGCTGGGTTGGGTGGGAAATGGCTGCACTTTCCGTTTGGTGGCCAACTTCACTTACAAGTCCTGACTACGTGCTACCTTTTTCTACACTACCTAGGTACGGACTTTTCAAGGGAGACATGGTCGGACGGACGTTTCTATCTTTCCCCATCACATCTTGGAGAACGACATCAGCGAGTGATAGTCATCTGACTATTGTGTCTATTGTCGAATGCGAATGCGGATGGAATGACGAACAATGCCGAGTCATCCATCCATCCATTGATCTCCCTTGTCCGCATCGACCAAGCCGTGTCTCTCTTCGCCCATCGACAGTCTCGAATAGCCGCTCTATCGAATGCGAACTCGTTATTTACAGTTGAGCCCCTACATTCCCACATTCCCCAGCTCCGAGGCCTGGGTTCGTTCTCTCTTTCCCAGGCCGCCTGTCATGAACAGCTGAGCAAAGTCTCACCTCTTCTTGTCTCGCGGCGAACACACACCAACACACACGCACATTACCTTCCTGGGGTCCTTGCAGGGTCCCAGTTAGCGGCGCTTACATTGCACTAGGTATCCATCGTCTGCACCGCAGTGGGTATTCGTGACGTCGATCAGTTCTTTCAACTCTTTGGGGGCTGCCGAGTGCGAATTTGGCTCAGTGCCCCGAGCCGCCTCCACCGCCGCCGCCGCCGAACAAGAAGTTGGAACCGACCAGGGCAACCTTCAGCAATACTTTGTGCGGCTTGCCCATGGAGACATCACCACGATGGCGCAATAGTAAAGAGGACGCTCTCCGCTTCGGCTCGCCTCCCTCGACGCCAAACGGCGGCATCACGACACTTGCGCCATAATGGAAACCCCGGTGCATATACCCCGGCCCTGACAGAGCCACAGCCGCGCCCCCGGCGTCACTGGATCCAGCGCTCGTTCTGCATTGTCTCGCACTCTATCTCCTTCGTGTGGTTCTGTCAGCAGAACTCACCTGTCAGTCAACGAACCAATTGTTTCTAACCCCAGCAGAGCTTGCTATACCCAACCTTACTGTACAACTTCTCCTACGACCTTCCTCATTAGATTGTCGTCGTCACACCTTGCCGAGAGTTTCGTGACTTGATGTTGTAACCTTCAAAAGACTTTTGTCGGCATGTGGCTTGCACGCAACTCCGGGCTGGGCGCATTTACCAGCCGATGATCAGATCTTCGTAAAGGTTAGGTACGCTCCCACAACGGCGAGGAAAGACGAACCTCCCATACCATACGCGCATCATCAGACGACGATTCCATCACTGCCTCTAGAAAACCATCGTTGCCGACTAGCCCGCCACAAGTGCCTCGACCACCCAGCACAAGGGCGTCAACAAAACAACAACAATGGCTTCTTCGGACCGTCGTAGTAACCCAACCGCCCTAGAGGTCAACCACCGACGGGCACGAACGAAACAAGTCATGACCGTCGTATCGCGGATCCGGCACACTAAGTTTAGCTACCGGCCTCGGACAAGCCCGCAGCACCTACCGCCAGAACCCCCAAATCCCTCGAGCTCGTATGTATTTTGGTATGCGTTGGTTACTCATCATCGTCTTTCAAAGATACGAAAGTAAGATGGATGGGATGAGCAGTTGCATACCACTATCCTCAAGCAAGCCACTGCAATAGTTTCAACTCATCATATCCAGAGAGAAACCCAGCAAGCATGCCATAAAAAGAAATGGTCCACGGTCTATCCCGCTCAGCTCAGCTCCTTCGCGTGTGTCTTCCCAGCTCCCCTTAAAAGGGCTTTGCAAACTTGCGACACTACCGGCTTGGATGCCTCAGATCTGCCCCAGTGATACAACACAGGGGTGCCATTCTCGAGCCTGCGCCGCTCAGACCTGTCTAAGCCGACCCTTCCAAAACCGAACCCCGGGGAATCCTTCTCATTTGCAGAGACAACAAATAGGCTCTTTTTTCCTTTTCGAAGGAAAGAACATTTCGGACTGTCCAATATTTGAGGAGGTTGACAATGCTAATGTCGGTCCCTAATGGGATGATCTGTGTCTGAAGAATTGCGACACCTGCATACCTCTCAATCTCACGCCCTCTCAATAAGCTCCAACCAGCCCCCTGTACAAGTGCCATTTTCAACTTCTTGACTTGCAGATCCCCCTCGGCTGTCGCAGAGGCATGAAAATCGTCAATTTATTTCTGGGCTGACATTCCCGTGTGAGAAGTTGATTAAAAGGCTTCCACATTCCGCTCTATGCTGGATTGTGTTCTAGATGGGACTGTGTCTCAGACTCAGAGCACCATCGCAGCTTCCAAAGCGCCGCAGGCCGCTCTCTCTGTCCTTTGAGCCTCAAGGTAATGACTGGTCTGCTGATGAGCGCAACGCGCACACACGCGCTCACGAGCCAAACGCCTTTAATCCCCATTACCCCTCCTTCTCGATTGTCCATGTTTCCTTGCGCCGTTGTAACGAAGCGCCACGAGCGCCTCGCTGGTGCCAAGGTCGTCGTACGAACTTGAAACACTCGGGACGGAAACCTAGCTCAACTCGGGCGCTTGGTGGACAAGGGTTTCCCTAGCTCTCCATGCGCCTGCTCTGCAGTAGTTTCCCTCACAACATGTTGCCGGTGCATCGACGGGCTCCTTGGCGGGCGAATCGTGTTTCTGGAAATGTCAATCAAGAAACTTTTCGACTTTTATACAGTTGCGGACGGCATCGATCGATCTAGTACAGAATCTTTAAAAAAAAAAAAAAAAAAAAAAAGAAAAAGAAAATAGATATATCCTTTTGAATCTGGCGGGCCCCTACGCCGAACAACTACAGTGTATACAGTCATCATCATCATGAGTCAAGAGAGTCTTGTCGTACATCGAAGCCTCGATTCGTTCACACGGATAGGCCGAATGCTATCCCACGTGGCAACGCTAGTGGTGATGCCCAAACTGAGTAAGGAGAGGTAAGAGCATGCCGGCGACGGTTGCAAAGGTATCTCGCATTTGCGGCCGGTGTTGCACCCGTTGGCTTCCTTCTGAGTATCCGTTCATTCCGCCGTGCTCGTGCTTGGGGGAGCTGCTGTCTTCCTGCATGGCGTGCATCGCAACGAAGCTTGTATGTGTCAGTCGTGGAAGTCTGATTCAGGGATGGCGTCCGACTTACAGGAAGGTCCCCGCTGAGAATAGCAGAAGCATACCAGTCCACCACTGGCCGGACTCTCCGTCGAGGTTGCCGCCGCCTAGGATCTGTATAATTGCCCACGTGCTCAAGGCACCGAATGGAGCAGCAAGGCTGAAGACGATCAAGTGGCCTCGCGCCGCACGCTTGGTCAGACCCTGCTTAAGGAGGACTGAAGTCAACCCAAATGCCGCAGGCGCTTTGTGAACCATAATGGCGACGAAAATGATCAGGCCCAGCTTCGTGTTCGAGGTCGACGTCGAAGCTCCCATTGCTATACCGTCGGCTGCTGCATGGATCACTAGGCCGATGGTGGTTGCAAGACTTCGAGATTGCTTCGGCGGGGGTGCCAGAGCCCCCAAGAATCCCTCCGACTCATCATCAACACTGCTGGATGCGCCCCCGAGGTTATCCAAGCTGACATGCCGCATCTGCGGTTCGTTTCCCATACGGTCTGTAGCGTGGCGGGGCAATCTGTCGATGAGGAACATGAGCACAAAACCGAGGATCATGGACAGGCCGATGTAGAAGGTCGGCACCTCGGCTTGTTTCTCCTCGCTGTATTTTGGCTCGGCGCCCGGAGCATGAACCGGGGCAGTTCCGTCGTGGCCATGTTCGGGCGCAGGCGGCTCCTCTCGACCGCGCAACCGCATGCCAGCAACATCAACGTGCCCGACCGAGGAAGACTCCCCTCTCCGCCTCGTGGGATCGGTCCTCGTCGCTAGTCGCGGGACGTCGTCGCCTGTCGTCCAGCGTACATCCAAGCTATGTTGCCTGCCAACCGCGGTCGCTATGCTTCTCTTATCATGGTGGTGCCCCCCGGTGGTCGAAACAGCTTCAATGCCCTCGGGTATGATCACAATCATCGACGTCCCAACCAGAATACCAACACCAACGCTTGATATGAATCGAAGTTGCGACTGTGTTAGGGAGATAGCGAGGGGCAGTGAGCCGGCGAAGAAGGACCTATTGGCGTATTATATCAGTACGGATCGTTCGGGTCGTGTGCTGGTGTGTTCGGTTGGAGACATCGGCCTCATCGAGGAGCTACGTACGCCAGGGCCATCACCGTCTGTGATCGCAATCGTTAGCTTGGTCATCAGTTCGTAGTTTGGCGGTCGAAGTCCAGCCGAAGCTAAGTAAGACAGCTAGGTGTCAACTTACGCTCAGCATGAGCAGTAACAGTAGCCCTCCCATTTTTGGGTGCCGTAAAATGCGTCGGTCAATTACTTTGGCGCGAGATAAAAGACGTGGGGAGAGGTTGCCGAGATCGAGAACGTCGGGTTACGCCAACATGTCTGGTACCGTAATCAACGGCCACCCTGCTTGCCTGCTGCTCAACGGAAAGAGGAGGAGGGAATTCGCAAACTTGAGACCTTTTTTCTGCTCGTCGTCTCTCAGCTCGTTCAAAGGGATAATCGTCGAGGTTGGTTTCGGAGCTAAGCTGGGCACACTGGTTGACTTTCCGAATGTATTCAGTGCAATTCATTGGCCATTGGCCCTACCTAACTGCTGCCCCCTTCAGACGGCCAGGGGGCTGCTGCTCCTGCCTTGTCACCACATGTCGTAATGCTGGTGGGTCCCCGGCCTCCCCTCCTGCCGCTTGCTCTGCGAACTGGACGGAACCTGGCCCGGGGAGCTATTTCAGGCTTGACGCTGCCACTAGAGGGGGACCCATATTAAACCCCTCTAAATGCAAATCCATTTAGTCCCTGTCGCGTCTTGTCGCGAGTCGCTTTGACTGCGCGTCGCCACAGTTTGTCGCAAAGCTCGACCTGATCCGTACTTTAGCTCCCATTCAACCTTGATTGTCTCCCAAACCTCGACTTTTGGTGCGATTTGCACAGAAAAGCGATCCGTCTTAGCCAGCACATCTCACCAACTCTGTTGGCTCTATCGGTTGTGAAACAATCGCAATATTCGCATCCAACCCTGCCTCCAGCTGTCGACACCATGGCTGAGATTGATGAGTGTACGTTCCAGTCAGGTCGCTTCAATCCATCGTTGCAGGTCACTGATTATTGCTGCAGGGTCGGCAAACGCCACTGAGGCCGTGAACATCAGCCTGATTGCTCCTGCTGCCGGCGCAACGAAGTCGATCGCTTCATTCAACCCAAAGTTCACATACTCCATTTTCGGCGATGAGGAGACCATCTTTGGCTACAAGGATCTCAAGATCAACCTGCGATACCTGACCTACGATATGCGCCCTCATGTTAAGGTGTCGTGGGGCAAGAAGTTCAACTCTGTCGGTGAGACTGAAGCCGCAGATATTGACGACATTCTGAGGCAGCATCTGCCTGGTGGTGAGTGTCGCCTCCGTCGCAACAGGACCATAGCTAACCTCCCGAAGTCGCGTTCCAGTCAACCAAGGAATTCGAGAGCCGCGCGCAAAGTCAGCCTGACAACTTCACCCCTCCCGGTTCGCTTCACTCGAGCTTCGAAGGCGATGATGGAACATACGAAGTGTGGAAGGGTAGCTTGGCGGACACCGCCGTGCGCCAGATCGTGAACCGCGTCGAGGCCCTCGTTCCGATGTTCATCGAAGGAGGATCGTACATCGCGCGCGATCCGGAGAACGAGGAGGATCCTTGGAAAGCACCCGAAGACGCCAACCGGTGGACCGTCTACTTTCTGTATCGCAGGCAGCCATCTGCCGAAGCCTCAGAGACACCATCCTACACTTTCGTCGGCTACTCGACTGTCTACAAATTCTTCAGCTTCCGTCCTCCGACGCCACCCTCGAGCGATTGGGATCTCCCGAAGGAGGAGTTCAACCTCCTAGATCAGTTGCCCTGCCGCTCAAGACTTTCTCAGTTCCTTATCCTGCCGCCTTTCCAGGGTAAAGGCATCGGTGCCCGTCTCTACAAGACGATCTTTGACACATACCTTCAAGATCCCCAGACCTTTGAGCTGACAGTCGAGGACCCTAATGAGGCGTTCGATGACATGAGAGATCTCTCTGACTTGACGTTCCTCCGCTCTTTGCCCGAGTTCAGCAAAGTCAAGATCAACACCGATATCTCTCTGCCGAGGCCTCCTACCGGTACGGTCCCCCGGGACCTGGTGGATTACGAGTTGCGTCAGAGCCTCCGCCAAAAGACAAAGATCGTGGAACGTCAGTTCAAGAGACTGATTGAGATGCATACTATGTCTCAGTTGCCTGCTTCGGTCAGGGCAGGATTCGGCGAGGAGAAGAAGCCATTAGCTACAAAGGAGGACAGGCACCAATATCATCTGTGGAAGCTCTTCGTCAAGCAGCGCATCTATCGTCAGAACGGCGATGTTCTTGGTCAGCTGGACATCAGCGAGCGAAGTGAAAAGTTGAACGAAGCCCTCAGGAGCGTGGAGCTTGAGTATGCTAGACTCCTGGATTGGCACGCACGTTGGGAGAAACACAGACTTGGTGCCACCGAGGCGGACGAGTCCAGCAGTAAGAGAAAGTCAGTGGATGATGCCGAGGAGCAGGGTTCCAACAAGAAGGTCAGGATCGAAGACGTCTGAGCTCTCCACAACTTATGACGATGGAAAAGGGCAGGGATTGGATCCAGGAGTTCAAGGTTGTCATCGAGTCTATTCTGTCATTCTGCTTAGGCCTCTGCCCGGTTGATACCAAGTTTTTCATAGGCAGTTTGCGGCCACTTTGTCATTAATCAAAATTGAGCATCCGCTGCCTGCTCATGACCTATCCAAACTCATGTCTGGCGTGATAGTGTTTTAAAGGCTGGGGAACCCGGATTGCGCAGGGAAACGAGTGCCGTTGACGCCCTGTACGCCCTGGCCGAGCTGGCTAGCGACGACAGTTGATTCACGCACCGCACGTGCAATTGTGCCTCTAACACGACCCTCCTCGAGCACCATCAAGCCTCCGATCGTGCAGCCGCCCGGAGTGGTCACCTTGTCCCGGAGAAGCGCAGGGTGGTCGCCGTTGAGGACCATGCCGGCGGTTCCCCTCATCGTTTGGGCAGCCATTCTCGTGGCCTCAGCACGGGGAAGACCCATGGCAACAGCTCCGTCAATGGCAGACTCAAGCATGAGCGCGAAGTAGGCGGGGCAAGAGCCGCACAGCGCGGTGCTGGCGTCCATGTTATTAGGAGGGAGATAAACCACATCACCAATGCGCCTGAAGATCCAAGTAACCAGGCTGGAGATTTCGGGGGAAAGAGGCCAGGTCGAGGTGCCGATGACGGTCATACTCTCGCGGATCAGCGAGGCGGTGTTGGGAACAGCTCGGATTACGCGGCAGCGGCCGTCTTCCTCTGGGCTCTTGGTGGGCGCTACACCGTGGAGGATCTCCTCGAGGTCGGCCTCGGTGACGCCCGCGCAGACGGAGACAAGGAGCTTGCCATGCAGAGCGCGGGCCATGCCAGGCTCGCTCAGGATATCCTTGACCATGTACGGCTTGCAGGCAAGGAGGATGACGTCGGACTTGAGGACAGAGGGGATGTTCTCGTTCTGGACAACCTTGAGAACGGACGAGTGTTCCCAAAGAGCCTTCTTGACCTTCTTTGCACTTTCAGGACGGCGAACGCAGGCGATGAAGCGGGATGGTAGTCGGCGGGGGACTTCGTCTTGGAGAGGAGTGGAAGTCCCTGACCCTGAGGGAGTCTGCAGGGGCTTGGGGGCTTGCATCTCCTGTAGAGAAGTGAGAATACCATTCAGTATGGCAATGCCCATGGTGCCTGTTCATGTGTTAACCATCTATTCTATTTTGAATGTCGTGTTTTTCTCGTTGAAGAAAAGTCGTTTGGACCTGGTTGAGATAACTTGAAAAAATGCGGAGATATCATGAAAATCAGAGACACGAGCTTACTTACCACAGCCAAGGACGGTCATGGTGAGCTCGTCTGACGACGAGGCACCGCCATCGTAGATAGTGAGTGCGTGAGAGGGCATGATGAGACAAAGTGTGAGTTGAAATCGCGGGTGTAAGTGAGGTCGTGGCTTGCAGTTAAAGCAATTGAAACGTTCACACGCTGCTTGTCTCTAGGAATCAGATCAAGGGCACAACTAGGTTTGGACCAAAACTTCGTTTTCAATCGCAACGTGTCAAGCTATTTTAGCCCAGCAGAGCCCAAGTAAATAACATTATTGAAATATTGTTCACCTCCTTTTACAAGACTCCACTGTTCCCGATATCGTCCATATCATCCACTGAGAGCGATCATTTTCCGGGCAGCTACACGCTAACCCAAATCTCGCTTAGCGTCCCCGACTCGGGGTTCTCATAGTGCTGGGGTAGGAAAAATGAGAAATGCACAGGCCGTCCCTGTGAGAATGACACTTTCTGGTAACCAAAGTAAGAGAGCGCTCTGGTCAGCAACTCAATCAGATTCAACTAACCGAAGCTCATCCAGCCAACGGCTTTCAACATCATCAGGAGGAGCACCCGTCGCTTTTATTACCAGGCGGATCAGACGAACATATATACTGGGGAGTATCCCCAACTGCGACAGACATGGCGGACCCTTTCGAGGTTCGGATGCGCTTTACATCTCAGCTGCAGCACCTGAACGCATCCGTCACTTCTGCTCAGAAGGCTGCCCAGTATGCGCTCAAGTACAAGGACATGGACGAAGACTTGCATTCATGCATTGTCGAACAGTTGGAACGTGGCGTAAGTCCCCTTCTTTTGCGTGAAAAGAATGAGAAAGCTGACCTACATACAGAACAATATGAATACCAGAGCCAACATCATGTACTTCATCGAGCATTTCCTGGAGATGGCGCAGAAAGACAACCACGTGGACTACGTTCGCATGATGCAACGCGACATTATTCGGATCGTCGATGCAGTCGCTCCGGATGATGGATCCGGTGCTGCCAACGTCAAGGTCGTCAGAAGGGCAAGCTAACTCAGCTCTCGCAGTAGAAGAATCAAATGCTGACGTTTCCAAGGTTCTCCAAGGACTTCAACAAAAGCAATTTTTGCAAGCTCAGACGGTGACTGAGATCGAAGAGGTCTTGAAAGAACGAGAGACAAGCGCCCGCGATGCTGGCTTGTCATCGCCTGTCAACGGCGACGTCGATATGGGCGACGCGCCCCCGAGCCACGCGATTCCGACTAACGGTAGGGCGCCACGGCTGGAGAAGCGACAGATCGAGCAGCGCATTGAGGAGGACCGCGAACGCCACAAAAGACTGCGCGAGAGTATCTGGGCCATCCCATCGCACGACAACGCTGAGACCGACAAGATCTGGGAGGAGACAAGCGACATGGGTGACGATGACCACATCCTTGGACAGGAGGAGTTTACCGAGTGGCGCCAGTCCATGGAACATCAGTGCGCCCCTCGTCCGCCCGCTGGTCCCGCCAGCACCCGTATCACGAATGGCAACAAGAAATATTAGTTGCTGCTTACTCGAACTCACAATAGGCATATCGGGGCGTTTGGGTGATTGAGTCAAATAGGCGTTAAACGGTCGGTTCTCGTAGAGCCATGTATACCACTGATCGGGTATGGTTGCTTCCATGGTTCCTGTAGTTGTGGGCTCTGCGGCGCATGAGGCAGTAGCCAGTCACAAAAAGAGAGGTCTCAAAGTCGTCAGTCAATGGTGGTGTATGTCTTTATAATATTGTTACATGGGTGTTTATACACTCATACACATCACATCTAGACCAATCCGATCCAGATCTCGACGTCAAAAATGTCCCGAGTTTTCATCATCTCCTCCCAGGAGAGTAGTCGTCGCTCTCGTCCACTGAGCCTAGCCAGCCAATTCAAACGGGCAGAATTTACTCCATAACGACGGTGGCACCAAGCTCCTTCATCGTGGCGATAATCTTCTCAGCCTCGTCCTTGGCTACATTCTCCTTCATCAGCTTCGGCGCGCTCTCGACGAACTTCTTGCTGTCCACCAAGCTGAGACCGAGCAAATTCTTGACCTCCTTAATAACCTTGGCCTTGGCACCAGCGTCGAAAGCAGTCAGCTTGAGGTTGAAGACGCTCTTCTCGGCGGCGGCTGGCGCTGCCTCCTCGGCGGCCTCAGCGGGGGCGGCTGCTGCGGGGGCAGCGGCGGCAGCAAAACCACCAACGGGAAGATCGGGGATGTTGAGCTTGGTCTGAAATAGTGTACATCGTCAACATCAGCGCATTCTGCATCTGGCGACATAATTGGGTTCCACTATCCGCCCCGACCATATCCGTATTTAACTCACCTTCAAGCTTGAGACGAGGTCGGCAGTTTCCAGAAGGGTAAGGGTGCTGATCTGGTCGACGATAGCGGCGATCTTGAGGTTCGTGGGTGCTGCAGCCTCGGTCGAGTTGTGCCTCCTAGCGGTCGCGGGGGTTCGGGTCTGGAAGAGGGTCGTCGAAGCCCGCAGAGAGCTGCTGGAACGGAGCTGGCGGGCGCAGCTCTGGGCTGCGTATCTGCAAGAGAGCGCCATTGCGAGTGCGTTTGTGATTGAAGGGTTTTTTGCAGGAGCGCAATTGAACCTTGGTTCGGGGCGTGGCAGGTGGGCGGGAGGAGTGGAATTGGTCGTCGGTTCGGCCTTCGCAGCACGCAGGGAGATTCCAAACTCGGGATTCACACTGCTTGAAGTTTTTCGAGCTCGATTGCCCAGTCGCGCGAGTGGTGCAGAGTTGTCTCCACTTTGATTGGTTCGGCCCTTTATACCGCCGCCTTCCGTCCAAGAAGCTGCCGCTAGGACGTACAGACCGGGACCCCTGTCGCTACCGAAAAAAAAAAGTTGCTGTTGGCTGGGGCGAAGGGTCCTCAGAGCGAGATGCAAGAAAAAAAAAAGTACATACAAACCAGCCGTCCGTGAACATCATCGCAGACGACATATCTCTCGATTGAGCCGCAACCATGGCCGCGATTGACGTCTCGTCACAGAGGAGCGCTCTCCTGAACGACGCGATCGTTCTTGAGCATCTACCTACCGAAATTATTGAGGTCATTAGAAATCACACGGCCCCAAACCTCCTCGACGCCATTGCGGAAGCGGCTCTCATCCCCCAACTTACAGATCGAATTTTCATTCACTTCGAGAATGTGTTTCCCGACATCTGCGCACGATGGCTTCTCAACCCCAGGAACCAAACAAGAAATGGAGCCGTCCTTTCAGCTATCGCAAGGATTCTGCCACTCGCTCCTTATTTATCGGAATTTCTGCAACAGGTCATGAGCGAAGATCTGACCCAATCACCGTCGCCAGGGCCGCAGACCCTGAGTATCCGATTTCCCGACCTCACTTCTTTCACTTCTACTCAGAGTTCCGACCTTCTTCAACTACTCCTTGCAGCATGGAGACTGGTCTGTTTTGACCAGAGGACTTACGCTGTCCTTGTCTCACCCACTCATATGCAAGGACTCTTCACACATGAAAGCCGCGCCGTCCGGTATATGGCGATTCGGATTTTTACACAGATCCTCCGCGCAGCCGATTCAAAATTGGAGGCCCTCATTGACGAGCATGTCGGAACAAAAGATGCCATTGTCGCTGAATTTGACGGGCGTGAGGTAGACTTTGGGTTCTTGAGTCTATATGAGGATGCGCGTATCAAGAAGACCGCAGCAATCCGCGGCGAGCTTAGCGATGCCCCCGAGAGCAATCAAATCCAACCAATTCCACCCCAAAGTCTGACCCCATTTGTTGCGTGCTACGGCAACGCAATACTGCCGCGACCATCCGGCCCGGTCAAGAAGAACTCCTCCCTCGTGCTGACATCCACCACGACGCGCAATCTGGAGACTCTGGCCGGTCTCCTGAAGAATGCCAATCCTATTTTGATGCATGGTCTACCAGGCTCCGGCAAAACGTCTTTGGTCCACGAAGTTGCCAAGGAGTTCGGCAAGCATTCAGAGATGGTGACACTGCATATCAACGAACAGACAGACGCCAAGATGCTCATTGGCCTCTACTCGACAGACTCGAAACCTGGAACCTTTTCCTGGAGACCTGGTGTGCTGACGACTGCGGTAAGAGAAGGAAGATGGGTTGTCATTGAGGATTTGGATAGAGCACCGAACGAAGTCATCAGCACGCTGCTACCCCTAATCGAGCGTGGTGAGCTTCTTATCCCCAGCAGAGGAGAGCGGATCAAGGCTGCAAGTGGCTTCAGACTCTTCGGCACTGTCAGAACTTCTCGCGGCATGCACGGTCGGGAGACCCTCCCTAACCTTCTCGGATTGCGCTTCTGGCAGCTTGTTTCTGTACAGACTCCCAATGAAGCCGAGCTGCAGGAAATCATCACTGGATCACACCCAATCCTTCACAAGTTTGCCCCTGGAATACTCGCTGTGTACCGCCGATTATCCAAGCCCACCGGAAATTTGCCCTATTCACCAAGTCGTGGTATGGCCGATCGTCAAGCTAGTTTGCGAGACCTTCTACGATGGTGCAGACGCCTCAGAGCAACACTTTCTGCCGCGGGTTGCAGCACTGGAGACGAGCCGATCAGCGAAACCACCCGTGACTGGATGTTCATGGAAGCGATCGACTGTTTTGTAGCGGGTATTCCGGACGTCCAAGCCAAGAGGCATCTTATTTTCGCCATTGCTGAGGAGATGCACATGGCCAAGGAGCGGGTCGAACACTTCCTTGAGGCCTATATACCGCAGCTGGAGCAGAACGACAGCCAGTTCAAGATCGGCCGGACGACCCTGCGGAAACGCAAGGATCGCGTGAATAAGGCTGCTCTTGCCAAGAGACCGTTTGCGAGCACAACACACGCAAAGAAGTTGCTGGAGCAGGCCGCAGTTGCAGTAAACCTCGGCGAGCCGATCTTGCTCGTTGGTGAGACTGGTATTGGAAAGACTACAGTCATCCAGCAGTTGGCTGACACTCTGGGTCATAAGCTAGTCGCAATCAACTTGTCCCAGCAAAGTGAGGCTGGCGATCTTCTCGGAGGTTTCAAACCCGTGAACATTCGAACCCTCGCTGTTCCTTTAAAGGAGGACTTCGAAGATCTCTTCTCCGCCACAGGTATCTCACAGACGAAGAACCAGCGGTATCTCGAGCAAATCGGAAAAGGCTTTGCCAAGGGCCAATGGGCTAAGGTCGCGAAGTTGTGGCGCGAGGCTCCCAAAATGTTCAAGACGATTATCGAGAAGCTGGCCAGCCGCGAGAGAGAAAACAGCGAAGCTGTCGAGGAGGCAACTCAGCCAACAAAACGTCGCAAGACGGAATCCAAGCTTCAAACCCTTCTCGAATTGAGTCCTAGGTGGGATCAATTCTCTCGGAATCTCGATCAATTCGAGGTTCAGCTGTCTGGAGGCGCAAACGCATTTGCTTTCTCGTTCATTGAAGGCAACATTGTCAAAGCAGCTCGCAATGGTGACTGGGTTCTGCTGGATGAAATCAATCTTGCTTCTCCTGATACTTTGGAAAGTATTGCCGATCTTTTGACTGGACCTGTCGACACACCTTCCATTCTGCTTTCTGAGACAGGTGAAATCGAACGGATCCAAGCACATCCTAACTTTCGCATCTTTGGTGCTATGAATCCGGCAACAGACGTGGGCAAGCGCGATCTCCCAATCGGCATTCGGTCTCGATTCACTGAGCTCTACGTCGATAGTCCCGACAAGGATGTCAAGGACTTGCTAACTATAGTGAAGACGTACCTGAAGAGCAGTAGCACAAAGGACGAGCAGGCAGCTGACGATATCTCACGGCTGTATCTTGATACCAAGCTCCGCGCCGAGGAGAAACGCTTAGTCGATGGAGCGAACGAAGTGCCGCACTTCAGTCTCCGCACGCTCACTCGCGTTCTAACTTACGTCAACTACATTGCACCTTTCTACGGTCTTCGCCGAGCGTTGTATGAGGGCTTTTCTATGGGTTTCCTTACCCTGCTTGACCGAGACTCAGAAAAGTTGCTCACGCCTCTGATTGATCACCGACTCTTCGGCCGAATTTCGAATCCCCAGTCGTTGCTCTCGCAGCCCCCGAAACAGCCCGACGATGGCAAGCAGTACGTGCGCTTCCGCAACAAGGCAAAGGATCGTCATTACTGGCTGGCCCAAGGGGAGATGACTCCTGTAGAGCGATCGGACTACATCATCACCAACTACGTGGAAAGAAATCTACTGAACCTTGTCCGAGCAACCTCTACCAGGCGGTTCCCAATTCTAATCCAAGGTCCGACGTCAGCAGGAAAGACTAGTATGATTGAGTACTTGGCAAACTTCACTGGCAATAAGTTTGTGCGTATCAACAACCACGAGCACACCGATCTCCAAGAGTACTTGGGCACCTATGTGTCGGATTCTTCGGGGCGGCTCCGCTTCCAAGAAGGTCTGCTTGTCCAAGCCATGCGACAGGGTCATTGGATCGTGCTCGACGAGTTGAACCTTGCCCCCACAGATGTTCTCGAGGCCCTGAACAGACTCCTCGACGACAACCGAGAACTTCTTATCCCAGAGACCCAAGAAGTTGTGCAGCCGCACGAGAACTTCATGCTGTTTGCCACACAGAACCCCCCAGGCTTGTATGGTGGTCGAAAGGTGCTCTCGCGTGCCTTCCGCAACCGTTTCTTGGAGTTGCACTTTGACGACATCCCCGAGGATGAGTTGGAGTATATCCTGCAAAAACGAAGCGTGAACACGGCCCCTTCGGACTGCAAACGTATCGTCTCTGTGTACAAGGAACTTTCCCGCCTCCGGCAGACAAGCCGTTTATTCGAACAAAAAGATAGTTTCGCTACCCTGCGTGATCTTTTCCGATGGGCTCTGCGAGACGCCGAGACTCGCGAGCAGATCGCAGTCAATGGTTTCATGCTCCTGGCCGAGCGAGTTCGTGTCGAAGAAGAACGTACAGCAGTCAGGGAAGTCATTGAGAGCGTTTTCAAAGTAAAGATCGACCCAGAGGTGCTTTACACCGCCAAGCACTCTCCTATCCTAGAAAGGATTCAGGCTATGCCCAATAATCACGGCGTCGTCTGGACCCGTGCGATGCGTCGTTTGTACGTCCTGGTCGACACCGCTATTCGCAACAACGAGCCTGTCCTTCTTGTGGGTGAGACCGGATGCGGCAAGACCACCGTCTGCCAGATTCTTGCAGAGGTGCTCGGAAAGGAACTACACATTGTCAATGCCCACCAAAATACCGAAACTGGAGATCTTATCGGTTCTCAAAGACCCGTAAGAAACCGTGGCGCAATCGCTGACTCGTTGAAGACTGAGTTGACCTCCGTTCACACTCTCCTTGGCGAGGATTCAACAGGTCCTCTGGACGAGCTGCTTGATAGATACCGCGGCCTGTCGCCTGAGGTGCTGGCCAAGGTCGGTGCTGATACTCAGGAGAAGATCGCAACCTTACAGACCAAGAGCAAGGCCTTGTTTGAATGGTCCGACGGAAGCCTTGTCCACGCCATGAAGTCCGGGCAATTCTTCTTGCTAGACGAAATATCGCTGGCTGACGACTCTGTTTTGGAGCGTTTGAACTCGGTGCTCGAGCCTGGACGATCTCTCCTCTTGGCCGAAAAGGGTATCGACAACTCCTTCGTCGTGGGTGCGGATGGTTTCCAGTTCTTTGCCACCATGAATCCTGGGGGCGACTTTGGTAAGAAAGAACTGTCACCAGCGTTGAGAAACCGTTTCACCGAGATTTGGGTGCCAGCCATGTCCGAAACCGACGACATGCTAGACATTGTTCTTTCCAAGCTTGACCCCGTCTTCAAGTCCTTTGGAACCCCTGTGGTACAGTTCGCGCATTGGTTTGGGCAGACTTTCAGATCTTCATCGTCCACGGCATTCTCTATTCGTGACATCCTCATCTGGGTCAACTTCATCAACCTCTGTGGCCCTGCCGCGCCTCAATTCGCAGTGGTTCACGGTGCTGCCACTGTCTTTATCGATAGTCTGGGTGCCAATCCGTCGGCTCTGCTGGCTATGGACCCTAAAGCACTCGACTCTCAAAGGCAGAAATGTCTCGACAAACTCAGTGAGCTGCTTGGCTATGACACGACAGCCATCTATCGAGCGCAGCCAAAGGTTGCGGTAACCGAGGAACGCTTGTCTGTTGGCGATTTCAGTTTACCCAGAGAAGCCAGCCGCAAGTCTGATCCAAGCTTTGCCTTCAACGCTCCGACCACGAGACTGAACGCCATGAGAGTGATGCGGTCGCTCCAGATGCGGAAGCCCATCTTGTTGGAAGGAAGTCCAGGTGTCGGCAAGACTACCCTCGTTGCTGCCCTGGCTCGTGTATGCGGCCGTCCTCTTACAAGAATCAACTTGTCTGACCAGACTGATCTCATGGATCTTTTTGGTACAGATATGCCAGTCGAAGGCGCCGAGGCGGGTAACTTTGCTTGGCGTGATGCCCCTTTCCTTCAAGCCATGCAGAACGGCGAGTGGGTGCTTCTTGACGAAATGAACTTGGCCTCTCAGTCTGTCTTGGAAGGTCTCAATGCCTGTCTCGATCACCGTGGCGAGGTGTACATCTCGGAATTGGATCAAGTTTTCAAGCGGCATCCCGATTTTCGTCTGTTCGCTGCCCAGAACCCTCACCACCAAGGAGGTGGTCGTAAGGGTCTCCCAAGCTCTTTCGTAAACAGATTTATTGTCGTCTATGCCGACACCTTCACAGCAGAAGACCTTCTTCTCATTGCCCAGCACAACTTCCCCGGCATCTCTGAAGACATTCTCAGCAGAGTAATCCAGTTCATCTCTCGTCTGGATCACCAAGTCGCCATTGAAAAGGCTTTCGGTGCCAACGGAAGCCCCTGGGAATTCAACTTGCGAGATATCCTTCGATGGCTGCATCTCGTGGCCACCTCTGACCCTCTCCTAGCAACTGGCAAGCCTGATGACTTCCTTGACCTCATTATTCGACAACGTTTCCGCTCCGCTTCAGATCGCGAGGAAGTGAACAAGCTTTTTGCTCAAGTTTTCTCCAGAATACCGGATGGCCACAGCTTGTACCATGACACAAACGCCGGCTTCTGTCAAGTTGGACATGCCCTGCTTCCTAGGAACCAGACTTTGCAGCCTGTGCCGCTACCTGGCATTGATATCGTACCCCGACTTCCAGAGATTGAATCGCTCATGATTTGCATCAAGCAAGACATTCCATGCATTCTCAGCGGCCCCTCAGGTAGTGGCAAGTCCGTCTTGCTGGAGCACGTTGCCGCTCTTGTGGGCAAGCCGCTCGTCGTCTTTCCGCTTAATGCCGATATCGACACGATGGACCTCGTTGGTGGTTTCGAGCAGTCGGATCCTCTTCGCGAAGTAAATGCTGCATTGCGCGAACTTCACGAAGGCCTGCAGAGCACCATCTTGATTCGTGTCCCAGGTCAGGTACCGCCACCGGCTCTTGCTTTGTTGCATCTCTTAGAGTCTTATCGTGGCGATACTGCTTCTCTTTCAGCCATCACTGCTTCTGTCAAGGAAGTACTGGGTGAAGTGCCCCACGAGTCCGATATTGGCGCACTTCTGTCAAATGTTTATGATATCCTTCAGCGACCACTGGTTGTCAGCAATCCCCGTTTCGAATGGTTGGACGGTGTCATTGTCAAGGCTCTCGAAACCGGCCAATGGCTGGTTTTAGACAATGCAAACCTGTGTAATGCTTCCGTCTTGGACAGACTCAATTCCCTGCTCGAGCCCAACGGTTTCTTGAGCATCAACGAGCATTGCGGGCCCAATGGAGAGCCGCGCATCATTAAGCCGCACAAGGACTTCCGGATTTTCCTCGCAGTCGACCCACGGTACGGTGAACTGTCTCGGGCCATGAGAAATAGAGCTGTGGAGATCCACCTCAGCGAGCGAACGGTACAAGACCGCCCACCCCAGATCTCCCACGTTCATATCGAGAGCAGCCTTGAGAGATTTTCGTCATCGAGAGAGATCTCCACGGCGGTGCTCAGCCAAAACAATGAATCAGATGTCGCAGGCGCCACGCTTGAAAATTTGTCACTCCAGGACACGGCACTCATGGAAAGATTCGCTTCTTCAATCAGCCAGGGACTCGTAGATCTTTCGCCATCGTCGCTTGAGAAATACCAAGACAGCCTGAAGCAACAACTTACGTACTTGGAAGCAACAGAGACGAACAGTCTTCGACACGCAGTATCTCAACTCTACTCTGAGGTCCCTCATTCCGAGTCCAGCCTACGACACGCACAGCCCCTTAACCCGCTTCACAATGCGCCAATGGTACGAATTTTGCACGGCCATAATGGCGACTTGGCCTTCTGGCTGTCAGTCTGCTATGGGTTCCTGTTGGAGATCCAGCGCTGCCAGGCCATCATCACATCACAGGTCAATAAAGCGAAGGCGGCCAAACTCGCCTCTCTGAATCGTCTACAGCGCTCCATCGTGTCAGATCGCATCGCTATCAGGGACTCCACTGTCAAGGTTGCGAAGTTTCTTTCAAAAGTTCTGCAAGCGATGAGGGTATTCATCCAAACCAACCTCAATACATCTCAGAGCTGGAAAGAAAGCACCCAAATTCTTCGAAAGATGCTTGACTTCTGGTGGCGAACCATTCAACTTACAACCGACTCGGCAGCCACCTTCGAGGAAGCCCGATTCCAAGCCCATCTCCTGCACGGAGTCGAGTCTATCCAAAATTTGCTCTCGCCAACGACGGCTGATCTCAACAAACAGCTTGCTGGCCTCTATATCCAGACCTTGGAAGACGACTTCAAGACTGGTTTTCAGCTTACCACCGGATTGAGCATGGAAATCATGTGGAAGCGTTTCAAGCCGCTCCCAGTGATGAGCGCTGAGACCCTGAGCAGGAGTCAAGAGATTGAGCGATTGGGTATTCGTCTCGACGAACTCAAGTGGAGAGTGAAGGCAAAGGTTTCCGATCTCGCCAACGCAATGAACACCCTTGTTAGGGCAGATAGCATTGTGAGACAGAGCGGATTTGACACCACCGAGCTCATCAGTGACCTTACGAAAGAAATCGAGCTTCTCGAGACCAAGCTCGGCTCGGAGTCCAGCGAAGTCAAGCCTTTCTTTGCTTCAGAGTTCGAAAGCCTCAGACAAGCATCCGTTCTTCAGTCCCAGGCTTCCGGCCACCCGCAGACTACTGCAAGCGATTCTGACCTGGTGGTTCTGTCAAACCAACAAACAATCGACCAGATCCGTTTGGGCAGCTTCGGCGAAGAGGCCAAGCCATTGACCGTTGGCCTTCTGGCTTCCGAGGATGCCAATACACATGTTTGGAACGGCAAGTTCTCCATGTCGCTTTTATCTAAACTCGATTCACTGCGGAATACCAGCTTGCGCTCTCTGGGCCTTCTTGAGACCGAACTCCCTGCTCTTGGACGTTCTGTCGCCTCTTTGGTGCCTGCTCTACAAAAGAGTCAGATAACTGCCCTCAACCGAGCCCTTGAGCCGCTTATCACAGCCATCTTTTCTCTCCATGGTCAGTCTCAGGAAAGCTTCTTGAATGTCGTCTACGAAAGAATTGCTCGGGAGCTACGAGCCGATTCCGACGAAAACACTCCGCTTATCCAGCGATTGCAGAGTCTGGTTTCTCAGGTTAACATCATGCTTCCCGGAGGATGGCCAGCGCATTTTGATCAAGTCGCCAAGGAGCATTTGATTCCAGCGACGGTCGCACTCGCATTATCGCAGCATAGCCGCTCAAATGCGCGCTGTGTGGCTGCTTGGTCTGCGGTCGCTTGGGTTGAGTTCGCCATCGGTGCCATCAAACTTTACGTGCCTGACAAGTCTTTCGACCCTCAGCTGCAGCCACAGTTCGAGAAGGATGTCCATGATCAGTTGACAAAAGAACTTCAACACAAACTCTCGTCCCTCCTGGACTTCGAATCCCTCTTCACCGGTCAGGACACATCTCCCCGCATTCAATTGGCACGGGAAGACATTGAGGCACTTGGCCCAGCACCAGCTCCGACCCAGCTTCTCTATAGACCCTCTCGGTCGGAACTGAACCAAGTTCAGACAGACTTCAACAATGTTTTGAAGATGGTTCTTGGTCCGGACCTTTCAAAGGTTCATATGGACTTTGCTTTGTCAGGCTCTGCCGAAGCGAAGCAAGATATTGAGCTCCTCAAGCAAAACTTGGCCCTGATGACTGATCGCTTGGCAAACCGTTTCAATGCCTACCAGGACATGACACGACCTCTCGTCAACATTCTCGGCTGCCTCAAGCTTGGATTGTCACTGAGCGATGGCCTTGAATCTATCCAGACTCATGCCTCGGAGACAACTCTCATGGATCTCACACCCTTCCTTGGCGGCAAACCTGCACACCATGAGATTTCCAAGTTCCCCAACAAGACGCTGGAGTTCCTAGACTATGTCGGACTGATTGTTTCGGTCGAGGGTCTGCAAAATCTCAACGCTACTCTCCGCGAAGCTTTGTTTGAATGTGTACACGGATTCTTTTCAGAGTGGACTAAGAAGCTCGAAGCAGACCGTAAAGCTGAGGAGGCTAGAACGAGCCTCTACACGTTCAAGGGAAGCTACGAAGATGAGGAAGAAATGAACGAAGAGGAGTTCAACGAGCTTTTCCCCTCCTTTGACAACGAGCAGGAAGAGAAGCCGTCAGTCGGACGCCAGAAGGTCCGAGATGTGTCTGTCAGACTTGCGGAATCGCACCGCAAGGTTTTCCTGGAGCCAGCCGTCGCTTCTGATGCCATTCAAGAGGTCTGCAAATCTGTGGGCAAGGGGGCCGCTGCCGACGTGTTGCAAAAGGCTGCGGTGCACCAAGAGCTCAATACGATGGTTCTTCCGCTGGCTCTCTGGTCGCTCGACGAACAAATGAAAGCCCTTAGCACAAGCACTGTTGGCTCTGACTACAACTTTTATACAGAGGCCAACATTCCCGAGGCCCGTCGTCTCGTTGCACTCGTTGACAAGGTGGAAGCTCGCTTCCGAGAGTTGCAGCAGATTGACGAAATTGCCCATATGCAGCCATTGGCGGACGTGCTGGCAGCTTGTGAACAGCTGCTTCAACTTACGCACACGGAGCCTTTGGCCAAGATACTTCCTAAGCTGGAGCATTTGCACGGCATCGTCTACGAGTGGCAGCATGGAGGCTATGCTCCTAGCATCTACGGTGCGCCGGCACTGTACACCTCTTTGACGGACACAATCATCAGCTGGAGACGGTTGGAGCTTTCTACTTGGGCGAAGCTCTTCGATATGGAAGCCCAGAAGTGCTCCAATGATGCCGATTCCTGGTTTTTCGTTGCCTACCAGGTCGTCATCGCAGTCCCGCTGTCCCTTGTGGACTCTCCCGATCTCAAGGAATACGGTGTCAGTCTCTTCAAGGAGCTCGAGAACTATTTCTCCACCGCAATCATCGGTCAATTCTCCGCCCGCTTGAGACTGCTCAGACAATTGCAGAAGCACCTCGAGCTTCTCGCCGTCGATTACCCTACTCTGTCTGTTATCCGAGATGCGGCTCAGAATTTCATCGACTTTTACTCCCGCTTTGAGAGGGTTGCGAACGAAACAATGGCCAAGAACAGGGCTCCTATTGAAAAGAAAATGAAGGAAGTCGTGCTTCTGGCTAGCTGGAAGGACACCAACATCAATGCCCTGCGTGAGAGCGCTCGGAGATCTCACCAAAAGCTCTTCAGAATCGTCCGCAAGTTCCGCGGCGTGCTTGGCCAGCCTATGAAACCAATTCTGGACCAAGGCCTTCCTGAGGAGGAAGTCGCTCGCAGCATTAGCTCAGATTCAGCAGAAAAGGTTGAAGTCCAGTCAAACTCAGCCGCGGTCTCCGCCGTCAACAAGGGATTCCATGGTTGGCTGGCCCAGCATAAGCGTCTGTCGAATGCTTCCAAGACGCTGTCCATCATGGCTAGTGTTACGACGAAAGCCAATAAAGACAAGTTGGACGCCAGCCAGGAAGTCGACTCCTACGTCGAAAGCCTTCGCTCATCCATTGAGGAGTTGCGCAAGGAAACCCCTGGCACTTTGACCGAGGAAAACAAAGACCAGGTGAAGCATCTCAAGACCCGAAAGCGCAACCTCTTCGCGGACGTTTTGAAGGCCCTCAGGCAGATGGGCTTCAGACATAACCTTGGAACGGAGGAGTTAGCCAAGCAGAACTCTGTTGCTATTATACTTGCAAGCCTGCCTGCGTCCGATATCCTTCAGACATACTCCAACGATGCTGCCGAGTACTACTTCCATAAGGTTGTCGATATTGCGCCTCAAGTCAGACTTGCTGCCCATGAACATCACAGCGAACTCACCGGTGCTGAGGTTACCCGAAGCACTGGCTTCATGGAGGGCATGATGACAGTCGTTCTAAGCCAGCATAGCACTCTTACAACGGCGCGCAAGTCAATTTCCTCGCTAGACCACGCCATCACCTCGATCCAGGCTCTCAGTAAGAGTTCTGATCTTAAGCATGCCAATGCTGATGATTCTGCGTACAGAATCAGCGTGAAATGGTGGATGCCTATCGTCGAGTTTGGCATCAAGGTTGTCGAGATTCACGGCAAGCTAGCGTCCATCGATAACCAAAACACCCTGAACATCCTCAAGGGGTATCTGGAGATGGCCGAGGGACTGTCAAAGTCTCTGCAAAATACAGCATCGATCCCGGAGAAGTTTGTACCCCATGGGCAGGACTCCTTGCAGGACCAAGTTATGGTCGCCATTCAAACTATCAACACGTCATTGACATTTGGAGATATGCACAATACTGACCTCAACTTCGTCCTGGACCAAGTGAGGGTTTGGTTCAACATCGATCAAGCTCAAAGCCACACCAGCAACGCCAATTTCGACAGGACCGCCAACCTGTTTAAGGATTCAGTGTCCAGCCTTTGCGATGCTGTTCTCGTCGCTGTTCAAGAGTACAAGAAGGCCATTGCTGACCTGCCCAAGTCATCTGATGATGCTGGCTGGCTGGCCAAGACTAGCACTGTCCGCAACGCTAGTCTCACTGCACTGCACATCAACGCTGTCGTGGACAAGATCAACGCATGTCTGTCTGCCTTGGAGAGCGTTGATCTCGAAGACACTGCGATGGGGGCCGCTGCTTCATCCCTCCTTGCAATCATTCTGCCGATCGTTCAACAATACGCCCTCACAGCCCACAAGAGCTTTGCCGAGCTTTACAACCTGCATGCCGCGACAGGAAACTTGACATACCAGCTTTCTCGCACATTCTCACAGCTTGCTACTAAGGGCTTCTGCACACCCCAAGAGAAGTCTGACGAGCAGTCTGGAGATTCTGGCAAACTCGAGTCTGGAACGGGACTGGGAGATGGTGAAGGAGCGGACGACATCAGCAAGGACATCCAGCCCGACGAAGATCTCACAGAGCTCGCTCAAGAACCAAACAAGGAGCAAAGTGGAGAGATGGAGGATGAAAAGGACGCTGTTGATATGGCAGATGAGGAGCTCGAGGGAGAAATGGGTAGTGTCAATGGCGAGGACGAGGAAGACAAGGATGATGGGGACGAGAAAGATGGCGAGGAAAACGAAATGGACGAAGAGGTTGGCGACGTTGACGACCTGGACCCCACGGCTGTCGATGAGAAAATGTGGGATGGCGAGAACGAAGAGGAAGCCGAGAAGGACCAGCAGGGCGAAAAGGCCAAGGGTCAGAAGAAGAAGGATGAGCAGATGGCTGCCGACAATGATGCCAAGGCCGACGAGAATGAAGCTGAAGATGATGATCAAGAAATGGAACAGGGAGATGAGGAGGCGGAGGATGAGGCTGGTCCCGAACAGGAAGACGTCAAGTTCGAGGAGGAGATCAAGCAGGACCAGAACGTAGAGCAGAATGATGCTCTAAACATGCCCGAGGAGATGGACTTTGACTTTGACGAGGAAGGGGAAGATGATGAAGGGTCAGAGGACGATGAACTGGATAAGCTGTCAGATATCGAGAAGGAGGAGCCTCAGCAACAACAGCAGGAGGACAACGTTGAGGATGGGGAAGAGGAGACACAGCGACCCGATGAGAAGGGGCCGGAAGAAGAAGAAGAGGAAGCAGAAGAGCCTGAAGAAGAGGACCTTGCGGGAGAGCCAGAGCCTGACATGGAGCCCAAGGCTGAAGAGGAAGACGACCAAAAGGAGCCTGAACAGCAAGATCCTCATTCGAATCAACCTCGCGACAATTCGAACGCTGATGCGAATGCCGCTCCTAGCGACTTGAAGGGTGGCGGCGAGGAACAAGACGCCGACCAAATGGACGTCGAGAACGACTTCAGCGAGAATGCGGCCCAGAGAGACGAAGGAGATGCCGGCGACGGTGCTGCTGAGCAAAAGGCTAGCGCAGGCAAGAAGGGAGCCCTCTCCCGGTCCGATGAACAGGCGCAGCCGACCGAGAAGGATCAAGACGACGCAGCTGAAAACCGGCAAGATCCTTTCAAGAAGCTTGGCGATGCTCTTGAGCGTTGGCACAGACAACAGAGCGACATTAAGGATCCTGAGAAGCAAGATGATGGCGAGCAGAAGCAGTCTCAAGATGTCGACGCAGACCTCGGCGCTAGCGAATTCCAACATCTCCAGGATGATGAGACCGCCGCTGATGCACAAGCCATGGGTGCTGCATCTGAAGACCAGGTGCAGCCCATAGACGAGAACATGGCCATCGATGAAGAGAAGAAAGATCCGACGAGCCGTGTGATGCCCGAGACGGAAGACGTTGATATGGAGCAAGATCCTGACAAAATGGACACGACGGAGGCCCCGGAGGCTCAAGACAAGGAGGGTGGCGCCGACAACGACGACGGCCGCTCTGGTGTCAAGACAAGGCAGGGCGCCTTCGACCGTGAGATCTCTCCCGAAGACGACGAAGTTGAGAGGATGGACGATGAGGAGGATGAGGAGGAGCAAGTCATTGAGAAGACCTCGGAGCAGCTCTCGACAACCCACCTCAGCGATGAGCGCCCTCTCCGGGACTTCTCTGAATCTCTCCAGTCATGGACGGTCTTCCAAACCAAAACTCACCCGCTGTCCCTCTCCCTCACCTCTCAGCTCCGTCTCATCCTCACACCCTCGCAATCAACCAAGCTGTCTGGCTCCTACCGCACCGGCAAGCGCCTCAACATCAAGAAGATCATTCCCTACATCGCTTCCAGCTACAAGCGAGACAAGATCTGGATGCGCCGTGCCATTCCGACTAAGCGCTCCTACCAGATTCTTCTCTGCGTTGACGACAGTAAGAGTATGGGAGAGACCAGCTCCGGAAACCTAGCACTCGAATCCCTCGTTATGGTCTCGCGCGCTCTCACCATGCTCGAGGTTGGCCAGGTCGGCATCCTCGGCTTCGGCGCCGACACTTTCATGGCGCACGACTTCACTCAGCCCTTCGCCTCGCACGATGCCGGCGCCAAGGTGCTGCAGCACTTCTCCTTCAACCAGGACCGAACCGATATCCAGCTGCTCGTGCGCAACACGATCGACCACTTCCGCACGGCGCGAATGCAGAATCCGGCCCGCGGTGCCGAGGATCTCTGGCAGCTTGCCTTGATCCTGTCTGACGGTCTGACCCCCTCCAACCAGCACGATGGCATCCGTCGACTGCTGCGTGAGGCCATGGAGGAGCGTATCATGGTTGTCTTTATCGTCATGGACGATATAGGTAAGAAGAAGGGAGATAGTGTGCTGGATCTTAAGGAAGCAAAGTTCGTCAAGGACGAGAGCGGCAACAGCCGCGTTGTCATTGAGAGGTATCTGGATACTTTCCCGTTCCAGTACTACCTTATTGTTCATAATTTGGAGGACTTGCCAAGCGCCCTTGCAGGACTGCTGAGGACTTGGTTCGCCGAGGTCAACTCGTAAAATGGGGATGGCGGAAATAAAAGTTTTTGTCTTTTTTGCTGGTTTCATGGAACAGGAGTTAGAGGTTAATGGACGACATTTCGCATTATAGAAATAGAATATGTTCGGAACAAACGAATTCATAAAACACAGCTTCATGAAGAAAGTTCACCCTCAATGAACAACGTTCGATCAACATGTTGAGGAGGAGGCCGTTTCCGAAGGCATCGCATCCTGCTGTCTGAACGTCACTCCGGCGCAGTGGGTCTTGAGTAACTTAGCTTCACAAGTTTGGTATCCACATCCGATATGGTGTAGTGGCCAACATGATGCCCTCTCATGAATTTGAGAGGTTAGGCATAGCCCCGAGTTCGATTCTCGGTTTCGGAATGTTTTTGCCTCGCTCGGCTGTTCATTTTACCTTTGGAAATGTGATCCACACCAGTCATTCGTTACTTCTTGTTGTGTTGTTCTCTTATGGCACATTTCTTTTGCCAAATTTCGTCATGTCTTTGACTGCGATTGTGCCTGATGGTGTTTGTTGTACACAGTGCTAGCAAGTGAATGCTGCCCGTCTATCTATCTATCCCAGCCTGGGTCTATCTTCGTTATGAGGTTGTTACCTCCAAGTAATCTATCGCTTGCACAAAGAAAAGTTGTTATACATTCAGCCGTCCAGCACGGTTTCGTCAGCAAAGTCTTCAGAATCGAGAAATGTCGCGTCCAAAAACCCAAGTAATGAACCAATACCAAGGAACAAGCACCTTGTTCTTGATACTCATGGACTTGGTAAGATACGCTGTTCTCCACAGAATCCAAGCAGCACTACATGGATTCACGTCAGTCATGACGTACAGAACGTAGGTGAACGAGTGTCACTTACCGGCCCTTGAGCTCATCAGCTGAGCTCTGGTGAATAGCACGCCATGAGCCGAGATAAGTCATGGCGCCCCAGTTGCGGAAGCTGAACGGTGCCGGCTCCTTACCGCCAGTGGCACGGTTCAAGGTTTTGGCGAGGTACTTGGCCTTCGATGTTGTTAGCATCCGCGATCACAACGACAGCGAGCGATGAGGGAGTACTTACCTGCTGGCTGGCGACCTGCGCGGTGGCCGGCAAAGTCTGATTCTCAAGGATAGAACAGTCGCCCATAGCATACACATCAGGGAGTAGAGCGTTCTCGTTTGCCGGGTCATTAAGACGGACGCGGAGCATCGGGTCCGTGATAATTCCACCGCTCCGCTCCGCCTTCTTGATGGTCACTGTCTCGCCCTCCTTCTCCGTAGGACTACGAAGCTCCTTGGCAACGAGGGTCTGGATAAGCGGGTTCTGCATGAGGCCGGTGCTCCAGACGCAGATGCCGGCACCCACTTCCTCGTCGCCGTACTCCTTGATCTTCAGCCTCAGACCGCCGTTGTCGTCCGGGCGAACGCGCTGCAGGTGGTGCTCCGTCTTGACCGAGATGCCCTGGCGGCGGAACTGCTCTGTTGCGTACGTCGCGAGCTGCTGGTCGAACATCGGCAGCACCTTTGGGGCGATGTCGTAGATTGTGATGGACACCAACTCCATCAGGTGCGGGTAGATCTTGGAGAGGTCATCGTGGATGAGGTCGTGCAGCTCAGCCGCGAACTCGATGCCTGTTGGTCCTCCGCCCACGACGGCAAAGTGCAAGAGGTCGCGGCGCTGTGCGTCCGTTGCGGTGGGCCAGCTCGCCTTCTCGAACAGCTGCAGGACCTTGAGACGAATGCTCCGCGCGTCGCCAATGTCTCTCAGGAAGTTGGCGTATTCTTTGACACCCTCGATGCCGAATGTCTGCGAGTAGGCGCCGACGGAGATGACCAGCTTGTCGTACGGCACGTCTATCGTCTCACCCTTGGGCTGGTGCTGCTTTGCGGGCAGAGTTTTGGAGGTGGGGTCTTCAGAAGTGACCTTTTCGATGCGGACGAGCTTGCGGGAGAAGTCGACGTCGTCGGCCCACGCCTGGTGGAAGGCGTCGAGGTTCAGCCGGCGGACTGGCTCGAGCGTTGAACGGAACTCGAGGGTGCCGACTGACGTTGAAGCTAGCAGGGGGGTGAAGACAAAATATGATCGTGGTGAGATGAGGATGCGCTCATATTTCTTTGGGTCGAGTTCGCGAGCAAAGGCGTAACCCCTGCGACGTGTGAGTAAGACGAGACCGAGGCACAGGTGATATAACTCACGCCCATCCCGAGCCTAGTATGACTACCCTTTCTCTCTTGTCCTCTTGAATGTGTGTAAGTAAATTGCATTTTCAACAAAAGTGAATGTCCAGTCGATGACTCACCCGTTGACGAAGACGAGCTTGTGCTGTTCCGATACTTGACCATGCTGGTGTTAGTCGGGGCCGACGCTTGCAATGCGGCTCCGGCCCCTGCACGTCCGGGGCGGGCCAGACTTCTCCAATATTGTTGGGCGACTTTTGATGAGGCCATTTTGGGGTTACAATCATGCCACCAGATGCACGAAGGGTTCAGTGTCTTGATGTCATATATAGAACCAACCGCAAGACCCCTAGACTGACGTACCCAGAAGGTAAACGGTCCTTCTTTGATGGAATATGGGGGCCACGAGAATGGATCGGAACCAAAAGCTTCGGTGTCCGGGGAGCTGGTAAAGAGCGCAAAGCGCAGGCAGGGGCGACTAAGACGGACGGGGTTTTTTTACATGAGGATTGCTGGGTTAAGGCCGAAGACGGACGGTTGTGGGAAAGTCAATGCGCTGGCTGGATCAATCAGACCTCGTGCGTAGCTAATCTAAAAAGGAATTTCGGCTGTGACACAGCATAGCTTTTGTTTTGTAAGACGCCTAAATACAGATTTCTATTGACCTTCAGCTTTGCGTCATAGGTACAGAGCCTGAAAATAAGTTTGCGGCCGCTTGGCGGCTGCGAAAAGTCCACGGGCTAAAGGACGTCTACGCGCCCCACACTGGGCGTCTTCTCCGTCCCGAGCACTCCGGCCCCGAGACCCACTCTTTGTGTCCAAGGTATGACGCCCCCATGACTCTCAAAATTCTCACCATTACACGGCAGACGCCCGCTTTTTTCCGTCCGAAATGCCGCTCAGTATCTTCTAGCCTCTCCACCCTCAACGGGTCTAGTTTATTGCAGCATGGAGTCCAGACTCTCGCCAAGGACACCTTCGATCTTGTGAATCCACCGGTGCGTCTCCCGTTCAACGACCTCATCGTCATCGTCCTGGAGCTCACTGATGTACGGCAGCATCTCAGGTAGGGCTGGCAGCAACTCTTCTCCAAGCTTGACAACGAGTTCTTGCTGGCACTTGACAGCCGCCAGACGTACTGCAGCCTGTTCCGAACGGAGGTGACGGAGAATGGAGCTGTTGAGCTCCTTCTGGTGGTCTTGAGAGTCCGCAGCGGCAGCCAACTCCACGATCGCGGGCATAAGCTCGGCGGTCAAGTCCATGGAGGAAGCGTGGAGGAACTGGTCGACCAGGACCGGCGCAACCTTGCCGAAGTGTGCAGGGGCCTGCCAGAAGTCGTCCTGGTCATGCTCAAAGCATCTCGCCATAGTGGAGAGCACTCTCTGCCAAAGCCCCTTTTGTTCGGGCACAGTGAGGTCGCAGGACTTGACGATTTCGACGGCATCGTCCACAATGTAGGTCGCGTAACTGGTGACGATCGATTTCAAGCTCTCGAAGAAGCGCAAGAAGAAGCCGTAAACGCTGAAGCGGCGGAGCACCCGTCCAGTGATGTCTTGCTTGGGCAGTTGTGTAGACCACTCAACCATCTGGGCGAAGATGGGCCGGAAAGCAGCGTCGTTGAGCTTGTAAATGATGGACAGCGCCACGTCGTTGATGGACGCCTCGATGTTGGCCACGCGTTGGGAAGTTGCGCTGGTGAGCTTGCCCGTTGCCTGCTCGCGTCTCCGTAGATCCAAGGCGCTCAGGAGAATGGTAGACAGAGTGGTGACATTCTTGGTGACGACGGACTTGGTGTGACTCTCCACGATGACACTGAAGATATCCACCCATTCATCGGTTGCCTGCAAGATTGTTAGTCTGGTCGTACTTGGTGCCATTACATGATAACTTACATTGTAACCAGCTTCAGTGGCAGGGATCCAGTTCTTCTCTAAGCTGGCGAGCATGACCTTGGCATCAACCTTTCTCGCAAGGAACCTCAGGCAGTTCAGGCGTTCGTCATCGGCCTCATCATCCACATCGGCTTCGGCAGACTTGTTGGAGGCAAGCAGGATGTTGTCCAGGTACTTGCCAGAAATCATGTATGGCAGGTGTTGGGCCAGGGCTGTGATAAAAGAGTAGCTGGCGTTGTGCAACTCGGTCGCCGGCTCGTCCAGCTCCACGCTTTGCTGGATGTAAAGAATTGCTTGGGGGACAGCGAGAGACAGTACGGGCAGGATGCCGTCTTGGAGAACGTCAACAAGAGAAGCAAGGCAGAGCAAAGACATGACACGGAGGCGAATATCCGGCTGACCGAGGCAGTGGACTCCAGCAATAGTCTGGGCTGCCGCAGCCACGGCCTCGACGTCCTTCTTTCCATACTTCTCTGCAATCTTGTCGACGCAGGCCACGGCCGTGTGCTTGTACTTGATGTCGTCCGTATCGCGGATGGCAGCAGTGAGCTGTGGGAGGAAGGCGAGGAGGGCGGTTCTGGATGTGACATTCGCGACATTCTCCTGGTCCACGCGGACCTCGAGGGCACGAAGAACCTTGCGTCTGAGATCGATCTCTGTGCGATCCAAGAGAGTTTCCACTGACTTGATAAACTCGCCGATGGACAGAAGGTTGAGAAGGTTGGCAAGGGCATTGCCGCAGCACTCGTGAAGAGGCTTCTGCTGCTTGACAGTCTCGGCAAGAGCAAGGACGTCTCGCAGAAGGATTGCATAGAGCTCTCGAATCTTGGAGGCATCCATGTCGTCCTTCTCTGTGAGAATACCAACTTCTTTCCGCAGCTTTCTGCTAGACAGCAGAGCAGGGAACACAGTCAGCTGTTGGAGGGCCGTGGTCTCGGGCTTCTTCTCGGACATGTCTTCGCCGACGCCAAGCAGAGTGGCTGACAAGCCCGGCTTAGGCTTGAAGATGTCGCTGATCAAGTCCAAGAGCTTCGCCAGAGTCTGAAGCTGTACCTCCGCGCTGTAGACACCGAGCAGCTCAGAAGCAAACGCCATGAGGCTATCGCTGGGGCCGTACCTATCGACCAGCATAGCCAGCAGGGCGTACAGGAACTCATCAGGGCCAAGAGTGTTGACAAGAGCGATGAACAAACCTTGCTTGCGGTGAGCCGGGATGTGTTCGTACGCAGTAACAAAGCTTGCCAAAAGCTCGGTGGCACCAGCAACCGGGTTGCGCTTGCCCTTCTTCAGCGACGTCATGAGCGGCGGAACAACCTCTCTGATGGTCTGGTTGACCACGTGAGCAGAATAGTCATCGTTCTGGCGCAGGACAGAGGCACCCATGAAAGTGAAAATGGGCATCACGCTATGAAGAACCAAATCAGGGGCGGCCGTTGCCAAGCTGGCGATCAGCAGAAGGGCAGAGTTCTGCACAATAGGGCTAGAGGACTTCTGGATGCAGTTGACGAGCAGGTCACCATGGCCACCTGAGCTGTCGATCTTCAAGCTCTTATTCTCTCTGTAGGCAGGTACCATAGCAATCAAGCTATTAAGAACCAGGTTCTGCAGGTATCCCAGCTCAGATCCGATCACGGTTCGGAAGTGCTGCAACTCGGATAGAGTGCCAAAAAGGCTATCAAGGAGCTCTGGGTGAGAAGCCGGGTTGGAACCCTCGACGAGTTGAAGAACAAAAGTCACTGATCTCAGGGTTGCGCTCAATTCAGCGCTGGCTTGAGCACTTGTTCCACGGTTGGCCTCAGAGGAGCTCGTCCTGCGCCTCTTGTTTGGTGGCGGCTCAGTAATGAGCTTCGTACCAGTCTGGATTGACTCGAGGAAAGAAGACAGAATCTCTGTGGTGAGGTCAACATTTCTGAGGAAATCGGCAGCCTCGTCGGCAATGATATCCTCATCGTCCTGAGATGCTTGCCGAGCCTGGGAGAGCTGCAACATCGTCTGTGCAACATCGAACTTAGTGTCGGCCTTCATGGAGTTCCAAATGGCACGTATGCGTGCCGAGATAGACCTGACAAGCTCAGGACGCTTCGCAGACTCGGGGTTCTTCATAGTAGAAAGAAGGCATTCGAGTCCGTCGCTGTCGTTTGGAACAACAATCTCGGCGAATCTGGTGTGGAGCAAGGATTGGTCGACCTCCTCAGCGTCGCAAAGACGAACAGTCTCATCTGCTGACAACGCTGCCCACCATTTGAATGCAGGCAGAAGTACCTTGGTCCTTGAGGTGGATGACACTCCCTTAATCCGGTTCAGGATAGAGAGAAGGTTGGATTTGACCCGGAGAAGAGGCGTCGCAACGATGTGGCTGGCAAGGAAGGAAAGAATAGCAATTCTGTTTGCTTGAGTGAGAATCTTCTTGCCCTCGCCGCTCTCTGACTTGGCACTGCTGTCGAGAGAAGAATGCAAGATGGCGCGGATATAGTCTTCATGCATGATGCATTCCTCGATCGACGGAAGAATAACACCGTGGAGCAGGCGGGAGACTGCATCAGCGTCCATCCAGTGCAGCTTGGCGCTGTCTTCATAGACATTCTTTCCGCCCCAGACAGACTTCTTTGCCGCCTTCGACTGAGGAGGGAAGATCTGGCCAAGCTGAATCAGCAGCTCCGCAGCAGCCCGGCGGACCTTCTTGGAGGAATCGACCAGAGCGATGAGGCAGTAAGGGATGAGGGCTTGGAAGTCGAGATCATTTCCATCCCCATCACTAAGACGTTTCTTGACGGCGTCCACGGCAGCAGCACGAGCGAGCGTTGGGTATGGGCCGGACCAAATGCGAACGAAGAATGTGATGTAGGTGTGGTCGCTGACGGCGGTTTGGTGGCTAAGGGAGGGCAACTCGTCAAAGTTGGCAAGAAGAGTCGGATCCTCGGATTGCTGCGAGACGACACGGAGGAAGAGCTGGCTGAATTCGTCGTAAACCTCTCCCGGGCTGGTAGAGAGGCAAGACGGGAGGGTGCGCTTCTGAACAGCGAGCTCCCGGATAGTCTGGTGCAAGTTTTCCTTCGTTGGGGCAAGTGCGTTGGTGCCGTTCATATCGACATCGTCCTGGGTTTCGGGAAGTGCCTTCTTCTGCCTGATTGAGACATCCAGCTTCATCTCCAACTCCTCCACGTCGAAATCGACCTCTTCAAGAACGGTTTGGATGATCTCGCTCGTTTCGCCCGAGAAGCGGGAAAGGTCAATCAGGGTCGAGCCAAGCTCCTTACGGATTTCGCCGTTCTTGTCCACCTCGTCGTCCAATCGGTGGGCAGCCAAGACCAGGGACTTGAAAATGACAGCGACCTGTTTGTGCTTCAGAATCTGGCTCATCAGGATAACGCGGATAATCGGGAGACCACGAGCATCGCCCTTCTTGCACAGCCTCTCGATGAAGGCAATGCAAAGACCGTTGGTCATCTTGTCAACTCGTCTTTCCTGGCCCAACTCCACCAGAATTTCGCCCAGGTTCTGTACTTTCAGGAGAGCCTTGGTGACCTTGGCGGACAACTGCTTAGCAGATCGGTATTGCGCAAGGATGCACAAAGTCACTAGTCCGGGCCGCACAGTCTCGGTCGTCCAACCCTGCACAATCTGCTCCATGAATGCTGACAGAGCCGCGTCTTCAAAGGTCCCCTTGGCTGCAACAACCGTGACGGCCATGTAAGAGGCGATTTGCATGTTGGGCACCTTCTTCATGAGCAGAGCCTCACCGAAGATACGGCCCACGCGTGTCAAAAAGGTCTGGTTGTTCTCGCTTTGAATCGCCTGGCGGCCGGATCGCATATTCTCAAGCATACCATTGACTGCCTCAGTCATGATACCACCCCAGAAAGACACCAAAGTCGGGTATTGTTGCAGATTCCTGCAAGCCTCGAGCGTGTATTCGGAGAGGGTCTCGAGGAAGGCAAACTTGTGAATCGACTCGTGGACCAGAACGGATCGGGGAGGACAAGTCAGAGACTTAATGTACGGGCTCAAGAATCGATATTCTTGCGGGATCTGAGAGGGCAAAATCGAGAGTACGGTAACGAAAGCGGGGATCGAGTGGTACGGAAGGAAGGTCGTGATGAGGGATCGGGTGTTGTATTCGTGGATTCTGCCTTTTGATTAGACGAGTTTACGCGGCAAGATATAGTCCAACATACCGGAATCTTCTCACCAACCACTCCAGGGCTCTGATCGCAGGCATCAGGCGCAGCCTGCTGCCAACAAGGCGCAGGAAAGACTCTACTTTCTTATCCAACTCCTCATTTTCAGCTGCTGTCATCTGCGTTCGGTCTTCGCTCTGGCTTTGCTCGCTGAATAGCGTGAGGGCGAAAGACTTGAATCGGCCGTCGAGTTCACACAGCTCCTCGAAGCCTTCTAAACATATCGTGTAAAGCGTGTGGTAACTTTGCGTCGCCGCAACTCTTGGCTCGAAGATCAGAGACTTGGAGTGGGCAGCTTTTTGCGCCTTGACGTCCAAGGAGGCCTTCGAGTTGGCGGCAATCTGCGCCAATTGCGCAGCGAGAGAGGACGCCATATCTCACAGAAGTTGCGGCGTGCCGCGGTGATTCAATTAACAACGGCGGGGAGTTCGAAAGAATCGGGACTGCGACTGGGACTTTTTTTTTTTTTTTTCCTGAGAGCCTGTACCTGAGCGTTCGCGATGGATTTTTTTTGGACGGATATTAGTTTCACCGACTATTTTGCGGTGATAAGACAGACGGCCAATCGATAAGCTCGTAATGCAGAAGCGTGGGGCCGACCATGCCCACCATCCATTCCCATACCTGCATTTTTCCATCTCTTGTTGAAGCTTGGAGCTGTAGCTCAGCACGTTGCTGAGGTCCGACACTTTTGTGCAAGAGTTGCCCATCTTGGTTTGCATCCGATGATCCGAACTACGATATCTGAGATAACATATGAATTTGAGCGGCTGCTTCGTCACGAAACACCAAAATGTTCCAACTCAAATGCGTTCGTTCCTCGGTCGATTTTACACGCCTGTTGAAGGGCGAGTGCATGCGACTACGTCTGGTGACAAGACTGTTTGTATTGTTGTTGTTTGCTGCAGTGCTGGTTTGCTGTTTCGGTGCGACTAGAGCGGCCATTTCGTGCGATTGATAGGCCGATAACCGCAACCCCCAGGAAACAAACGACCTAGCTGTATCGTGCCTTCGGCTATGCGGGTGACCTGCCGTACAAGTGGCTCCGTTGATCGTGGATGCTTGGAGCAAGGGACATATAAGACCGAGCCAAAGACACGATTAAGTGTTCAATCCGTCCGCTTGGTTCAGCAACCTTGTCTTGCTTTTCAAACAGAACGTAGAGCTACATAAACACTCACTCCCTCAAGCTTTTGCCCGACTTTTTGGCCACGCCACAACCCGGATTCAAGAATGGCTGTAAGTCAACAGCCCAGTCTCTTTGGTTAAAGAGACCGAAACTGAAATATGCTAACCAACCAGAAACCATACCCCCAAATTGTGCTCTTCGGCGACTCCCTTTTCCAGGGATGTGCTCACGTTTCCGACGGTTTCTCTTTCCAGGCCTCGCTTCAGTGCCGTAAGTCACTCTCTTTGGAATCGTAGCGCCGGGGCCAGAGCTCACTGTAGTGCGTCTCGTTAGATGTGATGCGTCGGTTCGATGTCGTCAACCGCGGCTTTTCAGGATGGAACACAGCCAACGCATTGAAGTACCTGCCTGACATTATTGCCCCGCCTTCGGAGTTTGGACCGCAGCTCAAGTATCTTCTGGTGCTACTCGGTGCGAACGACGCCGTCCAGCCAATGGAAACGACAACTCAGGGTGTGCCTCTGGCGGAGTACAAGCAGAACTTGCTGAAGATTGTGACACACCCCAACATTACGGCTCACAAGCCCAAGATTCTTCTCGTCACCCCGCCGCCGATCGACGAGATTCGCATTACCGAGCTCGATCTGCCCTGGGGCCACCCGAAGCCCACGAGGACCGCAAAGATCAGCGCGGAGTACACGCAGGCGGCCCGAGACGTTGCGGCCGAGGTGCCTGGTGTGACGCTGATCGACCTGTGGGCGGCGCTCCACGACTACGCCGGCCGCAAGACCCCCGGCCTTGTCAAGGACGGAGGGCCTTTGCTTGGTACTCCGGAGCTCGGTAAGCGGGGCGGTCTGGCGGCACTCCTGCCGGACGGGCTGCATATGAGCGGAGAGGGCTACAAGGTCTTTTATAAGATAGTGGTTCCTCACATCGGTCAGGAGTACCAAGGCCTGCCCGAGGATGACCGTACGGACTACGTCCACCCGGACTGGCGAGACGTCAACACCCCAGCTTGAACAGCAACACGAACACTTGGAATGAAGGAAAGCAGTGGCCGGGTCGTTGGGGGCCAGTGCGGGAGACTCTAACCGTGTGTTCTGCATGGTAATTTCAAATCGGAGGGCGGACATGGAAGACTCAACAGTCCTAGACCCTTCCTTGAAATCGAATCTATTTTAGACGGCGATGTACATGAAAACGAACGAGTGACAACTTGGCTGGTGATGATGAATGCTATGTATCGTGATCTTGTGTTGCCAAGCGGCCCGGTGGCAACAAAATCGATGCATCTGTGCCGCAGCATAGCATTGTGCAACACATTGGTGAGCGAGTGTGGACGATATTCAAGCATCATTGATGGACATCAGGTTTAGATTTCGGGGGCTGGCAGATGAGCGAGAAGGCATGAGTCTCGTCGTCATTCACAGCGGGGGTTGAGCTTGCACCGCCGTCTTGAATATCCACCAACACCTTGCGACTTGATGGACGGGGTTGGAAGAAGTGTAGCGATCGAGGGGGATTGCTTACCTTTTGCCATAGTTATGTGCCTGGGTAGGTAAGTACCTTGATTTGAAAGGTAAGGCAAGAGAAGGGAGGTAAGAAGGGCGTGTGCAGGATGGGAGGCATTGGCATCTCAGCATCGGCGGCTTTAGAGTTTGTCTGTCTGAGGTGCAGCGTAGTGAAAGTCAAGTTTGCTGTGCTGTTGCGAAATGATGCTTCCACTTTCCATCCAGCACGCAGCAGCACGGGCAGGCAGACACTCTGGAGTCTTCAGCACGTCCCCTGCCCTGCGCAGAACACGAACCCCCCGCCCCAATCAGCCCCTCCTACAGCGTCACACCTCCCAGCGCGGCAAATCACTGGTGGCTCCTGCCCGGACAGGCTCGCCCGTTTGTTCAGGTAAGGTACCTAAGGTAAGGTACCTAGGTAGGTTACAATGGAACCTGAGGTGCAAGTTCCAGCTGGTGGAGGGCAACTGACTGGACCTGACGACTTGGCCTCGCAGCTCCACGGGTGTTCCTCCACTGCAATTGACATGACGGGGGGAAGGCTACACCGCACCAGACATGCTGCCCCGCCAAGGTATCCCTCAAGTACCGCTGGTGCCCGGCTCTAACGCCGTGCTGCCAGTGCATAGTACTAGTTTACCCGTGTCGCTTCCATAATTCCCAGCCACACAACACTGTGGAGAGATGCCGCTGGCTCCAGAGCAACCTGAATTGTGCATGCACTTCGACTCCATACGATACAGTGGTACTTCGACGTTACCTCAATACGCCGACTGGCCTGTCCATCCACTCCCGCCGCCTGCCCTTCACCTCACCACCTACCTACTTACCTTACCTTGTGGTGCTTGGTTCCTGTCCTCTGTCCTGGCCCGACTCGTCCTGTCCACTTCACTAATCCAGTCCCGACTCCCAGATCAACTAACCTCCCACCAGACTTCATTGTTTGTCTGCCCATCTCCTTCACGCCCTTTTCTCTCCGCTTCTTTCCAAAGCAAACCCCCGAGTACCAGACACGAAAACTCCCATACGTAACCTCGAATACGGTTCCCTTCGACCTCAGTTGGACAAAACTCGTCCTCTGCAACAGCATCTCTCCCGAAGAATCCACGACCGCCGCTCGATCCTTAGCAATCCCACCCTTCTGGGCCTCCTTGTGACGACTACGCCTTGTTCAGCGCGCCTTCTACTACAACTTGTTTCTCTCCTCCCGATTTCGCACTCGCGAACGCACGTCGGGTCTCGCAAACTTCTGTCCTTTTCAGTAGCGACTCGTGTCGAAATCTTGCCGACGCTCACACGCAAACCTGCCTAAAGCTGCCCACCTAACGGGCAAGTCCGTCGCCGGTGATCGTTGTGCAACCTCGCAATACTGCCGCCATCGCGCTCTAGCTGCCGCAGTCGCCCAGACCGACTGGATTGTGGACAGACGCTGAAATCAATTCGACAAGGACTCGCTGACGCGCCTACTGCCGCCGCCGTTGACGACCTCTTTGGTCTCGCTGTGCGATGTGGTGGGGGAGGAGGACCTCGTGAACTGATACTGTAGGGATCGAGGTCGGAAGAGCCCACCGTCTTCCCTCGAGCCCTTCATTCGAGAATCGCCTGTACCTCCTGCGCAGTCAGTCCATGGGCATTCTCCCATCCGGATGATCTCATTTCTCCCTGTTGTGCCGATACCCTCATTCACGCGTCTTTCTGCCACAACTTGATCCCATCACGCTCGCTCGTTGTCCCTCGCTCCTATTCCTGCCCTCATATACCCCGTGTATCTGGACTGCCTGACCTAGACTGCACAACTTCAAATAGCTGGAACCATTTCCGGGCATGGATCATCGGTTCCCAATCACCCGAGACGACCTCTTCAACATCCAGATGGATTTGAAGCAAATCCAACTGGTTCAAAATAATCAGGGCGAGAGACTTGCACGACTTGAGCGACGCCAGGACCAAGATGCCAGCCTCAAATCAGTTTGGCAGCAGCATCCGTTTCCTGGCGTCTTAGCTGGAACACCTCAGCAAGGTTGGTCTACGTACTGGTCCAGTGGGAATGTTCATTTGCTGACTCTAATCTACTAGGCCCGACCCATATATCCCCCAACGACATGTTCGACGACTTTGACGAGCAGGGCCAGCACCTGCTGAGCTCCCTGCATCTTGGACCTGCCGAGGAGGAACCTGCTCGAAGAGGCGCTGCATCCCGAGCTAACAGTGTTCGCTTCGATGAGAGTGCCTTGCGTGGGGCCGACTGGGCCAGCCAGAGCAATCGTCATTCTGGGGAATTCGGTCCTCCCCGCCCAAGCAGCGGGATGATGATGGAGCGCTCCCTCTCCCACAAGTCGGACGGCCGGCACAGCTCGGCAGGCCATTCCGTACACTCTTTCCACTCGGTCGCTTCTGGTCGCGCAAGCAGCCTGGGTCTGGATACCAACTTCATGGTCAGCAGCCACGAAGACGACTCTCCCCTAGAAATGCCTGAGCCTCCCCCAGGCTTGTTTATCCTCGGCTCAGTTCCCACCATCATCCGGTGCTGGCTTACGACTCAATTTGCACACAACACGATACTTTACGCCGACCTATGTACCGGGTCGCAAAAGTCTGTGCTAGACTACTCGATCGTTAGGGAACTCGACCTCCTGGAAGAAGTTCAACGCGATGTGGACGGAACGTTCAAGATACGGCTACCCGTATATTTGGTCGAAGCCACCGTCTCGGAGAGAAGTAGCCGGTCATCGAGTCCCGGCCATCAGATTCCTAGCATTCTGACAACCTTCGAGGTCTTGGGCATGGAGCAGGCTGAAGGAGCGGATCCGAAACGAGGTGTTCAAATCTTCATTGGCAGCGACACCCTGAGAGCACATCAAGCCGATATACTCTTGTCTCAGAACCGCATGTGTCTATACGGGAGTGAGCGCGAGAAGCTCTCAGTTCCTTTTGTGCGCCCGGAAGATGAGTCTGTGTTCAAGTACATCAGCACGATGAACTTTGTTCCGGAGAAGCCTCGACTCAATGCCAACGCAGCGCAATTCGTTCCTGGGGAGCCGCGGTCTCGTGCAGCTTCGACACATGAAGGAATGGAGAACAGCGTGTCTAGCATGCAGCAGGACGACGGAGATTCTCTTGGACTCATCTCCCCTATGGAAAATCACTCTGTACCCAACAAGTCGATTGGAGCAAGCAACCTGTCTGAAAGTGGCGGGGAGAGTGAGAGACTCGGTAAAGACGCTGCCAGTGGGTCTGAGTCCGGGGCTAAGGAGACCGTGGGAACGCAGAACGGCTCTGCTAGCACAGACGGCAATCGACGCGAGTCTGCCAGCGGCATCTGGGGATCATGGCGGCAAGGCACGTCGGCAAACGGCTCTGAGAACGGACAGCGGGACGCCAACGGACCGCTGAGTGGTTATCAGCCAGCCGGGCGCGGTAGTCGGAATATGAAGGTACTGAAGCCCCTGAAATCGGGGTCGTCGTCATCTGCCCGAACCGGAGCTGCCTATGAGCCGGCGCCCGCCCCCAGAACCAGCGGCGAACATCGACGGAAAAGCCAGGCGAGTACTGTTTCGGAGAGTACCCCCGCGGGAACGATTCGTTGGGAGCCGAAGCGAACGGTCAGCAGCACGGTAGAATTGAAGGCTCAACGTGAAGCCAAAAACGCGCCGCCGCCGCTGCCGCGGTCGGCGAACCCGATTGGAGGAGCATCTGCCTTTTCGTGGATGAACCCAGCCTCCAAGGTGAAGCCTACGGCCGCTGCTGAGTAGGCGGAAGGAGAAGCAAAGGCCCCGGCGGCAATTGATACGGAGATGGCCTGAAAGGCAAGCGCATTAATCTTCTTTTTATTTGCTTGACGGAATTGCCCCCTCCAACACGCAGAGGCGGGATGCTTCATATCGCGCGAGATGGGCCGACTGGTAGCCATGACAGTGTACCAGGTCCAATGTGAATTCCATGTAGCACAAGGGCTAGAGGAGATGACACAGCGGAAATAAATTACAAAATCGTCGACATGAACATAGGCAGGCAGCGTGACAAAGTGCAATGATCGACAGCACATCAGTGGCGCCTGCAGAAGTGCCCTTGATAGCTTCATCCGCAGATGTTGTATGTAGGCGTATGTCATCAGTGCAGATATTGTACAACGTTCCCTTCGTACGAGGCTCTGCAACGGCGCAGTGGTCTTCCAACCAGATCAAAGAAAATTACCACCGCTACTACTTACAACGTAGAGGTACAAACCTTGTGGTGGGCGCGAGAGTGCAAAGCGATGTATCGGGTATCCTAGCATCGGTCACTCAGACCGGGGCCGTTGAAGGTAAGCGTGAGGTACACTAGGTACCGCCGCCATTTACCCCACCCTCCCCACGATCCGTTGCCCCGCGGTCCTCCTCGACATGTGGACTGGGTAACCACCAAGGTCGTCGGAGCCGAGACCGGTTCATCGACTGATCCAGAGTCACATCAGGTTCAATATTACCTCGCCTGGGACATGACAACAGCGCGAATTCTCCGCACACTCTCAATATTTTCCCAATTGCGCCGCCCTCGACCACAACAACTCACCTTGCGACCCCGCTTCCTGACGACTGCGACAATGTCCGATCCCACGCCGAGGCGCCTCCAAAGGCCGGTCATTTTGTGCGTCACCCTTTCGCAATTCTATGTGCCAGAACTCAGGGCCAGCGCTGTGCAATATCTGTTTTGCTAATCCAGTTGCCCTGAGACAGTGTCTGCGACCTCCAAGACAAGTTCCGCAATGCCATTTTCGAGTTCGAGAAGGTAGTCAAGACAACGAGCAAGCTCCTCCGCGCCGCCGAGACCCTCAAGATCCCCGTCTACACAACGACGCAAAACCGCGCACGCCTCGGCGATACCGTACCAGAACTCGCGTCCCTCCTCCGGGAGTCGGACCTCATCCGGGCCCCCGTGGACAAGACCAAGTTCAGCATGTGGGTGCCCGAGATCAGCCGGCAGTTCGACAGCGCGGAGCCGGCGCAGGTCATCATCGTCGGAATCGAGTCACACATTTGCGTCACGCAGACCGCGCTGGACCTCCTGGCGGTGGGGCACAAGCCATACGTGCTCGCGGACGGCGTGAGCAGCTGCAACCGTGAGGAGGTGCCCATCGCCCTGGCGAGGTTGAGGCACGAGGGCGTCACGGTAACGACAAGCGAGAGCATCATGTATGAGCTCATGGGCGATGCCGCGGTGCCCGAGTTCAAGGGCATCGTGGGGCTCGTCAAGGAGACGGGCAAAGATACGAAGGAGGTTCTGCAAGCTCTGGTGCCCAAGATCTAAGAGACGAAGTTTACGAGACACAGACGCACGAAGTTATATGGACACAGTTGTTATCTAGAATGTCTATAAATGAATTTGCGTTTCTTGTTTTGCACTTTTATGGTTCAACTTCATATTTGGCTCATTGGACCTCGACGGCCTCGACCTTTGCCCCTGACAACCATTTCAAGTCACCCCCGACGGTTTGGTTCCGTATCCTCGCAAGCTCGTCAATGAAAGCCGGCACAAAAGTGCCAGGGCCTTGCACATCGCCCCTGACGGCAGCGTGCTCGGCCGCGATCTCGAAGTGCAACAGCCCAGCAATCACGGCAAGAAGCTTGTCGTCAGACTTGGCCGCCAGCATCGCGGAAATGGTCGTGCCCAACACGCAGCCGGTACCGGTAATCTGTCCGAGCAGCTCATGCCCGTTCTCGACCGCAAACGTCCGCACGCCATCCGAGACGTAGTCGGTCTTGCCCGTCATCAATACCACGTTCCTTTCCCTCGAAGCCAGAACCTTGACGAGCTTGGCCTTTTGTTCGTGGGAGAGCGTCGAGGAGGAATCGACGCCCTTTTGCTGCTCCAGAGACTGTCCGTACACTGTCGCGATCTCGCCCTCGTTTCCTTTGATGAGGTCCAGGTACCCGCCGGAGAGGATGGTCTTGACGGCCGACCTCCGGATGGCTGTTGCGCCGGCGCCAACGGGGTCAAAGACCACGGGTCTCTTGGCCGCGTTGTACGCAGCCAGGGCCTTGATGTAGTTTGCCAAACCATCGGGGGTGACGGTGCCCATGTTGATCACCAGCGCGCCGCCTAGGCGAGCCAGGTCAGGGGCTTCCTCGCCGTAGTTGGCCATGATGGGAGAGGCGCCGACGGCGAGGGCCACGTTTGCCGCGAAGTTTTGGACCACCTTGCCTCTCTTGTCAGCCAACATCAACACGCAGCATTGTGGAGGGGGAAGACTACTCACCAGGTTTGTCATGTTATGCGAAAGAGGTGACGCCTGCGCAACAGCCTTGACGACCTCAGGAACAAGCTCGACAAGCTGCTTCACATCGCTCACGCCTGTGCCCGTCTTGACAACCTGTTGGTACGAGGGACTGGACCTCACGAGCTCGAGCAACCTCCGCGACTCCGCTTCCGGGTCTTCGGCTGCGACGATGGCGCTCACGACGGCAACACCATCGATGGCCGGGCCCGCGGGGGTTGCGGACTGGTAAAGTACGCGCTGGATGTTGGTCGACTTGATGCCGCCGATGCAGACCGTCTTGACGGCGGGGAAGTGACCTGCGGAGTCGATTGCGGCGAGGATATCACGCAGGCCTGCGGTGCCGATGATGTGTTTTGTGTTTTCTTTACTATTCGGTGTGAGTCTCAGGCGAGATAGGATACGAAGGAGGGGACATTTTACGTTGATGTTGCAAAGACGGTTCCAATGCCCAGGTAGTCCGCGCCGCCCTCGCACGCTTTGAGTGCTTCATCGATAGTGCTCGCTGTCACGCCGATGATAGCATCCGGGCCCAGGAGTTTTCTCGCAGTGGTCAGGTCTGCTCACATATTAGTCTCACAGTCTCATGCACATTCTCATTCAACATATCATAACATGAGTAGAAGGGGTTGCGTAGCTCACCCATGTCATCCTGCCCAATATGCACGCCTTCGCAGCCCACCGCCAGGGCGACGTCAACCCGATCGTTGATGAGCAGAGGCACGCCATGCGCGCGGGTGACTTCGTGCAGCTTCTTGGCCTCGGCGACCAGGTCACCAGTGTCCTTGGTCTTGTTCCGGTACTGCACGCAGGTGACGCCGCCCTTCACGGCGGCCGCGACGACGGAGCCCAGGTCGCGGTCGCCGAGGATGGCGGGGGTGGAGTCGGTGACGAGGTAGAGGGCGTAGTCTACCTGCGGCTTGGGCATGGTTGCGGTATTTTTCTTCAACCTGAAAGGAAAGGATGTAAGTGTTGAGAAGAGAAAAACAGCCGGCTGTGCGTGTAACTGAATCAACGGTCCGCCGTTTTTTTCGCGCTCGTGTAAATGCGGATATAATCGGCCAAGAGTGACTCCGAGGCGCGGGATGTGGCTTGCTGCAGAGTGGATGACATCAACTTTCTGAGTTTTGCGGAATTTTGGCTACTTGGCAGCCGTGATTGATGGAGCTTCGGCAACTAGCGACAAATATTGTTGCAGTCTCTTTTCAGTCAAAGTCCCATTAACTTGAGATGCCTCATAAGCAACACTACAGCTGGCCTGAAATCGAGTCTGTGGCCCTTCTGGAAACTTTTTCATGTTGTAGTCAAAAGTACATTGCGACCCGGACGGTCGTTGAGGCCCCTCCGATTCGGCCTCCGGCCGAGTGCGAATTATCGGCCCGGCCGCCGGATTGGTGCACCGGCTTCGAGAGTTCTGAATCAAATGCCCTTGCCATGTTTTTCAAAGGTTAAAGTTCAAGTGTCACAGTCTAATTTTCCCAATCCTATCCGAGGGGTCTTATTATACATTGCCTGTTTTTGCGCCTCCTTAAAACAATAACTAGGAGTAGTTTCCGCAAGGATAGTGTTGTGCATTCGTACACTCATTCCATCATTAGTTTCGTCACTTAGTCCGGAGTTCACCCACTCATATGGGGTTCTGCTGTCTTTGTAGTCGTCCGAGAGATGGTCGATATTCCAGGATCAGGCGTGTATCCTGCTCCCGCCCCTGCTGCATGCGTAATTGTACAGCCTTCTCAAGTCGCAGTCCAGTCCATAGAAGAGAACATATTCCCGACATCCCAGGTTCCAGGATCTTCCCCGAGCATTCCATTCCAGAACGTCGCATCCAGATCCCTGATCATGGCCTGAGTGCCATCAGACAGGTTGGCCGGCAACTGGATGGGTTCCTGGATGGCAGGCTGGGTCTTGAGCTTGCACACCTCCCCCTTAACGAGCTCTTTGAAGTACCGCAGCATCTCGGTCAGACGCAAGAAAGGGTCGACAATCTTTGGACCGGGGATCTCGGCCGCGCCGACCGGAGTTGTAGCTGCTGCGACCGCCGCACTTGGCCGCCTGGCCCTCCGCGCGGTGAAAATATCCAAATGCGCTACTTGGCCCTCAACAACGCTAGCTAAGTCAATGTGTTTTTGGACGAAGGCGATATCCCAGCCCGGCACTTCCAACGTCATGAGCTTCAGGGAGACGATGAAGACGTAGAGGAAGTCGGAGGAGCTGAGGCACGTGAAGCGCGGTTGGATGATTGAGATATTGTTTTCCCTATGGAAGCGTCGCTCCAGGAACGTCTTGACTGCGTTGCAGCATCCCCACAGAAGCTCCAGGCTCTCCGTGAGAGATATGTAGCGCGCCGAACCTTCGCCTTCCGGAATGCCAATTTCGTAGAGGAGGATTTCCGCAATGCTAACGTGCGTGAGGAGACCAGCTAAAAACCTTGTGAGAAGATGCTTCAAATGATATGCAAGCCGGAATTCCTACCATTTCCCTTCAAGTGGTCTGGAATCGAGGTCTTGAAGATGTCAAGCTGCTGCTGGAAAGACTGGACCACCATGGTGAGGGGCAACTGGAGCGACTGGAAGCTCGTGCTCTCCGCTCCCACTCCCAGTGTCATGGAGATGGTTTGAGCCAGCTGTTGGATCTTGAAGAGCTGTACAAGAAGCTCATCGCTGGGGTATTCCACATTATCTTGAATTTGCCTACAGCAAGACTCGAGATATGTAGTGTTCATGAAGGCGTCCGGGCGCTTGTTTGTCGTGAAGACCCTTTCTCATAATCAGCATCGCAGCGGGTCTCATTGGCAGAATGCAACTTACAGCGTGTTGAGGTAGTAGCAACCGGCAAAAGCCCTCATTAGCTCCAACCGAGTTGACATCTGCTCCTTCGTCATGACTGCAGGGGCATCGGTATCTTTTACGTCGATGCAAATTTGGGTGTTTTTCTCCTTGACCGAGATAGGATTGTCCTTGAACCCCAAGCTTATACACATGGACCTCGCGAGGAAAAGCAGATTCGTCAGCTGGAAGCTGTTGATGTTGTAATGATACCTGGAGCCAAGTCAGCCGTCGTCGTCCACCGAAGTATCAATGTCTCCTTCGTACCAAGAAACAAGCAGCTGCAAACCCTGGAGAACATCCAAACTCTTCTTCGGCTTTGTGAACGCTGCCTGTACAATATCTCCAAGTAGCTCGTTGCCAAGAGTCACCTGCCGAGTAGCGTCAAGGTGGGATGCAGTCATCATGATGCCCTTCCACAGGTACGGCCTCTCGGCCGCAAGCTGCGCCGGGCTCATATGAGGCGGTACGATGACGAACGGATACAAAGGCTGAAAGTCATCTCGGAAAGTCTGCAGCATGATGTTCAACTCGTTGTTAAGCGGCCAAGGAGGCTCAATCCGCTCCGGCTGGCCGTGACTGCTCCCGGAGTGGTGTTCATCGAGAGTCGAGGCGCTCGGAGCCGGTGAAGTGTCAGAGCCACCATCTGCCGGTGCGTCTTCTGGCGGGAAAAGGTGGTCGCAGTTGATGGGAATCCGGGCAGATACCGGCTTGCTGCCGTTGGTGATGGGCAGAGGACTAGTGTTGGTATCGATACCTCCGCCCCCACTCCCGCTCCCGCTTCCGTTCCCGTTCTCTCCTGCAGTGATGGCTCCGGCGGATACTGCGGGAGTCCCGCCCTGAGTAGTGCCCAACTGCGTGGTTAACTCGTTGAGTCTCTTCTCCAGTTCCGCAACCTTGGTTGGTTTAGGGTCCTTCTTCGCTCTAGGGGGCGCAGGGGTCTGGGAACCGCAGGGCTTCCTAAGCCGATGGCACCTGATGAGAATGTCAAAAGCCGTCCCGGAGATGGAACCACGTTCGGAAGACTCACCTTTCGCACTTGTTACTCCCGTCCGGTCCTGGTATACACCGCGATTTGGCCTTAGCACATGTAGTGCAGGCTCGAGGTCCCTTGGTCTTTGATTCAGCGTCCATTTGCATCTCCATGATGACATTCGCAACTTCAAAGGTAGCCAGTCTTGAGTTAGGTGAGATGGGAAAGGAAAGCAGGCAAACTAGATACGACACTGCTCCTTTACAGGGACACACTCGCGTCGTAAGCCTTCATTAGGTTGAGCCTTCGTTACGGCTCTCCTGAAATCGTGTAAGTCATGGCTGGGCAGCTCTGGCCAATGGGTTGGATTCCGAGTGCCTTGTCCTTACGATTTTGCTCCGTCTCTCCGCTGGAGACGGAGTTGCGAGCACTCCGGCGGAGAGAAGACCTATGATGACTAAGCAATCTCCAAAGTCCGTTTCCTAGCCCGGCACACTCAGCACGGTACGTACTCTCAGCCGAACGGATTTCAACAATTGCCGTGGCCGGGTTCATCGTGGCTTGGGTCAGTGGGCTGTGATGCAACTCGCTTTCGGATGAAGTCTATCGATACGGATACGTGGACGGGCATGTCACTGAAGCGCATTGAGAGTTGATTTGATGAACGATGTCAATATGTGACATTTCATATATTGGATGTAAACTATTGGTGTTGCGACCAACACTGAGATTAGTCACCAGTAGCTGGTAGACAAAGAATCTCAAATCGAAAGAGAAAATCAGTCACGGGGCGTGGTAAAATATCAAAAACTCGTTGATCGCTCCAAAGAACGTGGTCAAGGTCCGCTGAGCTCCCCGTAGATATCAACGTTGAACGCATTGGGCAAAATCCCAATCAGAGAACGGAATTAGATAGTAGAGCTCACGGCCTGACCAGCCGTCTTGGCCTCACGCTCCAACAGGGCCTCGACAAAGCCGCTGTTGATGTTGCCCGCAGCCTTAATCTCCTTCGCAGCTTGCTCGATGCCAAGCTGGCTGTCGGTCCACAGGGGCTGCTCGGGGGCCGCATTGGCCTCCCCAACACCGATGAAGCCACCCTCCGCAGCCCAAGCAGAGGTGCGCTTAATGCCAAGCTTGGTCCAGATCTCATCAATGGCTTGCACAAGCTGGTCGCGATAGTCCTTCTTGTGGCCCGGAGTGGGCGTCACACGCAGTCTTTCCTGCCCGACCGGAACGGTAGGGTAGTTGATGGACTGCACGTAGATCTGGTAGTCCTGGAGCAACATGTCCGATGCCTGCTTGGCAAGCTCGGCGTTGCCAACCAAGATCGGGATGATATGGGATGGGTTGGGGATGACGGGAATATCGCGGTCGCCGAGGGCTTCCTTCACCGCGCGGGTGTGAAGCTGCTGGAGACGACGGTCACCGTCATAATCCATCTGGTACTCAATGGCGGTCTTTGCGCCAGCCATTGTCGCAGGGGGAAGGGAGGTGGTGAAGATGAATCCAGGGGCGAGGGAGCGGATCATGTCGACGAGCTTGGCGCTGCCGGCAATGTATCCACCAACGCATCCATAAGCCTTGCCAAGAGTGCCGGTGATAATGTCGATGCGATCCATGATACTGCCCTTGGGGCGTCCTTGCTGGTGTGCTTCAAAGTCAAGGTGCTCCGCGACACCTGCACCATTAGGTCCGTACATGCCGACAGCGTGCACTTCGTCGAGGAATGTGATGGCGCCGTACTTGTCCGCCAAGTCGCAAATGGCCTCAATGGGGCCGATCGAGCCGCACATGCTGTATACCGACTCGAATGCAATGATCTTGGGAACATGCAAGGGGAGAGAAGCCAACTTCGCCTCGAGGTCCGCCACATCGTTGTGCTTGAAGACGATCTTCTTGGTTCCGGAATGACGGATACCTTGGATCATGGAGGCATGGTTTAAGCTGTCGGACAGAATGACACAATCAGGCATCTTGCTGCCCAGGGTGGCCAAAGTAGCGTCGTTGGCAACATAGCATGAGCTGAAGACGAGAGCTGCGTCCTTTGCGTGCAATTTCGCGATGGTGCCCTCAAGCTCGACGGCATGCTTGTTGTGCCCCGAAATGTTCCTCGTGCCGCCAGCACCGGCGCCATACTCGTCCAAGGTCTCGTGCATCGATTTCAAGACGTGGGGGTTACGACCCATTCCAAGATAGTCATTGGCGCACCACACAGTCACACGCTCCTCCTTGTCGGCCATATGGGCACGAGGGAATTCCTTGGCCAGACGGTTGATGTTGTTGAAGTAGCGGTACGACTTGTCCTTATGCTTTTTCTCCAGTTCGGACGTGTAATAGGCCTCGTAATTAAACTTGGCCTTCGAGGCATCCGAATTGCCCATGCCAACGTTGTTCGCAGAGTTGTGGCGAGCAGCCATGTTCGGGGGAAGCCGGGCTGGAACATATTAGCCCGAATGCTATTGGGTTTTGGAAACATATCACATACTCTTGTCATGTCCGTTAGCGAAAGGAGTGTCCACGGCGCGGGCGTCGTTGCTGCGGCTGGTATGGATGCTGGCACGACCGGACTTTGAGTTGGTGCTCAAAGCGCGAATGCCGGCGACAGACGAGTTCGCAGCCTTGGCAGCATGGCCATACTGAGCCGACTGAACAGTCAGAGCCTTGCCCATGACGGGGCAGCGGTGGGCAAGGAGCTGCAACTTGGACATGGTGCCGCCGCAAGGGGAAACGGCGACGGCCGTCTGAGGGGCCTGGACGGCATGGGGACGAGCCGAGGTAGACAGCGCGCGAAGCTTAGCGGGCGAGGCCTTCTTCAAGAAGGGGCACATGGCCCTAGATTGACGCAGAGCAGCCTCCATAGTGACGATTGACAAGTTGAAGAGGAACTTCGTGTAACGTCGGTCGAGGATAGCGGTACGGAGTAGATTTTGGTACGGTTGTTTCGGTGTGGCGACCAAGTGCGTCGTTGGCGAACGGGGTCAGAGTTGCCAGAGAAGAGTGTCAGCGCGCAGCCGAACACCAGTCAATTGGCGAAAAGTTGAAGGGGCGACTTTGATCGACAAAGACGGGATTTGGTAGGAAAGGAGGAGAAGTGCGAAATTGGCGGATGAGGAGAAGCGAGGAATAAAAGAGACCAGATTCTCGGACCGTCCTTTATTAGTGCGTCCGGTGAAGAGTCGCCATGACACAAAGAAGCGGCGGTGGGCGCAGGGTAAGGTACCGCCCACCTCAGGAGGTAAGGTACGGTGCCGTAGGTACCGCACCACGAACCCGAGGACAGGCTACCTTAGGACAGCGGACACGCACATTGGACGGGAGGACGCTGACGCTGGCCCTCGGACGAGCTGACTGGCTGACTGGCGTCCAGTTGTGTTGCACACGTCTGGGGCCAACGACGGCGGGGCAGCCGTGGCAGCCACCGGCCTCTGCGACCACTGAGGGACGCTCCGAATGTGGGTTGCCATCATCCTAGGTGCTCTTTTAGTGGGCTGGGCTGCAGCCTGCAGAGCGCTGCTAGTGCCGCTGCACGGGGGACATTCCTGGGCGAGTGGCCCAGCCTAACTAACACTTGCGCGCATTCGATTTTCGGTGTCTCGGCTTCTGCAGGGTCCAGAAAATCCCGCCACTGAGCCAATCAAAATTTATCTAAAGCCAATTTCTGGGGAACTGCCCGCCATCTCGTTGGACGGTACCGAGCCCCCAGCCAACCCCTGTCCAAAGGGACCAGACCTCAGATCACTTTTACCTGCACGTTTTTCTTGCTCACCATGTACCTTTTTTTTTTTTTTTTTCTCTTCTTGCCCCCTCCCCGGTGTCTGCTCCTTCGCCGTGTACGACTTAAAATTTGAGAATTATCCTTTCACAAATGTTCAAAACATCCACTTTGCTCATTTTCGAGCCTCCTGAAATCAACCTTGGGTGGACCCCAACCATCGTACGAAAGACGCCGGTTACGGCGCTTCCCGAGCTGGCCTATATACTCCGTCCAGAATATCTCAAAATGACCAACCTCCGGCCCGGCACCAACGTGTAATTTTCGTGATGGGGCCTAGAGGAGTCACTGTGACGCTGCATTCCCCGAAACCATTCCCGTTGCCTCTCCATGCCCCAATGCCCGCCGAGGTCATATGTCTTTTCGAATCTTCCCCAAAAGCCCACGCTCGCAGCATATCAACTTTACAAACGACGCACCACGCAAAGCTTCATTAGTCACGTGTAATGTATGGTGCAAAACAACTCTCAGGGACTAACATGGCAAGGGATTTCGGGGCCTTTCTGAGATCCCACGTCGTCTTGATTCATCTCTCCGGGTCTTTGTGGCCCTAACGCCGTGCTAATGCAAACCTCAGGCCACCTCCCTTCAGACAGTTTCTCCGGATGCCTGACATCCCTCCTCTAGGCCTCTAGCAAAGGGTATCGTGAATGTCATGCAACTCCAATATCCTCCGTTCCTCAATGCGATGTGGAAAACGCCCTCCAAGAAAAAATAACAAACAGGTAAAACAAACATGATGTCTCCCGTTAGCCCTCAGGCGACGGTGATAGCTCAAAAGGATTCCGCGGCCGTGGTCGTTGCTCCCCGAAACTGGCTTCCTCGACAGCCTTGCTAGCCCATGTTGGAAGTCTGGGTGTTCGGTGCTGCCTGCGACCTTCGACGTCCCTCAAAACCTGCATATCGTCCATCACGGAATTCGCCGGGCCACGTATATCCGCCGCCGTAGCATACGCATTCGTTCGACCGTCTACGTTCGGGACCTGCTGTTGATCAAGGGATTAGTCGTGACTAGGTGAAATTCGAGAAAAGAGCTGCAGAGAGGCGTATAAATCAACAATGACTGAGCATGGCGGGGTCATACGTTGTGCTCCTCGGGCTGGTCGGTGCCCAATTTCAACCGTTCGCGAAACTCCCGGTCTCCGAGCTGCGCCAACGCCTTTTCCATATCTTCCAAAGCCTCGACGGACGGCGCGAGGGCCAGCTCAGCTGGAGTAAAGTGTCCTAAGAGGATTGCCGCTGCGAACCTCGGACTCTCCATGAGGCGGCAGAGTGCCTTCATGTGAGATTGGTTGGGCCACTCGCCAAATTTCTTGTCCTCCCTGATTTTCCACGTAGAGTGTGCGACCCGTTTTGCAATATCCTTGGGGTTTTCTGTGATCCGGACGAGCAACTCGGTATCTTTAATCTTTTGGGACGCCTCCATGATCTTTTGCTCGAATTGGTAAGGCCAGTTGATCAAAGATGGGCGTTTCTTAGGCGCCTTCTTGGCCTGCGGCTTGGGACTCTCTATAGCGGCAGCAGATGCATTTTGTCCGTCCAGCACCGCGATGTTCTCAGGATGAGTTCCGAAGTGAGTGTTAGCACCAGCTATGGGCATCGGTAGAGCACCTCGTGACTACACATCGTTAGCCATGTTTATGAGGTTAAACCAAGTCTTGCGAGGGTCATACATCAGGAGTTTGGTGGGGCGTTCCCGAATTCACAACTGGTTGTACCGATAAAGTTGGTGTATTTGCAGATCCAGGAACAGCCGGATCAGACGGTAGCTTCTGCTCAGCTGCGTGACTAACACCTGTACTTGGCCCTCCAGCGGCTGCTGGGCTCTGTTGGTGGCTGACGAGAACTTGCGGGACGCTTGGTGCATTGATCGGGGTTTGGCTTCCCAATGAAGCAGCGGTAATGGTGCTTCGAGGCAGCCCTGGATGGGGGATCGGAGTCTGAGGTATGGCTTGACCGGCCACAGATGGCATTGTGCGGCTCAGTCTCTCTTGTTCCAGTCTCCTGTACTCCTCAGGGTCAGTAATGCGAAGAGAATGCATACGAACTTGGTCTTCCACGTCTTTCCTGTCCTCAGCTGTCAGAACATCGTCTGGGTCATGCTCCTCAAAGGTATCCGTAGTCTCAATGTCACAGATACCCTGTGAGAGTTCCGGATTGCTCAGCAAACTGTCCAGGACGCTGTCCTTGCCCATGTGATGAGTCAAGTCCTGACGCGGCGGCGTTTCGCGGTCCTTTAGATATTCATTGTCCTTTTTCGACCACCGCTTTGGATTCTCCTTATCCACAACGCGAGAAGCTAGCTGAGTTTTGAAAACGTATCTATTCTGCATTGCAGACTCAAATGTGCCTCCAGACAGAAGCTTGTAGACGAAAACCGGCTTCTGCTGGCCGATCCGGTAAGCTCGGCCGACTGCCTGCTGTTCGTTGACAGGATTATACTTGAAGTCGAAGAGGACAACGCGATTGGCACCATAGATATTGAGTCCAATTCCTCCGGCGGTCGTTGAAATGAGGTAAACTTGAGTGTCGCCAGAATTGAAGTTTTTGATATGTTGCTGCCTCAAGTTGATTGGCGTAGAACCATCCAAACGCGCCACCTTGCGCTTTTGTTGGCGCAGAAGGTTCTCCAAGTAGTCCATTGTCGGAATTGATGATGTAAAAACAAGAACCTTGTCCTTCACCTTTTCGCTTTCGGCAAGAATGGCGACGAGGAGACGCGTTTTCCATGATAAAACCGCAGATTGAATGTCGACTTTCGGACGGTTCATCATCTTGAGTCCGCTACTAACCACCGCGGGAGATAACGCTAGGTTAGCTGAGCGGTTGCTTGGGTTTTTGCTGGTGTCTAGACGGCGTTCCTGTGCAAGCTTGTTCTGCCAACATCTAGGATGGTTGACGATAAGGCCTAGATTACTGACGATTCCTAGGATCCTAGACGAAACCTGTTGGTCCGCGTCGCCCCTCGCAGACTGAAGGTATGCGTCGTAAAGCCGAGCTTGTAGGTCCGTGACCGGGACAGTCAGGATGAATTCTGTCTTCTGCGGAAGGTCATTCTTCGACAGGCTTTTGATGGTAGCTCGATGTGCCTTTGGGGCCACTGTCTTCTCCAGGACAGCAAGCTGCTTCTTGGCCATGCGAAATTGACTGCGGGTACTGTCTTCGTAGAGGCCTTCCTGAATTGTCCTGGTGTAAAGATCTCGGAATTCGGAAGGAGGCCCAAGGTATCGAGGTGCTACCCAGTCAATCATGTAGTAGTATTCCTCGACGCTGTTCGCAAGGGGAGAGCCGGTAAGCGCAATTCGGCTCTGAGTCCTGAACTGTGAAGCAGCCAAGCCAATCTTGGAGTCAGGATTCTTCAACTTATGGGCCTCATCGGCTACGACCAGGTTCGGGCTTTGCGTCAGAATATTCCAGGCCGTTTTGCCATCATTTTCCTTCGGCAGTTCTTCACCAGGTTCGTCGACCAACCGCTTGAACATGTCATACCCAATGATCATGACGCCACCCTCGTCGTCCCATCGACGAATGATGGGCATGCGTTCGTTCTGTTTGGTAGCAGATTCGAGTTTGAAGTAGGGCCCGAGAAGGCCTTCGGGAGCCCACATCAGCATCTCATCCAACCAATTATCGACCAACAGGGACGGGCACAGCACCAAGGTCTTCGATTGTCTCAGGTCATTCGGTATCTGAGAGTTGATGGATCCGTCGGGAGACTGTGCAGACTCGGCGATTGCGACAAGCAAAGTGATGACTTGCATAGTCTTGCCGAGGCCCATGGTGTGAGCCAGGAGACATCCCTGTCGTACTTTGGGATCACAGATAATCTGGTTCCACATGAAGCGGACGCCCTGAATTTGATGGGCTTTGATTCGCCGGCCGATGTCCTCGTTTATGTAGATCAAGCCTTGATCATCCTGCTTGGATTCGTTGATGATTAACCGTGATTTGTCGCTGGGAATAATGGCGGACGCGGCCAGCTTCTTACGTAGCTCGATCCGTCGCTTCTCCTGCTCTTGCAAACGTTGCTGGTCGGTCTCTCGAAGATCTTTTGCAGTTTGATCGAGTACAACGGGTTTCATTCGTCTCTTAGACGGAGAATCTTCAATGTCGTCACCTGAAAGTCTTTCCGAGTCTTCTAAGTCGGCATCTGTCTCGTTTTGATCAACGAAGTAAGGTTCAATCTCTCTCATAAAGTCATAAAAAGGCTCGAAAAGTGCCGCTTGCGCCCGAAGTTTCTTCGCCTTGGTGCCAGTGATCCCTTTCGTAATGCTAGATCCAGAAGTTTGAACTCTGCAGAGGGCGAAAACTCTGAATAGCCGCGCTGCCAAGTTGCACACGTCACCAAAGAACTCTCGGCCCTCGTCGTCTGACAATGCCGGTAAAATGATATCTTCCCAGACTGAGCTGGAGGTCAGTCTCAGGAAGATTGAGAATACGTCCTTCTGCAACTTCTTCCTCTGGACTCTCCACAAGACGCAGATCAAGAGTCGTTCGCGGTCTTTATGATCCTTCCAGACTTCCGGTGGAGTAGCTGCAATTTCCGCTGGTCGATCGATCGGGATTTCAAGATCCTCGTCAGGGTAAGTTTGCGGCTCATCGACATCCATCTCCGTGCTCGGACGAACATCCCTCGGCTTAGTTGGAGTAATCAGGCTGATGTGAACTTTCTGGGGTGCTGCTGCTGCTTCGGATTCGGAAAATGTTAGATCGATAACCTGATGACCTCCGGGATCTACAGAGGTCTTGGCCATTGATTCTTGTCGCAGCGCTAAGGGACTTTGATCAATCTCTGCCGTCTGTTCCGGGTTGTCTAAGTCCATGGGGGTACCAGGCCGAGTCTCAACCGGCTCGGAAGTGAACGCAGTGCCTCTCATATCGTCGATGACGAAGCCATCGTCGTCGTCGCTTGTGATGACCTCACCGTTCTCATCGGACAGAACCTCGCGTTGAGCAGTCGGCAACAGAAGCCTTGGCAATGACTCTGGTCCAGGAGGCTCGGGGCCCTGCAAAATGTCGAGGAACCATCTATCTTTCTTCCGATCTTCAACGCTGGCCTCGAGACAGCGCATCTGCTTCTTCAGCTCATCCTCGTCGTGCCACTCGTTCCGTCGCATCTCGAGGCAGAGCTTCTCAATGCGGTTGGTAAACCCCGCCAGTCGTGCGTGGGCCTGCGCCATAGCCCGCTTGAGACCCTGCCGGCGTGCTCGATTCCATAGCGCCTTTGCATGTCTTTGCTTCAAGGGAAGCTTTCTCTCCTCCCAAGATTCTTCCATGCGCAGTATTTCTTCTTGCATCACGCGGTCGACATCGTCACCAGAAAGCAAGTGGAATTTCCGGGCTTTCTCTTGTCTGATTTCCTCCGCCTCTTCTTCCATTTCTCTCATGGTGTCGGAATCGTATTCCTCGTCGTCTGACTCGCCAAAAGCTGGCAGAATCTCGTCTCCTTCGTCCGAGGGTTCGACTTGGGGGTGAAAGCCACTGTTGAGACTGTTCAGAGATTCGTTATTTTTACGAAACAGTCGTGACATAGCCCGGTGTATCTGACGACGTTTTCCCGCAGGTACCTTGCCACGAGTAGCTAGGTCGAGGACATGCTCTCCCGCCGGAGCCAAGCCATTGATCTCACTCTGTGTGAGCGTACTGTCTTCGCTGACGACGAAGTTGGACTTGGGGACCAGGTCAGCGGTAATCAAAGCCTGAGTGCCAAAGTAGGCGTTGGATGTGGTATCCAACCAATCCGGTTTCGAGTGTGTAACGCCTGTCGCCGCGTGGGGAAAGCTTGCGACGCCAAGCCCAGCGACATCCGTGGAGATCAAGACAGGCGCTAATCTCCGCCTTTTCTGAGGCGGTTCATCGGGGTCGCCGTTCGCCTTCGTACTTGCCAAACCGCCGAGCTGCTCTGCGACGGATTCTTCACAACGAGGTAGATCACTTGAGGACCGTGGTGGGCTAGACCCTTGCTGTAGAGGAGTTTGTTGGATATTGTCGAAGGGCGCTTCCTGAGAGCTGTTCTGAGACTCAAGCTCTTGACCCGCTGACTCAAGTTTTTGCTGTCGGTAGCCGGCGCTCTTAGACTTGAGGTAAGTAATGGCCTTAACCAGAGTCATCTGGTGTGCTGGTTTGGTGAGACCCAGGGTCTCAAGGAGGCCTTTCGTGGATGACATGACATCCTCGTATGTCAGCAGGGTCTCTCCGTCGATCTCGTTCTCTCTCAGGGCGTTGGAAAGAGTTTGGGGATCGGGTCTTTTGCTGGCCTGCCGGGGCAGCCAGGGGCGCTTGTCGGCGATGCAAAGCTCATGTACCACTTTGTCGACATCCCAGTCGAAGGGATCGCCATCGGTGCCTGCCATTTTGACTTTTCAAGCCATCAGGCGCGTTGCTTTTGCAGTGTTAGTAGCTGTCATCGGTCTCTGAAACCGGAGATAGGAAGTAGAATGTGGTGCGTTGAGTCTGGCTCCCGTCAGGAGTGCTTGGGCACTACCTTCTTGGACAGGCAAGAAAGATGAGCTGTGTTCTTTCCAAACACGTCGTAAGTTGGGAAGAGCTCTTGAACATGCTCTGATGGGATAACGACAGAACAGAGCAGGCGGAGCCGCGTAGCCACGAGAGCAGAGTGTGTAAATTTTGAGGTATGACTTACGACGAATCTGGCAGCTGTTCGTGTTGATCGGCGTAAGTGTCGTGAGATAGAGAGACGTTGCATACAACGATGTAATCATCTCCGCATGAGGTAGAGACGCTAGTCGAAGAACCTCCTCCGAACTCGAGGTGAAGGCAAGGAATTTTCTGGAAGGTCCCCGGGCAGTAGAAAAAGACAAAGAAATGAAAACCCCGGCGAGGCAAACAGGTGGTGAGCGGCGGCTGAAAGCCGAGGACTGTCCTCGTCGAGACGCGAGGGACGGACAGTTGAAAAAACGGGGTGACGTTGAGAAAGGTCGAGTTTGAGTCCAGGCGTGTGGACAGTCTGCTTTTGAATGCGCAGGAAGGATAGAAACCAACTGACTGGGTAGACAGCAGGTGCAATGACTTCTCAATTCACGACGCGTGCTGGTGTAGAAGTCGCGGAGGAAGTCGTTCTCGCCCCACATCCCCTCTAGCGCATGTACAGATGCGACGGGGGTCGGGTAACTGTTACAGCAGGGTAGGTCCGCTGGCAGAGTCGATAAGGTACCTGGGTAGGTAGGTACTAGGTAGGTAGACACTGCCACTAGTCCTGCAAGGCTTTGATCATCCTTTACCTCACAGCTAATTTTGAGAATCCACTATTGACACGTGATGGATTTCGGTGTTAAGATAACTGATAAGGCACAGATAGGTAAGAAGAAGCAGATAGTGGGGTGGAGAGGTAAGTAAGACCAGCGCATTGCAGCTTGAGCCTGCTGTCTTTTGATATCAATCCCCGTTGATCTTTCTCAACCCCAAGATGAAAGAGCGGTGCCTCTTTTGTCATATATATGATTGCCTGCGACGTGGTATTTTTCTTTAAGATACCTCGGCGCTTGGCCTGTCTAATTTTTCAACTCTCCGTCCCAGCCGTCTGCCTTTGCCTCACACTGCCGTACCTAGTTAGCTCAAGCACGTCTTCGCTGCATCCTGCGCGCAGGACAGTTACTCTTCAGCTGGGAAACCTAGTCGCGGGGCTTCGCAGTGGGGCCATCAGAGCCTCCCCCTCCTTCAATTATGATGCCCCCTCATCCTCTCAATTGCTAAATGCCCAGGGCCAACGTCTCTCAGCATCGTCATCGTCCAGATTTAATTTGTGCGCCATCTGAGAGACTCCACGCGTGCTGTATACCTAGGCTACGCAACACCACGCTAAGCTTTGGGATTGAGGATCACACAACGCTACTCGTACGAGTGATTTCTCAGCATGTCTACCACCTGCATAATTTTGAGCGCACTTCAATTACTAATGCTGAGATAGAGAGGACACCGTCCGGGCCTCATACTTCCTACCTTTGATTCTCAAACAACAGTTGTCAGGATTTCAGTGGTCTTTCTGCCTTCTGCACTTCCAACCGCTTTGTGGGCGCTGAAGCTGAAAGATGGCATCTGCAACACTTACGACGGAGCAATACCCCCCTCGGCTTTCTCAGCCAGAGCAGGATGCGCTCGTGCAGACCATCAAGGATTGGGCGATTGGCAACGGCTTGTCTGTTAGACCACCTCCCGCCGTTGTTTCAGCGGAAGTAGACCCAAAGGGAATCCTAGCAGTCAATGTGCCAGTCACGCTTTTCCCCAGCCCATTCCCCAAGCGGTGCTTTGCACAAGCACGGTCGGTCCAGAAGACCTACAACGAGCTATATGCCGCCATCAGTAGGGACGAAGAGTTCCTGAGCGAGATGGTCAATGAGTGAGTTCCTGCAACGCTCTATGTGGGAGAGTCGTAATGATACACGCTGAAGCCACTGGATCATGTCTGACTTCAAACAGGGTAAAGAGCGGCGACGACTTCATCGGCAAACTTTGGGATACTCATTTGAGAGTAAAGAAGGAGGGCTACGCCCAGGTTCGTCCGCTTGGATGCTGTGATACGTTGACGCTGGGCTAATTTGGGTCAAGAACCTTTCACTCGGGTTATTCAGGTCCGATTACCTTGTTCACCAGGATGTCTCATCAGGCCAACCCAAGCGCCAGGTGAAGCAAGTTGAGTTCAACACGATAGCTGCATCCTTTGGCGGTCTCTCGTCTCGTACTTCGCTCCTTCACAAGTGAGTCTGTCTCATCTGTTCGGGAGAGTGCGTTGCTAATACCAGCAGATTTCTCTCCGTCTCTGAGTACCCCCTGCTGAACCGCTCTATTGAGTCGGGCTCTCTGGATTTGCCAGAGAACCAGAGTGTCCAGGGTCTTGCAGGCGGCATCCGCGCTGCCTTCGACCAGTACGGCCCCTCGGAACTCGGCCACACGAAGTGTGTAATCTTTGTTGTACAAGGTGGCGAGCGCAACATTTTCGACCAGCGACATCTCGAGTATGCGCTCACCAGCTCTCCCGACCCGGTCCAGGTGTTTCGCATTCCTTTCTCCGAGCTTCTCAAGCACACCGAAATCGCAAACACGCCTAAGCGTCAGCTTCTTTACAAGGTGCCTAGAGATCCCTCAAAGGTCTTTGAGGTCGCTGTCTCGTACCTTCGATGCTGGTATGATCCGTCGGACTATCCCGACGAGAGCACTTGGGAGGCTCGCTACCACCTGGAGAGGTCATCGGCAATCAAGTGTCCTACCGTCTTGACCCAGTTAGCAGGCAGCAAGAAGATTCAGCAAGTTCTAGCAACGCCGAGATCTGGATCGTCTCCTTCAGTTTTGGGTCGCTTTATTGCCGATGACTCTCCTCAGACCGCAGAGGTGTGGCAGACCTTCACCAACATCTTCCCCATGGATGACTCCGAGGCTGGTCTCAAGGCGCGCAAGATCGCCCAGGATCCCGAACTGTGCAAGAACTACGTCCTGAAACCCCAAAGGGAAGGCGGTGGAAACAACCACTACCGCGAGGACATTCCTGAATTCTTGAAGAAGACCCCCGAGTCCCATTGGGGGTCATATATCCTGATGGAGCTGATCACCCCTCCTAAGCAGGACAATATCATTCTCCGCAACGGTAACCTTGAGGAGGGTGGTGTTATCTGCGAATTGGGCATCTACGGGACGGCGGTATGGAACCAGGGCACCGGTGAGATAGTGCATAACAAGGAGGCCGGCTACTTGCTCCGCACCAAGGGCGACACGAGCAATGAGGGCGGAGTCGCGGCTGGCTTCGGGTGCATGGACAGTTGTACTCTTGTCTGATGCCTCTTAGAGCAGACGAAGCCATCGGACTCCTCAGGCCGCCTGCCGCAAGCTTGAACCGGGACCAGTATCGAGCTTTGCGTGTCATCAGGGATACATATAGCATTAGAGAGCATAACCCGTGGTATCAATTATCGTCCCCAAAAAGTTTTGTACAATGTGCCTCATCAGGCCCGATCTGAAGTCATCACACAAAAGAAATCCCGGCACAGAGTGGAGAAGGGCCATTTTCAAGTCAACATCGGATGGTGGGCTCTCGTAGTCGTCATTCAACATAAAGAACTCGGTTCATAGCATTGAAGGATGTATTTACTCGCTGGCGGGAGTGCCGGTGGCAGGGCGTCTAAGGACCTCAATGTTGCCTGAGGGAGAGTTAGAAGGCTCGAATATTTCACTTTGTGTGAAGCGATCGATCGGAACATACGCTGGACGACGTTGAGAGAGCTGCGGGTCTTGCCCTCGGCATCTTGGTAGGTGCTCATGGAGGCATCGCCCTCGACGAAAACCATGGTTCTAAAGAGTCATTAAATGTCAGTCGACAGAAATTCTCGCAAAGTGAACGTGGTGTCGCTATATCGTACCCCTTGGGCAGGCTCTGGAGGAAGTCACGACCGGGTCCCTCAGGAGCGAAGCTGGTGACACGGAACCAGCTGGTGTGACGGTTCTCGCGGGAACCGCTGTTGCTGGCGACAGCGTATTTGACGATCTCGCGGCCAGTGCTGGTGGCGTGGAGCTCGGGGGTATCAGCGAGGTTACCGATAATGGAGATGCGGGCAACGTTGTGGGCGGGGGAGGTGCTGAAGGCACGGGCGGCAATGCGCGGGGCAACGGCGGCGCGGCGGAAGAGCATGGCGGACATGTTGACGGCTTGGAAGGGCGATTTTTGTGGTGTTTGGGGTTTCAAAGGAGTGTATGAAGCAAGACGATGGTGAACACGAGTCGGCGAGAGGTTTGCGGTGAGCTAAACCCGCGCCAAACGCGACTGGACGCGATCACTAACTTCCCCAGATAGGGCCAGCATTGATGTGGCCCGTGCATCTGGGAATGAGGTTCATGCGACGCTTCGGTAGTGCTGCTATCGGGGGTTATGCATCTAAATGGTAAGCTGGCGACTTCTCATGAACCAGCAGGGGGTATTTCTAAACGCAGGCACATCAGACCTCAGAACATGACAATGGCCTGGGTGATGTGAAGCCCAACAGCTCACTAACAGGGCGAAACCATCTTCTGAGTGAATAAATCATTGTATTTCTTTAGGAAGGCATAGTGTGTTCCGCTCGCAAATGTGATATGATCAGCTGGTCTGTCACATCTGATCCTCGACAGGTCAAGTTTGTGAGCCTGGGGCGGAGATTCGTAACCGCCACGTCCATCAGCCTTGGACTTTAGCCAAGGTCTTCACCATTATTCTTCCGTGGTAAAATATGATTATACCTTCATGTTAACGCGGCCCGCTGGTTGCCTGAGATGTGTTTCTACCTTACGCAGTTTGAAGCAGGACCTCTGCAGTTGCGTCCGAGAGTGCCCCTTTCCTTTCTCGTCAAGGCTTCGTATCATCAGGGCCTTCCTCCATAGCCGCCTTGAAGAAGGGGCGGGATTCTTCGTCTCTTCCCGGTAGGGCATACATCGCCCTGCTGTCCTAGCCACAACGACTACTGTTATGTCAATCTGGCCTCGTTCCTCCTTCCCCCCCTCCAGAAAACTTCGGCTTGCGAAGGATACTTCCTCCAGTTACACTACCCGCCTCTTGCGTTCCCTTCCCACCAGCACATGGCTCTCATCCGCTAACCACCTGGCAATTCGTTGTGCCCTGGTCGCACCATTTGGAAAGGGCATAAAGCCAGGGAGTATTCTATCTTCGTTTTCCATGACCATCGGGTCTCTCGTTTTCATGAACATGGCACCCATTTCAGAAAGCCTGATGGCCCGCAGCCTCGAAGTGATTCCTCTTTTGCCAACAGCACCTTATACGACACCCTCTATGAAAGCCAACCTGATCTGCCGAGTGGTTTCCGCATGCCTGGCCAACCTGGTTTGTCTGATTCCGCTGAGAAACCTGTATCGCAACGGCGAGTTTGCGGCGGTTGTGCTCGTTTCGACAGTCATCCTTCTTAACCTTCTTACAGTCGTCAACTCTCTCATCTGGCGCGACGACAACATCAAAGAATGGTGGAGAGGCTGGATCTGGTGCGATATTCACCCTTACCTCTACCAACCTGCTTTAACCATCTACGCCACATCGATCGCCGCCATCATGCGAAATCTAGCAGAGCAAGTCAACTTAGACCGCGCCGGTCCGCTCACTACCATCGAGAAGAGGAAGAGGATGTGGTTCCAGGCTTTGATAATATTTCCGCTCCCCGTCATTCAAGTCGGCTGGCTATATCCTCTGGCAGGACAGAGATACATTATTGGCACACTCAAGGGGTGCTTATGGAGTACAACACCAAATTGGCCATGTATCGTCTTCTTTCTGCTGCCAATCCCAGTTGTGACTCTGATGACAGGATTCTATTCAGGTTGGTCAACTCGAGACATGACAGACCTGTCTGCTAACCCCTTGCACAGTTCTCACCTGGAGACGATTCAAGCAGATTGAGAGCACAACTCGTTCTGCTCTCGTCTCAAACTCCTCAACCGCTGCGAGATCGAATCGAACACGGCGTAGGTTGTTCTTGATGACAACCTGCATTCTTGTTCCTTACGTCCCAATTTCCTGCGTCTATGCGGTCTACCAGATCAAAATTTACTTGCCTTTACAAGCATTCGACTTCAAAGAAATTCACTATGGTGACGGCGCCTGGCCATGGGATTCGGTAATCCTATACCCATACGACCAACTAACCTTCTTCGAACTCAACTCCAACTATCTTCCAATCATCACGACAGCAGCAATATTCGTCTTCTTCGGCATGAGCAAAGACTCAATGGATACATATCGTCACTGTTTGTTGACCATGCGTCTCGATAAAGTGTTCCCGAGACTAAGTGACGACGCCACATCAAGCACAGGTCAAACTCCAGCAGGCTCCTGGGGGACAGTCTCAATGTGAGTGTTAAGCGCCCCGAAAATATTATCACGTTGCTGACCAAGACTTACCAGGTCAACGCTCGCCAAGTCTCCAATGTATAGTTTCGGTCGATCTGTTCATGTTAGCCAGGTTTCAAAGGGACAAGGCTCGTTATCCTCGCCACCTCCACCATACACCACAGAGGTCAACGACCCTTCCGACGACATGAGAATTACCGTCATAGAACCCGAACCCTGTGCGATTAGCGAGCACAAAGATTATACCACTGCCAGGTGTATTTCCTCAGAGACAACTGAGGGAGGCTATCATCACGGGGACTCTCCCCTCAATAATCTCACTGGCTCTTTCCGCGGCCGACTGGGAGTCCACGGGTTCTCAGGCAAACAGATACCGGCGGCTAAGTCCCGTGTGCACGCACACTTGGGGTCGGACATGAACCACCTTCAAGCGGAGCAATCAACTCAAGACGATTGGTTACCCCGACTATCTCCTCAGCCGAAGTTGATTACCATGATTCAAGCGCATATGGAACAACCAGAAACCTACAGCCAGGAGCGCCGGAGATGATTTCATAAGTCTTCCTTGCCTATTGTTACGGGTCGAACTTTCCATGTGCTCTCGAACGAAACCGCCAATTGTTTCTGCACGTCACACTCGTCAAGCAGGACGAGCATGATCGTTGACCGACCTGCTTAGTGTATCACTCATATCCCGCTTGAAACGGCGGGTGTACCGTGAACCACACCACTGACGAGACACGGGAGGGTCTGCTTGACATCTGAGAAACGATCAGCAGTAATGGAATGTTGGGAAGACTGGTTCTCGGCGGTGGCGGTGCCGGCATCACCGCGATTGGCTCAAATATTGACAGACAGACGACGCGTTTGCTGTGGCATGGTATTTCATGAATACGTAGAGTCAAATAAGGAACCAGAGTAAACCATGTTCAAGAAGGCGAATAAGCCGATAGGTATCTACGTAAATTAAAAGCAGCTCATCATTCTACCTCACATCGTGCGTCGGAAAAGGTCCGAGCGAGCGAGCTCACTGCCTCCGTCCATCCATCATCTGCCCCATTCGTAAGCGGGCTCGGTCATCTCCTCCATCAGCCCACGTTCAAAAAAGGTTTGCAGACTGCCACTCTGGTGAATAAAAAGGGATAAGGTGGGAAAAAAAGACTTGAAAGCCAAGAAACCAAGTAAGGGAACAAAAAAACGTCGTCGAATCACATTCGTAACCGATTCCCCAGCCCGGGGACCCAAAACTCCGCGCCATGCCTTTGGTATAAGGTACTACTGTGGTAGGTGGGATGAAGAAAGACTAATCCCGGTAAAAAGGATATCGAGAGCTCGTGAGAGCGCGGCTATGGTCGTATAAACTCATGTTGGTGGTGCAGCCGAGGTCGCCGCCGATCCGATATTAGAAAAGAGCGTACGGTAAAATAGCGGATTCGAAAAGAAGAACGCAAACATGTGAAGCCAGGCCGAGGGGCCTGTCATCCTCGCGTGGGATCATGCCGTCACGGCAGCCGGAGGCTCCATGGGCATGTTCCCCGACCCTGTTGGTGTGCTTGGGGCCGGGGCGATTTCAGGATCAGGAATCTGTATGTCCAGCTGCGAGGACCGTTAGCTTGAGAACGTTGCAAACACCGGGGGAGAAAGACTCACAGTCATGTAACCCGTCCGCCTCAACGAAATAATGCGCGGCGCCGTTGAGGGGTCTTCGTTGCCCACCGTCTTTTCCATCTCGTTGTTCCATTGGTCTACCCACCGTTCCAGACGCTTCAGCCGGGCCTTGACGCCAGTGAAGCCCAAGTCATCCCACAACCACCCCGTCACTAAACCCAGAACACTGTCCATTATGTTTCTCCAGTTGTATGGGCTGAATATTGGCACAAGCTCACCATTCAGCCGGTCGATGATACGGCGGAACTCTTGCTCTGACAAACCAGCCGGGTCAAGAATTTCGGGGTATAGATTTGAGAACGTCGGAGCCAAATCTCCTTCCAACAACCAGTCCCGCCGAATGCGAATGATACGCGTGTTGTGATACTCGGGAGAGTCGATCGGAACGTGGGGATTTAGATGCGGGAAACACGGGTGCTGGGGGCCCCATTCCTCGCCGAGATCTGGCGGCAATTCCTCTCCCATGATAGATGAGTTCGATGAGGATATAGCCGAGCCGATTCCATCGCCGGCCGACACATTGGAAATGCGTGGAAGCACATCAGGTCCACGCTCCAAGTCCTTAGAAGTCCCCCGCACCTGTGCCTCGGTAGTCTGCTCCATGATTGCTTTTCCTTTGCCCTTGTCGACGTAGGCGAAGTCCACGACCAGAGGGTTTGACACGCTTTGACCTCGCTTTGGAAGGCCAGTAACTCGAGGTTCGACGGGTGGTTCTGCAGGCGCGTCGCCTTTATCGTCACCCAGGCCAGAGTCGGGGTCTTGAAACGTCGGTGAAGGGTCGGCGGATCTTCTTCCGTCGTATGAGTGACGAACCGAGGGCGGAAGGCTGATGCGGTGTTCGGCGTTTCTGTCGAGCTGGAGGCTTGCGCGGTTCGACGTGGAATGTCTAGTCTGACGTTGTTCGGGGAGTGTCAAAAGCGGGTAATCGCCTGCGCCGATGCCCAAGGGATCGGAGGGATCGACGGAGTAGGGATCGAGGGTCGGATGTGAGAGGGGAACTGCGGGAGGAGGCGGTGTCGATGGACGTCGTTTGCGAATGGTCTTCTCAGGGAGTCGCGGGGTCGAGTTCGTTGGGTTCCAGAGACGAGCAGCAGAAAGGTGAGGTAGGCGACGGGCAGCGGAGGAGGATGCACGATTCCGAAAGGGAGACTGCGTGAAATAGTCTTTGGGGTCGTAACCGCGAAGAAAGGATGGGCTGCGGCCCTGAGGCAGGCCGGCAGCGGCTACTGAACGGTCAAGGTCGGGCGAAGCGCCAGGGTAGGCAGGCTGCTGCGATAGCGTGGGCAGGCGAGTGTTCGCGGATGCATCTAAGGTGGCCGGGTCGGTGGACGGAGAGGTGAATCTCGCGTGGGAAGCCGTGGGAAAGATGGTTCGAGGAAGGCCGCCGAGAGGTCGACGGCCTTACGGGGAACTGTGGAGTACGGGTCTGGTCGAAGAGGAGTTTGCAGCGACGCCTGGGCCACGCTCGTGGAGATCGCCAGGGCCTCTCTACTCGACGGGAGCGACGGCGACGGCAGTGACGGGAAAATCTGGAAATGCGCTGGCGACAGAGATGGAGGGGACGTCGAAGGACTGTGACTGGTGAGAAAGCGACAGCGCAGGTTGGAGTCGTGCAGCAAAACGATGAGGTTTGCGGCTAGAAGAGTGGAGCCTCGAACAAAGAAATGCAGAAGACAGGCGAGAGAAGAAGCAGCGACTGCAGCGGCAACGACAGCGACGATGGTGGCTCGGACAGCAGGATTAGCTTTCGCAGAGGCGGTAGGGGTGGTGCAGGTGGAGGTATTGGTGCTGCTGGCGGCGGAGGTGGTCTCAATGCAATCGTGAGTTATGCGGCCAACAACGGCGCTTCGTCCTTGGAGGGAAGAGCAAAATGTGCTGTCGCAGGTGGTATCTCGGGTAGTGGTGGTGGTGCGGCTGCTTTTCCTGCTTGACAACGACGACGGCAACGACCCTGCAGCGGCAGCAAGCCCAACGGAAGGATGGGGACCTGGACGGGGATGGGTCTTCTTGCTGCAGCACCAACGGGAGCAGCGCCTGGTCGCGTTGGTGAATGATGAGGGCCAATTATTGGCAAAACCTGGCGGCCGTACAGGCGTGACGAGGGCGCAATGGGGCAGCGAGTGATGATTTGTGGGGCGAGCGTTCAGGGGGGAAAGGAGAGTCGCCGAGATTGGGTTAGCCTGTGAGTGTGCCCTGAGTCTCGGTCCCGGCATTTTGGGAAGCCTCTTGCTCTGGAGGCTGGGGATGCCTTCCCTAAGGCAAGCTTCCCTACCTTACCTCACTGGTCCTTGGCTCTGGGCCGGCCCTGTGGAGGTGGGTGAGCTTTGAGCTTTGAAGCCCGCGCGTTGATGCAGGAACGGTGAAGAGCCTGGGCCTGGACCGCCCAGCACCAAAAGACTTTCCTCCTCGAATGCGTGAGTGCGTGCGAGCGTACGTGCTTGCCTGCTTGTGCCTGCGCTATGCTCTGCTGCTTGGATCCTGTCGGGTAGAGCGAGGCCCGTGACGATATGTTTCTGCCACCAAGCTGCTGCTGCTGCTGCTGCTGCTAGGTGAGGCGACGCGCTTGCTTGGTGACGATGTATCGCGTGGTGGTTGTGCGTAGTCCGCCGTCGGCCTCATGCGAGATCACGATTTGCCTGGTGGCCGGTTCCCCCGTCTCTGTCTCTTCGTCCTTGGTTTCTCTCCTCCAATAGTCGTCTGGTTTTCGCCGTTGGTTCCGGAGGCGCCCCGTGAGGGCGATGTCTATCGTGTGTCTTTTCGAGCGACCGATATGTCAGATGTCGGCCTGAAAACTTGTCGCGGGCGAGTCGAGGGTGGGAGACAAGGGAAGAAAGAAGAAGAGACAGACACCAATAGCTTAAAACCCAAAAATGCCCCGCTGCTTGGGGGAAACGGCCAGAAGTCGACGACTCGACAATCGGACGTTCCGCCGGGCAGTCTCTGTCACAGATACAGTGAACAGCGTCGAAGCTCCCTCCTGACGCAAGGCTCGGTGGAGGCGGGAGGGTTCACGGTAAAAAAGAAAAGAAAAAGAAGGACCTGACACGATGCGGAAACGCTTTCCAACGAGCCGTCCCCAGCCCAACAATATATGACGCCGGCTGCTTCAAAACCAACCTCACGACTTGTAGCCATCCCGGAACCTCCTCAGCCTGGCAGGACCCTGTCTTTCCGCCTCACCAGCCATGGTGCTTTAAATTGTCCATTTTGCACTCAGGTCTACCGTTCTGCAGAGATTTTCGCCCAACACCCAGGCTCCCGCTCGCCTTGCCTTGCCCTCAATCAACACGGGCTGGGCAACTTTTTCCAGCCTGGCCTCCAGGTGACGCACTCACTACTCCGTACCTTCCTTCCCATACCCTTTCCCGGGCCCATTGAACCATCCTGGCTCCCCTGGCTCCCCGAGAAAACGAGACCAGGGTTTGACCGGGTTGTCCGCGTCGGCAGACTTCTTTTTCAAGCGTTGGCGATGTTGCCGATGACACCTTGCGGCGCGTTTGGCAAAACATTCAGTGGTCCTGCTGACCGGCTCATCGGGATGGCCACGTCTTCGGGATGAGGGAGACGATTGCACACGATCCGAGCACACTCTCACGTATGTACAAGATTGAGCCTCCTCTCTCCTCTGATAGGTAGGCGTCTGCAAGTGGGTAGCCGACTTGAGCATTGCTTCGTCAGCGGCTTATCCTCGAAACTCCCAAAATGGTGCAACGGCCACAGCTCGACGAACCCATACGCCACGCGCTTCTTCGCGTCCCCATCGTCCTTCTGCGCGTTGATCAAGCAGATGCCGTCGCGACCAGAGCGTCTGTGCGTATCATCTCATTTTCACATGATGAGATGCCTTCCATGCAGTTCGAATCTTGCTGTGCCAGGTTCTTGGAGCTTCGAAAGCCCCGAACGGCTGGCAAATTGGCTGGCTGGGCACGGTGTTGCTCTCGCCCTCCTTTACCTTCTCGCTCTACCGAATTTTCTTGCTTGGCCCAAGACATGTCCATAGAACAAGAAATAAGCACCAAAAGGGACGCTGATCTACAAGGTTCACCGAGACTATCGCGCTGAGATTCGACAGATCTCTCATTCGAACCACAATTCCTGGTCCCAAATCTAGCAACTTTAGTACAGCTACAGTCCATTGCACTAACAGCATCCGCCCCCCCCTTTTTATTGAAATTACGCACGTATAATCCCTATGTAGATATAAAAATTTACCTAACGCTATATAGATATTTATAGTATAGTAATTAACTTATTTTAATAACTTTAATTAATTTATTCTCATTAAATCTTATAATCTAAAAGTATTATAATACTTTTTAAATATTACTATATATTTTAATAAGTAAATAATAACTTATTTAAGTATTATTTATTACTTGTTACTAATAATATATAGAAATAATAATATATATAATAATTAGTATAAAATATTACTAGAAATCCTTTTTAATATTTTATTTTATTATTAATTAGGATTAGTATATTTATTAAAAAAGCTTATTAAGTTATTACTACTAAAGAATTATGAAAAAAGTTATTATTAAAGTTATTATTATTAGAATAAATGTTAAAACTAATAATTTAATAGTTTTAAATCTATATTATAATATATATATATATATATATATATATATAGCTTTTCTATTATTATAAAAACCTTTAAAAATATTTTCTTATTAAAATATAAAAAAGTCAAAAAAAAGATTTATTATAGAAGATTTAGTTCTAAAATACTTCATTCTTATTAAGATTATTATTTTAATTAAATTTAACTTTAGTTAACTTAACTTTTTATTAAACTATTTAATTTATAAATAATATATTTATAACTTTTTATTATGATATTAATAATATATTTATGTTATTTCTTGATATACTTAAAGAGAAAGAAAATATAAATAATAATAAACTAACTTTGTTATAAATCTAAGTTATTTATAATTTAATATTTAAAAATCATAGTTTATTTATTTCTAATCTAACTATTAAAAATATTATATATAATAAATTTAACTTTATTAATATATCTAATATAAATAATAAGAACTAAAAAATAGAAAATAATATTTAATTTAAAATGGAAATAGTTTATTTATATAATTTAAAAAAGCTATTATTATTATTATTATTATTATTATTAAGAAGAAGTTAACTAATATATCTAAACTAATATTAATCTTTATTTAAGTATATCTACTTATTAGAGAGGCTATTTACTTGAATATTCTATAAATTAATATTATTTCTTTTTTTAAATAAACTAAAAAAAAGAGATAAAATATATTTTATTTTTAAGTAATAATATAATATTATATTAATCTCTATTAAAATAATAACCAATATATAGATACTTTAAAAAAGTAGTTAAACAAATATTTTAGTTGATATTTAAAAAGTAATTAATTATAAGTTTAATAATCTTATAAATATTAAATATTAGAAAAAAAGAACATAAATAATATTTCTATATATATCTATTTAAAATATTATAAATATAAAAATAATTTAAATAATAAGAAGTTTAACTAATGTTATATATTAAATTAGAAATGTTAACATATAACATTCTTTTATAATAATAATAATAATAATAATAATGTAAG